GAGGGGGACAATCGACGGGGGGGGGGGCTCTCAACGATTATTTAACGATATTTAGCTACGGCAACGCGCAGAACTTGCTTCCGACATTCGCCGGAGGCGATAATTTGCGAGTAAAAGTCACCTTCGCCGTGTGGATAACACGAAACGTCGAGATTTAGACTGTCAATTGTCCTAAAAAGACGAAACCGTTAAGCTTTATTCGGCACTGCACATGACCGTTTCATGAGATACTCATTCGCGCATTATCTCGGTGATTACTTGCGAATATTTCATTACTACGAGCGCATGAGGATTACCTTCGACACATCCGACGGTAATTAGCTCGCGGGACTCACTATTGGCGAGTTGAAGACACAAAAAGTACGGACGACTTTTCGAATCCGACATTTCGCACCGCAGTCCGCTTTAGAAAAGGCCGCAGATGTCGCCGCGTTCACGAATCTCGAAGCAGCGCTTGCGCGGCAAGCCTCGAACCCAGTGATTCGCGTATAAGAAATATATCGTGATCTGAAATATACAAAATAGTTCGCAGTTTTTTAATAATTTAGCGAAATATTACATTAAAATGCACGAAATAAAGAGGACGGTAAATTAATTATTATATAAAAGTTATTGTATCATCAATTAATAATCAATGTTTAAAATGACCAGCGCAGTAAACGTATGACATCACGTGACCAATAGCGGCAATTTCGTGCTGTCGTTTTCGTGTCTCGCTCGACTCGAGTCTTTTCGCATCGTCTGGCGACAGTCTGGTATTTTTCGCATCTTTTAATCCGCTAAAAGTAAGTCTCGCGCGCGATCGAGGATCGGAAGTGCCGAATTCAATGACGGGCGATCGTTTTTTTCCTGTTGATCGATCCATTGAAGTACGATTAAACGCGATGTCTCCTGATATTTGCAACCGATGTCTGTTGCGTCGTTGCAAAGATGGAAGAAAAATGGAGCAAGTACATTCGCTCGTACAAAATATAAGAAATGCATTGAAAATCGATGATTACGTTACACCTTCGTGCTTGGGTGAGTGTGAATTTTTGGTTTACATTAGTTCGTAGCCACATTGAAACAAGTTCACTATTGTCACTGACGAAATACTGTTGAAGATGTACATATTTATGAAATAATGCAAATAACATAAATCAATATTGAAAATAACACGTATATATGTAGAGCTTGTAAAAGAGAAAGTCAGGGAGGAAAATAATCTTCTCAAATACTATCCATGAACATTAAATATTAGATTTAAGCATTATAAATAATTACTATTCTACCAGCATCACAAAATTGCACGATATGGTTTTCTATCTACTGTTCTTCGTTCAAACAATAAGATCTATCTCACAATGTATATACACAACATATATATACTATATATTATGTACACATGTGTTATTTCACAACTGGTAGTTCCACAATTATTTTACAGTGCACTAGTTTTTTGGCATCAAACACTGGTTGAGTAGTCCAAGCAGCATGGAATTCTCTATAGCCGCAGCCACTCTTTCCTTGTCAGCAAGCTGCTTGTTCAATGATGCTTCTGAGACATGAGTTCCAGGAGAAATTTCCACGGTTACTTTAAACCTAGCAGGTAAGGTACGCAGCAATTGTACACGAATGGACAGCCCTATTAAAGTAGCCATACTGCAGTGAGGAATGGTGGGTGTGAATTTCACATCTACTGTATTCTTCTTATTGTCAACCTATAATATGAAGCATCCTGTTACTGTTTCAAATATTGTCGCTTTAATTAAAAATATTGTTATTTGAGAAAATTTCTTACCTTGATAAGACTCTGCTCCACTACATTTAATTCCTCCAGAGTTAGTGGATGTTCTGGATCATTGATATTCCTAATTAAATCTGGAAATTGCCGTTCAATAGTCAGTTTTTTGTTTTTATGCCATCTAATAATTTTTACCAAATGTTTCATAAATTAAAGATAATTAAATACATAATATATGATTATTGCAAGGAATAGTTACTGAAATATCTTATATATGGCCATTAGATATATGAACAACTGAATTAAAACTCAAATCAACAAAAAGTCAATGTTATTTAGAGGTTATGCGCACCAAAAACCTCTCTAGCATCGAATTCGTCCACGATATTTTCATCTTTCTCTTCGGTTGTAATTTCTCTCTCATCCAACTTTTTATAGAGCTTCGGATTAATATTCTCCAAATTTTCAACCATCGTAAGTCGCTATCAAACACGAATTTATAGTTTGTCAACGTTCACGTTTCTATTTACTATTGTATGTCATCGAATTAGTCGCGTTTACTATGAAAACCTCTTATTTTTATGAAACTTTGTTGTAATTATTATTAAAATTATAATATTATAGCTATTATAATGCAGCTTTTGACGCACAAGTGAACTATTATCCACGTGTATTGCTTTGTTCTGCTTGACTGTTAATTTTGGTTAAGTTAGGTTAAGCATAGACTATTTCCTAAGAGCGCTGACGAAATTCTGTTCTTTTCAAGTGCGCTATTATGTTGCTGCACTGAGAAAAAACATCTCAGAAGAGATTTGCAACTGTTGGTAAGCTTTGTGTCTAAGAGAGTTTGATAATTCAGGAACGCCAACACGGTCGGTATAATAATATTACAATAATACGTAAGAGAATCGATTCAAACGACATTTGGTTTATTTGTGTATGTGTGTGTGTGTGTATCGTGTAATTTTTTAAACATAATTATTAAAATCCAAGCGATAGTAAAATGCTTCACTTACAGTTAATGACGTTTATATTACAATCAATGCCTATATTCGTGTAAACTTTAAGATAATAAATAAAATCTAGGTAGGAAACAAACATATTTCATATAGGGAGATTAGTTGCATTCAGAAAACATAACGGTTGAATAATTCGCCAACATAATTGGCCTAAATTTAGGGATTTAACAGTAAAGACCAATAATCACGCTGATTACTTATTGATTACTTGTGTTTTCTCAACGTAGCCGTTGATATGTGCACGCACATTTGATTTTATATTTTCATAATTTATCATTTTTTTCTTGTCACTGTCAGAAATCTCTTTACATGATGATTTTCATAATTTTTGTCGAACATTGTTACCCATGACATTCCCCTGTGCTTATATATTTATGTAAATTTTCGATGAGGAATATATATTTTCCGTAGAAAACATTTCGACATTGCATTTTCACGAATATCGTTTATAAAAATAAATCTATAGACGGGATTGTTCCATAATCTCGTCGATCGCGACGTCATTCTCGTTGGAACTTCGTCTTGATAGATCTAAATCCCGATGATTGTCATTCTTCTGACAAGCTTTCTCGGCCTGCTCAAGGAGGCTCTGGGCCATTTGGTTACCCGTATTATGTACCATTTTCGAAAAATAGCCATCCGGTTTGTCGTGTAACAACTTGTATGGGCAACCGAATTCCTGTTAGTGTGCATAATTATCATTAATTGCATTAAACACATTATTTTTGCCTATTTTCCAGTTGTAATAAAAATTCGATATATCACAGAGGTTTATCATATAAACCATTTTCCAAGTTCAAAGGAAAAATCTTTTCTCATTCGTATTGAATATCATTACACAAGTGACTGAGATTGCAAGATTCCTTTTTAAAGAACTACGGAAAACTGAAAAAATATCCTAAATATTTCTCTAGTTATTTTATAGAATAAATATTTTTTTATAATTCATGCATATTATGATGGAATAGATAACGTACCACTATAGAACCATTATCCATGACGATAATTCGGTCACTATCTATAATAGTGTTCAAACGATGCGCTATTGTAATAACGGTGCATTCTTTGAAGATGCTTCTTATCGTTTTCTGGATTAGGGAATCGGTGCTAGAAATAACAATAATATTTTAGCGGAATTGCGAACGTAGATCGCTAAATTCACAAAGTGCGTTTATCTATTTAAACTGCGATTTTAAATCCAATATATAATTTGTTTCTCTTAAAATTAAATATCATATTATTCTCGATCGTTGAACTTATGGCGAAAATGATTCAATGCGAACCGATTTTTTCGACTAACGTTCCAAAACACGTATTGAGAATTGCTATGAATCGCCAAGAACTATCAAGAACTCACTGCGAATCGATGTTAGCGGTCGCCTCGTCGAGGACGAGCAAGCGATTGTTCCTCAGGATAGCTCTGGCCAGACATATGAGTTGCCTTTGGCCTACACTGAAATTGTGACCGCCGTAAAGAACATTCTTATCCAGCGCAATATCGTTCAATTCGACTTGTCGAAGCACTTTCCAGAGTAGTACATCTTCGTACTGATTAAACGGATCTAGATTGTAGCGTAAACTCTCGGAGAAGAGCACCGGCTCCTGCGGGATGATGGAGATCTTGGAGCGTAGCTGCGACAATTCTACCATGCTCGTGTCCCTGTCATCAATTTTGATCTCACCCTCCAGACCTTCGTTGAATAGGCGGAAGAGTGCGGATATCAGGGACGATTTGCCGGCACCGGTTCGTCCTACCACGCCGATCTTCCAGCCAGGCTCGATGGATATGTTCAAATTCTACGAAACAAATTGATAATGAGATTCTTCCTGTAAAATCATGAGATGAATCATGCAGAAGGGGATCCTTTATGAAGAAAAATGTGTATTTGCTATTCAAAGATTTTAATTATCGAAGGTCGAGTCGATTCCCACCTTTAAGACGGGCAAATCATCTTTGTCGTATTTCATGCTGACGTTCTTGAAGGTGAGCCTTCCGTTGTCCGGCCACGTGGACGGCGGAGGATTCTTCGGGACGGTCGATTTCTCTATAGGTAGATCCGTGTACTGAAGAATTCTCTCCACGGATGTCATCAGCGAGATTGTGTCGGTGATACATTTCACGCAGTAATGCAAACCACCGGTCAAGATTAGCGACTGCGAGATCGCTAGACCCACGTCGCCGCTGCGTACTGTGCCTATACGCGAACATCAACATTGTTATGGGAAATTATCGAGGGTCATTAGAAGAGAACGTAATGAAACGCTCTAATTAAGCGTAAACATATTTCTCCAAATGTTAATTACATAGCAAATTGAAAGTGGCCTACGTACCATGTCTGTTAATCATTATGAAGGAGAAACAAATGCAAGCAACGAACACGCACGAGATCAAGTCCAGTAGAAGACCGTACATCGACGCGACGGCCAGGACAAGATACGACGCGCCAATGTGATAATCTTGCAACGAGTCGAACTGTTTCTGCATCATCAGCTCAGTGCTGGCACCGCTGCTCCTAATTGTCGGTAGACCATTGAACGTGTAGTTCACTTGAGAGAACAGCGGGCTTTTGGCTGAACGAAGAAACATAGAACATGATCGCGCATATATTTGCATATTTCAGATTTCAGAATTTTAAGATCTAATTCCAACATTTTATACTCTAAGAAGATCTCGTACAGAACAGAAAAAATATATAATATAAAAATAGAAGGATGATGGAAGATTTGGAGAACTGATGTTCTTCGGATTAACTCCAATAAACGATATCAGAAGCCAAGTACGATCAATCGATTGAACAGTGGAAGGAACGATTGAGTTATTCAATTTTAATCAAGGAATGCTCTTCTCAATACTTACTTACGGCTTCGAGACGTTTCATATCGTAAGCGGTGGAAAGATATATTTTCGTCACTAGCACGAATAAGATAGTTATTATCGCGAACGGTATTAGCATCCAGTAATTGATTATCATCTCCATAAGAACTATGCCGCCCATTACGAAAATCAGCTGAAGTGTCTCCAACATCATTTTAGGTAATACTTCATCCATCACGCCGATGTCTCTTGAGAATCTATTCAAGATTCTTCCTGGAACATGACAAAGACCGGACAATAACGGGAAGTACGGACAATGTCTGTTACATATTAAAACCGATGTAATCGTAATGAGTTTAGAGTCTAAAGTTTACAATTTTTCGAGTTTCTCAAATGATAAATACTAGGGAATATTTCGCGCTGGCAATCGCGTTCAATATATTTCTTCGCGGATAAATATAAGAACTGAGCAAAAGACACAAAGAAGAAATGATGAATGAATAAAAAGCTACACCGTTTCGCAATTTCCATCTTATTGACAATGTTGCAATCTTCTACTCACCGGCAGGATTGGCGTTGAAGAAAGACATGCGAGCTTGCACCAGATTAGTGAACATAGTGTTGTGGAGATTGCAACTAGAGTTCATACAAATCTTCATAAAGAGAAAGCTGCGTGACAACGTGGTAATGGTGCAGGCAAGAATAGTGAATGTGTAGACATAAATGGCGGAGTTGGAGCTGAGTAGGCCATCCGGATTCAGTGTGAAGATCAAACTCAGGAAACTGTCGTTGCGTAGGTTTCTGAACTGTTGTTGGTTTACACGTCCGGCGTCTGATGTACTTTCGCTGTACCGTTCTTCTTCCAAGTTGGTCCAATATGAGGCCCAGTAGTCGTTGCCGGTAGTGGCGATTTGGCTTATGATGAAGCACATCAATAACAAGAACAAGATGAAATAGTTGCTGCCATGACGCATATACGCCTTATATACCTTGCCGGACAAGGTACCGCGCGCCATTGTCTCGCCGTCCAGACTGTTCCCCTCGTAATTCATGTCGTCGATGTCGGAGTACTGTGGAAAGCAACGATCATTCAACTTGCTTTCGCAAAGGACGATGTATGATCTTGCGAATCTATTCGTACGAAGTTGTATGTGGGAACTTCGATGCGAATTCACGGAGACTGGATGGAGGAATTTTAACGGGGAGAAAATGATGAGCTTAGGTAATAGTTATTTCACCTCGGCAGAACTTCTAATCGACAGTCCCGAGGAACGCCTCATTATCGAAATCGTCCTGTTGGACATTTCCGAGTTTCTCCTCACTTCTTCCTCTTTCTTTTGCGCCTCGTGACTCAAGCTATACATCATATTAATAAAATCCTTGTTCGATTCCACCAGCTCGTTGTAGATCCCTTGCATCTTCACGAAACCCTTGAGAGCAACAATGCTAGAATTGATGGTTGATTGGTTGACAAGAAAGCATTTGATACGACACTCACTCGATCCAACACGATAATGTGATCCGCTCGTTTAAGAAACTGCAGCTGATGGGTGACGAGAATTCTCGTTTTGCCGGCTAGATATTCGGTGATACACTTTTTGTAGAGATGTTTGGATACGTGAGTGTCCACTGCGCTTAAAGGATCGTCCAACAAGTAGAGGTCCGCTTGTCTATAAACCGCTCTCGCAAGATTAACTCGCGCTCTCTGACCTCCGGACAAAGATACACCTCTGTCTCCAATTATCGTCATGTCACCCTGCGGCAACTGCCGAAAGTCCTTCGTCAAAGCGCATACGCTTGTCACCTGAAACCGTCAATTCATTGTCAGGAAATGCTAAAAAATCAAGAATTGTATCAGAAAGATTTTGAATTTTTTTAATGATATTTACGAGGAAACGAGGAATTGAGAAAAGTTTGAAGAATCAAGAGTAATAAAAGTCAAATTTAGTATATATTTAAAAATTAAAACAAATTAATTTAATTTCACCTAATAACATATATGGAACGCGTGAGAATTGAAAGACTTGAAAATTAAAAAACTCAAAAATAAAAAAATTCAAGGGTTTAAGAACCTAAGGATTCAAGAACCTCAAGAAGGCTCATGCATCCAGAAACTCGAGAAGTAAGGAATGCCGAAATCCCGACAGTGTCGAAATATGAATCAAAAGTATGTTGTAAAGTTACACGGATTCACGGGTAATCTACCATATAGTCTATACTCCGACAAGAACCTGCGCATATCTTGTTTTATCGTAAAGCTGGTCAAACAAGATGTTGTCCCTCACAGTGCCGTCGAAGAGCCAGGCTTCCTGACTAGCGTAGGAAATACGTAGATTCGGGTTATCTGTTGTGTAACCGACGTTCAATTTGCTCTTGACGCTTTTCTGCGATAAGTCTTGAGTAAATGTTATGTTACCCGCGCCAGAATTCAATTCCTTCAGAAGCAAATGGAGCAAAGATGATTTGCCAGAGCCCACAGCACCCACCAGAGCGCACAGCTCACCCGGTTTGATTGTCATGGAAATGTTGTTTAATGTCGGCGGCAGTTGGCCATTGATCCAGTTGGCAGAGACTTGCCGAAGTTCTATATAGACTGGATACTCTGATGATACCTGAGGAGCAGGATGGAAAGTCCCATTGCTAGTGACGCTATCGTGCTTTTTATTTTCTGTAGCGGTTGTTGTAGATGATTTGTTAGGCACAGATTGTGGTTGTGATGTGATTTCGAGTCGTTCCATATTCACTTCGTCCATGAGGAGAAATTCCTGAGAATTGATTTCGTTAGCAGTTTACCGCAAAAATCGAGAACCGAAAAATTTGTGGGAGATCAGAAGTTTAAGAATCTATATGCCAATGAAACAATTAAGGTTCAAAAATAACACGATATAGTGAAAATATAAATATTCGGGGAATTAAAAAACTTAAAAGGCAAAAATCTAAAAATTTCTAGATTTAAAGATTCACATATTTAAATAAAAACTCAAAAAAATTTAAGAGCTAAAAGTTAAAAGTTTTAGGGGGATAGAAAGACCTTAAGTTCTAGATCTCAAGGATCAAAGATCAAAGGATCTGAATGCCTGATGACTTAAAAGTTCGACTTTGGAAAGTTTCTAGGATTTTTTTGACGATTCCAGCGTTCAAACTTTAACAGTGAATCAATTTTTAACGCACTTCCAATCGATTTATGGACACCATCGCCTCGCCCATTTGTATTAGCGCTTGCGGGAACATCAGCGCAGTGCTGAACTGAAGAATATTGAAATAACTCGCCAAAACAAAAGTCACATCGGCGCTCAGATGGTTTCCCCAAATAACGTACATTATCAGGGTAATATAAAGAGTGATTCTCTCAGTGAACACCATAATTGCTAAGTACGCGGCGCGTACATACGCTGAAAATTTGATATTGTGGATCTCCAACTTTCTCGTGATTGAAACGATTTTACTGAACGGCTTCTCCCAGGCGTACATCTTCACCACCTGATGAAAGGAATGAGAAACTGCAGATTACTGTCACTCTTTTGTGGAACTTTAATTAACATATTAGTTATCATCTTCATCGAGTCACTACTAATATAATAATCAGCTACTATAAATACAATAATGAAGATAGCAGAAAGGAAATAGTACTTGTATCCCGGCTATAAGTTCGCTCATCAGTTGCACCCTACGATCGGTGAGTGGCGCGATTACTGCTCTGATATTGCGACTTAAAAAACTGAAACTCCCCTGAATCGGTAAAGTGATAAACAACAGTAATCCAACGCCGACGAAGCACGAAATGCCGGCCCTCTGCCACATTATATACGTCACCAACATGATCTGCAAATGAAAGACATGAGTGAATTCGAGATATAATATCATCCTTTCGACAAGAAATTACCTGAATAGGCATGATCCATACGTAGTGCAGGAATTGCGCCACCTGATCGAAGCGAAGAACGTCATTGCTAAGAAGATTTACGATTTGTCCAGTGCTGGTTTGGTTCAGGGACGTTCTATTCAGCCGTAGCAGCTGCGACAATTTACCGAAAAGGTTACAGAATTTTTATCACCATTAAATAGCGCGGTATAATATAGCTTTGTATAATCGGTGTTCTTTCTTTGTGCCTTTCATTTCTTTTTGATTATTTTTAAATAACGTTACGCAAATATGTATATATAATATTAACGGACTGTGCAAGAGTTTTAAGTCAATTGCGTTTCAAGTGCAGATTTTTTTTTCAAGTCGCCTCATTTGATTCAATTATATACTTAATCTATTTTAATTGCATTTATACATTTATGTGGCATTCAAGTATCTACATATTGCCGCGATTAAGATCTAAAATGACCTCAAGATATATTTGTTCCTCATTTTGACAAATTGAGGGAGAAGTATTTCTTCTTTCGTAAGCGCGATGTAGTTGATAGTAGCGAGTTGTGTTTCGAAACAAAAGTGTCCTATGATATTTCAATACCTATTCGCAATAGTTCGACATCATATATAATATATGTATGTTTGGAGAAGAGAATTTATTCCTCAAACACGTCGTCGTTCAAAGTCTAAAGATACGCTTAAAGTAAACATTTTCGAGCTCTTTCGAGCTTTCGAGCGAAAAGTCATTTTCACACGCTCAATTATTATTGTTATAATCCGTGATAATTTGTAATCATTGCTCCTGAGTGACCTCGATTTTCTTAATATTTATATGTCGCGATTGCAAAATCAAAAAGGTAAACCATTGATGAGCAATCGACGAGATCCTTTATTTCGTGACTACTTAATGACATTGATTGGATGATAAACCAATTAGGTTATTAATAATAAAAATTCGCCAATTATCGGTCCACATTAACTATCGTTTCATTTCTCTTCCATGTTTTTTCTTTCTTTTTCTAACAGTTGCAAATTCCATGAGGCGATATGGAAATTTATTTCCAAGAAACTGTGCCTTTGTGTGCGTAGAAGCACGTTATCGATTACTCATTTAACTTTATCTAACTCTATGTTTCTAACTTTAACTTGTCCTGTTTTTCCAAGAAAAAAATTTTTTTAACGTGCCTAGTTATAGATGCAATTATAAATGCTACATATATATATATATATATATATATATATATATATTTAACGAATCAATTAGAGACAAAATAATTGGAAGACATGAATGATTTGCGACATTACTTTTCTGTAGATCAGTGAACTGCAAGCGATGCGTATTCTCATTCCGACTTGTAGCGATATCATATTTGAATTATTCATCATAATGACGGAGATGATCAAGTTTATAATAAGACAGGCGCTGTAAATCAATGCATCGTTCTTGGTGACTCTATTCGGTTCGTTTGGTTTGCTGTGGAAATATTTGATTATCCAACCCTGTAGAATCGGCTGCATCACACGCAGCACAAAAGCCTGGAAATATGAACATTATTGAGACTGATGATCTTCGTTAGATAAAATTTACGAATTTTGCGTGTTTTCTTCTAATGGCATAACATTCGTTATCTTTCGTTATCTTTCGATCTTATGGTGTAATCTTCCGAGGAATTTTCCTTCATATATTCGTTTTCGCTTTTGCGTGTATGCAACATTATCCACGAAAATATTACGATATTTTGCGATACCTGGATGGCCATGTAGATTCCAACAGTAATGTATGATAGCCAAAAGGCGCGACAGATCGCTTTGTACAATCTCGGTCGATCGTTCTGCTTCTCGCGATTCCAGTGTCTGGAATTAGGACAGCAAATATCGTGTTATTTATTAAAATTAAAACCGCCGATATTGAGCGGTAGAATATATTGAATACCAAAAAGTACATAATTAAAACGTCACATTGGCATGTTTACTGAGAACAGAGATGGAATATAGATAGAACGGATGGAATATTCAGATAAATGTTTTCTAATCGCGATTACTGAAATTTCGTTTCGCTACAGAATACAATATTATCTTTGAATTCGTATTCAGTTATACAAATTTACATTCTTTTTTCTTGTAGCCGTGTTTGTAGTTAAATAACGGCACATTGAAAAATATAAAATGGTTTCATGGCGTACTGTGAATAAACATACAATTTATGAGATATTAGATATACTTTGACTGCTGAAAAATTGCTAAGCAATACATATATCGTTCTGACAACAAAAAATACTTACTTTTCCAGAAGGTCTGTCGCTTTTGCAGAGCGGTCTATCTTTAGAGGCCGGTAAATATCCGATTCCTCCAAATCCTTCTTCATGCCTTTTATTAATAATTCCTTCGGCCACCTATGTACCGCAAAAGCAATACGTCGAGTAACATGATACAACTTTCATTCTAAAATTAAATATGATAGACACGAGGAAAATCATAAAATCCCAATTAATTAGAATTTGTAAATTATATCTATTGAATGATACTATATATGTATATATAGTATCTATATAGTATACTATATATATGTAAATTATATGATATCACAAAAAGGCTGTATTTTCCTTCATCAATAGTAACAGAATTGATGCCTATTAATTCCCTCTCCCCTCTTATTACTACTTAATACTATTTTTCTGCCAAACCATTCGAGTATATAATTTCGGATTTTAATACTTAGTATTTTAATTAGTATCTAAACAGCACTTAGTTTAGTATAAATTCATATATTTTTTCGTTGATGGGGGGGAAGGTTAACTTAGTTAAAATATGAAGCGTATGCGTAATGCAGGATTTCGAAATGTTTATATCTACTTTTCGCATACATATTATTTACATATTTTACATTGCAAATTTATTTTTGCAATACAAATTTATTTTAACCGTACACCGCCATTACTAACGATAGTCACGAATGGGTCAATTTTGAAGTTGTCTAGGAAATACGAGAAAGTAATATGACGCATTTCTATTGGCATATAGTTTCTACTGACATATTTCTACTGGCATATAGCAATATAATAAGACATCATATATAGTATATACTTTTATATTCATTTTTACCTATCTGAAAAATAAATAAATTGTAAAATGAGTCATTAGCATCGTTTGAATGTAGGCTAACTGATAATTCCTTCGGCCACCTATGTACCGCGGAATATAGGCTAACTGATAATTTGTTTGCGAAAAGATAAGGATATGACTAAGCAGAATGTTAGTTGCGCATTGACTTTTCAAAATCAAGCTTTATTTCGAGAAATTTTTGCATATTTTTTAATAGAACAAAATATAAGAGATGTATAAAATTAAATAAGATAAAAGTAATAAGATAAAATATAAATAATATATGTGTGTATGATATAAACGAAAGTTCCAAAAACGACTCGGGTTCACAAATCGATAATCAGTTCGATATCGATAATTGATTTTTTCGACCATTCAATTTGATAACTACTAGATTTTCATTGATGCAAAGGAGAATTGACGCTACATTGGCGACAGATCCGTATGATATTTTACTAATATTATATATAATTGTTGTATGTCAGTATGATATATAAATATCAACCGACTATTAACACGTTCATTGCCAAGCTGAAAATTGGAATTTCGTATTTTTAAAATTTTTTTATTTAGTTTTTATTGTGCTCAAAATAAGTGAATATATTATTTATATGCTTTTATTATTATGTACATAGGATTTATGTACTCTAAATATCTATTACGCGATAACGCGTGATCGGCCGTTTGGTGAGAACTCGTATCACGCGATATCGTGTGATTGGCAATGAACGTGTTAACGATCTAGTCGGTATGTACTCAGTATCATATTACCCAAGTTGAATCGTTAATCGGGGTCTACAATGAGAATTTAAGCTCTAAGCTCTTAAGCTTTAAAAAATTGACCAATCACAGTCGAATTATACAAAAAAAATCAATTATGATTGGTCAATTTTCTCAAATCTTACCTCTTAAATTCTTATTGTAGACCCCGCTTTATACACATGTATTAACTTAATATAAATACGATATAAATTAGGTAACTAGATCGTCAATATCTACATAATATTTTCTAGATATCGTGATGAAGTTTTACAAGTATCAAATCAAAGGTTGATTTTCATAATTTCGATTTGACTTCGACATGATTCGATTAGATTTTTTATCGACATGTGAATCCGAGAGGATTTTTTTTCCCAAAGAAAAAATTTGTTTCGGCTCGTAACATGTCTTCTCAGAGAAACAAAATTTCTCTTTTTCTTTTTTTCTTTCAAAAAATAAATAAATTATAAACCATATCAAAAACGAACCAGATAAAGATCTGACTGAAGATATTCGCAGTTTCCTTGGGGTTCTGCTTCATGTTATCTGAATCCTTATTCATTGTGAACTCCACTACTGAACTCAGAGAGAGAAAATCACACAAAAACAGTTACGCTTCAGGCTGCCAGAAGGAGACTACAACAAACAGAATGGCATTCTTTTCTTGTTCTCTTTCTCTTTTCTTTGTTTTTTCCCCCCCTTTAAAACTCTAACTCTTTCAACTCTTTCAAAAGATAAGACTTAACTGAAAGCGTAAGCACCTGATCGCTGCTTTTCATATCGCCTCCGATTATCAATGTTAGTGCTGATATATAACGAAAGACGACGACAACCATCTTTTATCTTGAATACACAAACGGACGTCAGAAAATACGTTATGTTATTCTTCTGCGAATTTTGTTCCAGAATTAATATTTATCTACAATTTATTTATTTGCCTAACATCATATATCTGTTTAACATTATATATTTTTCTCAGGGAACAAAAAACTATGAGAGACGAATTCCGCGATTGCATAGTTTTTCTTCCTTTTTATCTATGCCATGTCTTACCTTCGTTACTTCATATAATTAATTTATTTTATTCAATGCTTCATTGTATATATTAGACATACTTATCGTGAGCTTATATTTGTAATATTTAACATTTTGAGTGTCACTGTACAAGCGAATAACATATTTACGCATTGAATACAAAACTGACACAGTGTAAGAAAATGTATAAACATTCGAATGTGGAAGGCAGTTGAATAGCGCAAAATACTATTACCATTACCTTGCCAGCTGTTGAAATCGACTTTGTTTTCTTTGGCGACGGTGACTCGATGTATTTGCTTCAGTTGCTCCTTGATTTTCAGATATGTAATCGTGAACTCAAATTTCATCAACTGTTATGAGTCGGCACAAAAGATTTTTTTGAATTGCACTTGAAACGTTGCAAACACTTGGCTGAAAGATCCATTCAATATTGTTTATGGTCCAATATGAACAATCATGGCACCCATGGCGAGCACAATTTCTTCGTGTCCAAATGTCCGTGTAAGATATTATGCACACGTTCAGAAGAGATGCCCACTATTTCTGCTATCTCACGTAGTTTCAATCAACGGTTATTCATAACGATTTGTTGATTTTTTATATCATTTCTGGAGTCGTCATCTCATTTGGGCGTCCACTTATTTGGGTGCCTAGAATTTTTTTGCATATAGCAACTTTCAGCAAGTTCTTCTTTATAACAAACAAAGAAAACAGCAAAAAATTACCATTAAAGAAATATTTTTCAACGAAATAGGACTTTTTACCACCATTTTACTATCAGAGTCTGTCAGCAGGCACTGTCGACAGAACAACAGTAGATTGTGGACACAGATGACTATAGATCTGTCCATCCTACTGAAATCTGCTACTAATTTGTCGTCAAACTGCTAAAAGTTTGCTTATTGGGCATAAACCCTCTCCTAAGAATGTCGACGGAATTCTGCTTTTTTCAAGGCCGCTCTCTTACTGCACTAAGAAAAACAAATCTTAGGGGAAATTCCAACTGTTAGTAAACTTTCATGTTTATAAGAAAGCCTGATAATGAAAAAATACCGATACGACCGACGTAATAACATCGCAATAATATATTCGATAATTAGATCAAATGACACTTGGACAATTTGTGTGTATGTGTAATTTTATTTAAATATAATTATTAAAATTCGTTCAATAGTAAAATGCTTATAGTTAATTCGACATTTGTGTTGCAGTCAATGTCTATGTTCATTTTCCATGAGAATTTTAAGATAATATATAAAATCAAGGTAGAAAACAGGTATATTTTCACATAGGAAGATTAATACGCACGAACATCTCTCTGATCTGATCTTGTATTTTCATAACATATAATTTTTCCCTCATTGTCATCGTCATCGTTCTTACATGATGATTTTGATAATTTGTATTAACCTTTCATTGCTTTTCGCGAAGTTCTTCTATACTTATGTATGTAAATTTTCAGCGCGAACGTGTCTTTTTCGTAGGATATACAATATATCGGTATTATCATTTATGAGGGTAAATCTATAGGGCAGATTGTTCTATGATCTCGTCGACTGCAACGTCACTCTCGTTGGAACTTCGTCTCGATAGATCTAAATTCCGATGATTGTCGTTCTTTTGACAAGCCTTCTCAGCCTGCTCGAGAAGGCTCCGGGCCATTTGGCTGCCCGTATTTTCCACCATTTTCGAAAAATAGCCGTTCGGTTTGTCGTGCAACAACTCGTATGGACAACCGAATTCCTATTGGCGTGTATAATTATCATTAATTATGTTAAACACGTTATGTTTTTACCTACTTTCCAATTGTAATAATAATTCTGTTATGTCGCAGACGTTTATTATATAAACTTTTCTTCCGAAATTTTCTAAGCTCAAAGAAAAAATTTCTTCTGAGATATCGGATATCATTACACATTAATTGAGATTACAAAGGTTTCTTTTTAAAGAACCATAAAAAACTGAAAAATAATATCCTAAAAATTCCTTTAAATGATTTACAAAGTGAATATTTTCTATAATTCATGCATATTATATTAGAATAAATAACATACCACTATATAACCATTTTCCATTACGATAATTCGATCACTATCTATAATAGTGTTTAAACGATGTGCTATCGTAATTACGGTGCATTCTTTGAAGTTACTTCTTATCGTTTCCTGGATTAAGGAGTCAGTGCTGGAAAATTACAATTTTAGCGCAATTACGAATGTAGGTCGTCAAATCCACAAAGTGCGTTTATCCGTTTGATGCACGATTTTGAATCCAATAATGTACTTTCCTCCGGATTAAAGATCTTATTATTATTCTCGATCGTTGAACTTATTGCGGAAACGATTCGTTGCAAGCCGATTATCTTGAGTAAAGTTTAAGAACGCAACTATACTGAAAATTACCGTGAGTCGTGAAAAACTATCGAGAACTTACTGTGAATCGATATTAGCGGTCGCCTCGTCGAGGACGAGCAAGTGATTGTTTCTCAAGATAGCTCTGGCCAGACATATGAGCTGCCTTTGGCCTACGCTGAAATTGTGACCGCCGTAAAAGACATCCTGGTCCAAGGCGATGTCGTTCAGTTCGACTTGCTGAAGCACTTTCCAGAGCAGCGTGTCTTCATACTGATTAAACGGATCCAGGTTGTAGCGTAAACTCTCGGAGAAGAGTACCGGCTCCTGCGGTATGATGGAGATCTTAGAGCGTAGTTCCGTCAATCCCACCGTGCTCGTGTCCCTGTCGTCAATTTTGATCTCACCCTCCAGACCTTCGTCGAACAGACGGAAGAGCGCGGATATCAGGGACGATTTGCCGGCACCGGTTCGTCCCACCACTCCTACTTTCCAGCCTGGCTCGATGGATACGTTCAGATTCTGCGAAGCGAATCGACGAATGAGATTCTTTCTTTGAAATCACGAGATGTATCACGGAGAAAGTGATTCTTCGCGAAGAAAAAAGTGAATTTGCCAAAGATTTTAATTATCGAGGGTAAAGTCGATTCACCCACCTTCAAGACCGGTGGATCATTTTCGTCGTACTTCATGTTGACGTTCTTGAAGATGAGCCTTCCGCTGGCCGGCCACGTGGGCGGCGGAGGATTTTTCGAAATCATTGACTTCTCCGTGGGTAGATCTGTGTACTGAAGAATCCTCTCCACGGATGTCATCAGCGAGATCGTCTCAGCGATTTGTCTTACGCCATACTGTAGACTACCAGTCAAAATTAGCGACTGCGAGATCGCCAGACCTACGTCGCCGCTAAGTACTCCACCTACATGTGAAAATCAACATTGTTATGAAAAATTATCGCGTATCACTAAAAGAGAATATATATACATAATGAAACGTTCTAATTGACCAGCCTATTTCTGTAATTACGTAGCAAATGATCGATGAACAGATCGAGTTTGGCAAATTGAAAGTGGCCTACATACCATATCCGTTAATCGCGATAAAAGAGAAGCAGATGCAAGCAACAAACACGCAAGTGACCAAGTCCAACACCAGTCCGAAGATCGCCGCTATGGCCAGGACGAGATACCATGCGCCACTGTGATAGTCCTGCAACGAATCGAATTGTTTCTGCATCATCAGCTCGATGCCGGAACCACTGCTCCTGATTGTTGGTAGGCCGTTCAAAGTGGAGCTCACGTGGGAGAACAGCGGGCTCTTGGCTGAGAACGAAGAAATACGTGATCGTGTCAGTTTTAGACTTCGGAATCCTAGAATCTAATTCTAAGATTTTACATCCTAAGAAAATGGCGTAAGGAACAGAAAAAGAAGATAAAATAGAATATAAAAATAAAATATGGTTGAAGTTGGAGCGATCTTCAAGTGAAAATTAAAAGAAAAATTTATTTCAAATTTAACCTCAGTAAAAAAAACCAAGATGTGCAAGAAACAATAAAATTGTGCAAAATGGGTCAATATTGACACAATTGAAGAAGAAAAACGGAAAAGATTGCGCGCGCGCCAGCATTCACGTAAATTAAAATTCCTGCCGAGAATCCAGGTAGCTTATACAAACAAATGACAGTAGTTTTATACTCAGTGGAATGATATACGTTAGAAAAAAAATGGTTTGTTGAAATCAAATCCCCGAAAGATCTTCATAATCGACAAAGTTCGGGCGCAAGCACTCAACCGCAAAGATAAAAATTTCTGCCGAAATCAGTGTTCTCTGCGAGCAAAGAATAGATCGCTCCAAATTTCAATCACGTGAAAATAGATGGAAGATAGAAGATTTGGAGAACTGAAGCTCCTCTGATTAATTTAAAGAAAGATAAATCCAAATATTTTTGAACAGAGTGGCAGAATCGATCGAGAAACTTTATTTTTTCAGATTCAATGAAGAAATTCGTACGAATCTTCTAAACGATAATAAGGATGCTCCTTTGGTATTCAACTAACTATAGAAATTATTATATGACCTTTTAAGCTAAAAATGCTCTTCTCAGTACTTACTCACGGCTTCGAGACGTTTTGTATTTTGTGCGGTGCGGAGACATACTTTCGTCACTAGCAGGAATATGATACCTAGTATTGCGATCGCTATTAACATCCAGTAATTAATTATGATCTCCATGACAAGTATACCGCCCATTACGACCGTCAACTGAAGTGCCTCCAACATTATTTTAGGCAATAATTCATCCATCGTGCCGACGTCTTTCGAGAATCTGTTCAAAATTCTCCCTGGAACACGATAGAAACTAAAAAATAAAGGGAAGTACGTACAATAGTATACGCTACAAACGTTAAAACCGATTAAATCGTGATGACAAAATTCAGAATTTCACACAAATAATACAAATATCAAAGGAATATTTCACGTTAAAGATCGAGTGCCCTTTCTTCGCGAATAATTATAAGAATTGAGCAAAAGACACAAAGAAGAAATGATGAATGAATAAAAAGCTACACCGTTTCGCAATTTCCATCGTATTGACAACGTTGCAGTCTTCTACTCACCGGCAGGATTGGCGTTGAAGAAAGACATGCGAGCTTGCACCAGATTAGTGAACATAGTGTTGTGGAGATTGCAACTAGAGTTCATACAGATCTTCATGAAGAGAAAGCTGCGTGACAACGTGGTAATGGTGCAGGCAAGAATAGTGAATGTGTAGACATAAATGGCGGAGTTGGAGCTGAGTAGGCCATCCGGATTCAGGGTGAAGATCAAACTCAGGAAACTGTCGTTGCGCATGTTTCTGAACTGGTGGTTTACACGTTCGGCGTCTGATGTACTTTCGCTGTACCGTTCTTCTTCCAAGTTGGTCCAATATGAGGCCCAGTAGTCGTTGCCGGTAGTGGCGATTTGGCTGATGACGAAGCACATCATCAACAAAAACAAGACGAAATAATTGCCGCCATGATGCATGTATTCCTTGTACACCTTACTGGACAAATTCCCTTGCGCTATTGCCTCGCCGTCCTGACTGCTTTCCTCGTAGTTCATGTCGTCGATGTCAGAGTACTGTGGGGAATAATGATCATCCGATTTGTTTTCGCAACGGGCAATTTAGAATTCTGCTGAACTATTCGTGCGAAGCTGTAGGATTTCCAATACGAATTCACGAAGACGAGATAGTGGAATTTTAACGGAGAGAAAATGATTTATTAGCTTAAATGATTATTAGCTTAGGTAATCATTGTCTTACTTCGGCGCAACTTTTAATCGAGAGTCCCGAAGGACGCCTCATTATTGAGATCTTCTTGCTGGACAATACCGAGATTTTCCTCACTTCCTCTTTCTTTTGTGCCTCGTGACTCAAGCTATCCATCATATTAATGAAATCCTTGTTCGATTCCACCAGCTCGTTGTAGCTCCCTTGCATCTTCACGAAACCCTTGAGAGCAACAATGCTAGAATTGATGGTTGATTGGTTGACAAGAAAGCACTTGATACGACACTTACTCGATCCAACACGATAATGTGATCCGCTCGTTTAAGAAACTGCAGCTGATGGGTGACGAGAATTCTCGTTTTGCCGGCTAGATATTCGGTAATGCACTTTTTGTAGAGATGTTTGGATACATGAGTGTCCACTGCGCTTAAAGGATCGTCCAACAAGTAGAGGTCCGCTTGTCTATAAACCGCTCTCGCAAGATTAACTCGCGCTCTCTGACCTCCGGACAAAGATACACCTCTGTCTCCAATTATCGTCATGTCACCCTGCGGCAACTGCCGAAAGTCCTTCGTCAAGGCGCATACGCTCGTCACCTGAAACCGTCAATTCATTGACAGGAAATGCTAAAAAATCAAGAATTGTGTTAGAAAGATTTGAAATTTTTTTAATGATATTTACGAAGAAACGAGGAATTGAGAAAAGTTTGAAGAATCAAGAGTAATAAAAGTCAAATTTAATATATATTTAAAAATTAAAATAAATTAATTTAATTTCACCTAATAACATATATGGAACGCGTGAGAATTGAAAGACTTGAAAAAACTCAAAAATAAAAAAATTCAAGGGTTTAAGAACCCTAGGATTCAAGAACCTCAAGAAGGTTCATGCATCCGGAAACTCGAGAAGTAAAGGACGAAGGTCTAAGGATACCGAAATCCTGGCAGTGTCGAAATATAAATCAAGAGAATGTTGCAAAGTTACACGGATACACGGATAATATACCATATAGCCACTATACTCCGACAAGAACCTGCGCATATTTCGTTTTATCATAAGGTTGACCAAACAGGATGTTATCCCTCACGGTGCCACCGAAGAGCCAGGCTTCTTGACTGGCGTAAGAAATACATAGGTTCGGGTTGTCCATTGTGTAACCGATGTTCATTTTGCACCTGATGTTCATTTTCTCGCTTTCTTGCGAAAAATCTTGAGTAAAAATCACGTTACCCGCGCCAGGATTTAATTCCTTCAGAAGCAAATGGAGCAAAGATGACTTGCCGGAACCCACAGCACCCACAAGGGCGCATAATTCACCAGGTTTGATTGTTGTAGAGATGTTGCACAATGTCGGCGGCAGTTGGCCGTTAATCCAGTTGGCGGAAACGCGCTGAAGTTCTACGCGAACTGGACGGTCAGACAATACCTGAGGAACAGGATGAGAAGTTCCATTGCTATCATCGTGCCTTATATTTTTTGTGGCAGTTTTAGATGATTTTGTTTTGGATGATTTGTTAAGTGCAGATTTTGACTGCGATTTTATTTCAGGCCGTTCCATGTTCACTTCATCCATGAGGAGGAATTCCTGAAGAATGAATGTATTAGTAGTTTACCGGAAAAATCGAGGATCAAAAAATTTTAGAGATATCAGAAGTTTAAAAATCCAAATGTCAATAAGACAATGAATTAAAAAATTTAAGGGCCAGTATTCTAAAAATATATAGATTTAAAGATTCAAGTATTTAGAAACTCAAAAATATTCAAGAGCTAAAATCTTAGTATTTAAAAGTTTTCAAGAAGATAGAAGGATATAAAGTTCTAAATCTCACGGACCGAAGGATCTGAAAGTTCGACTTTAGAAAGTTGCAAGGACGATTCCAGCGTTGAAACCTTAACAATTAATCGATTTCTAACGCACCTCCAATCGATTTATGGACACCATTGTCTCGCCAATTTGTATCAACGCTTGCGGGAAGAACAGTGCGGTGGTAAGCTGAAGAATATTGAAGTAACTCGCCAAAACGTAAGTCACATCGGCGGTCAGACGATTTCCGGAAAGAACAAACGTTATCAGGGTAATGTAAAGAATGAGTCTCTCGGTGAACACTATGATGCCCACATACGCAGCGCGCACGTATGATGAAAATTTGATCTTGTCGATCTCCAGTGCTCTCGTGATCGAGACGATCTTACTGAACGGCTTCTCCCAGGCGTACATCTTCACCACCTGACGAAAGGAATAAAAAACTGCGCATTAGTTCCACTAAATCGCTCTTTCGTGAAAATTTAGTTAACACATTAGTTATCATCTAGTCACTACAAATATAATAATCAATTACTATAAATATAATAATGAGGAAAAATAATGAAAAAAAAATATTACCTGTATCCCGGCTATGAGCTCGCTCATCAGCTGCACCCTACGATCGGTGAGTACCGCTATTGAAGCTCTGATATTGCGACTTAAAAGACTAAAAGTCCCCTGGATCGGTAAAGTAATAATCAATAGCATTCCGACGCCGACGAAGGTCGAGATGCCGATCTTCTGCCACATTATGTAAGTCACGGTCACGAGCTGCAAACGAAAGACACGAATGAAGTCGGCGGATAATATCACCTATTCGTATGATAAAAAATTACCTGAATAGGCATGATCCATATGTAGTTCAGATATATCGACAACTGATCGAAGCGAAGAACGTCGTTACTGAGAAGATTTACAATTTGTCCGGTGCCGGTTTGACTCAGAGACGTTCTACTTAGCCGTAACAACTGCGACAATTTATCGAAGAGGTTACAGAATTTTTATCATATTATTAAATAGCGCGATATAATATAGCCTTGTGCATACTGAACGATATTTTTCCTCGCGCTATTCATTTCTTTCTCCAGATTTTTTAAAATAAACGTTATGTAAATATGTCTTAACGAATTACGCAAAAGTTTTAAGTCGATTGAGTTTAAAATACAGATGTTTCTTCGACTCGGTTCAATTGTATGCCAAATCTTTTTTACTAAAACAATTACTGCAAGAAACATTCAGCATTTTGCTCTTATTTGCCTTTTTGTTGTTAAGTAACTTTTTTCCTAATTGCATTTACATTTACTTGGTACTTACATATCCGATATGCTATTTACATATGCTTAAAAACATTCACATATCCATAATGCCACAATTAAGACTTAAAGTGATCTCGAGATACTTTTCATTTCGACAAATGCGAATATTCAAAGGAAGAATTTTTTTGTTCACCAGCGCGGTATAATTGGTTGTAGCGAATTGTGTTTGACACAGATGCGTCACTCTATGATATCCATTCGCGATAGTTCGCTGCATGAAACACGTGTGTTTGAACAAAAGAATTTATTTGTCAAATACGTCACCGTTCAAAGTCTAAGGACGCGCTGAAAAAGGACGATATCGCGGGCTTGACAAATAATTCAGTACTCATTTATTATTTCTTAGAACGATAATAACTTATAGTCGCGGTTCCTACGTGACCTCGATTTTCTCGATATTTGCATGTCGCGAAAGATTGTGGAAGCGACGAAGTAAGTTTTGAGGATCGTTACCGAAAGCGGAAAAATTATCGATGAACAATTGGCGAGAACCTTAATTGCTTAATTTACTATTTAATAATAAAAAATATAGATTACTATAATAAAAAATATAATAATAATAAAAAATATAGATTACTATATAGATTACTATATTTTTTATTATTAAAAAATGTGGTTTTATTATTAAAAAATCACATTAATAGTAAAAATAGTAAAAGTAAAACTAATAGTAAAAGTTCATCGGTTATTCGTCGTTTTTTTAACCGTCATTCCATTTTTCTTCCATGTTTTTACTTTTTGTCGCCAACGGTTGTAAACTGGACGTAGCGATATGGAAACCTATTTCCAAGAATCTTTGAATGTTACTTTGCGCTTGTAAAAGCACGTTATCGGCTATTCATTTTACTAAATATAACTTTATATTTTTCAAGGAAAAAGTTCTCCAATCGTTTTTGGAGCGTGTTTGATGAAACAATTGGAGCCAAGACGATTGAAAAACACGACCATTCGTGACATTACCTTTCTGTAGACCAGCGAGCTACAGGCGATGCGTACTCTCATTCCGATTTGCTGCATCATTAAGCTTACGTTATGCAGTAATATGACGGTGATGATCAAACTTATGACCAGGTAAGCGGTGTAAATTAGCGCATCTTCTCTAGTGACTCTGTCCGACGCGTCTGGTTTGCCGTTGAAATATTTGATTATCCAACCCTGCAGAATCGGCTGCAGCACGCGCAACACGACGAGCTGGAAATACATAAATGTTGTTGAGATCGACGATCCTCGCTAGATAAAATTTATGAATTTTGCGTGTGCTTTCCGTCCCGAGGAATTTCTCCTCACGCGTTCGTTATCGCTTTTATATTAACTCTTGCAACATTATTTATGAAAGTATTACGATATTTCATAATACCTGGATGATCGAGTAGATTCCAGTGATAAAGTATGGCAGCCAAAAGGCGCGAAAGATCGCTTTGTACAATCTCGGTCGACCGTTTTTCTTCAGCGGCACCTTCTGCCCGTCTTTGCCCACAGTATACTCTAGCTTTTTTAGCTTCTCTAATTCGCAATTCCAGTATCTATAATGTGAGGCAACAAAAGTCGCGTTAAAACCGCTGCTATCGAGCCGAATGTCAGAAACTACATAATTGAAACTTTAAATAGACACCTTTTTGCTTAAGGTGACAATTAGTTGCTAAAAACAGTATCGAATATATGCCTGCTAAATAGTATAAGTACCACGAGTGTTACGTTGCACCGTTACTTACTTGCTTTTTTGAACAGTTTATTTTTATAAATATAAATCCATTAACATGATGGCAATTTAACTCTGTGAGGACGGAGTTTTTTTTTAAGAAGAGTTTCTGCTTGAAATGATGATTTTATTGTATTAAAAATTTGTTTTAGTATGATAAATCTCAAAACAGTCAATAATATAAAGCCCGATGCTATATTCCTTGCATTCGAATCTAGATTTTTTGTTCATCATTTTTTTGCTCCAATAGTACAAACAATATATTTTCTTTGTGACCTATTGGATGATTTTCATCTTTTTCAACATGTGAAGGAAAGCGTCTAGATGTCAAACGTAAAGGGTTAGATAATCGAGGTCTACAGATTTTCGTTTCGAACCATGTTTTTCAATGATACTTTCAATTAGTTGTAATTTGAAGTAAGAAAATAATGAATAGAGAAAAAAGAATTATAATTGGATTTTCTGTTGCCTGTTAACCAAGCGAAAACTCAGTTGTAGGAACAGAAAGATTCTTGTAGGAGGTTTTTACTCAATTGTTCTTAGTTATAGCTGAGTTTTAATATAGCCAAATATTCAGGTGGACATTTTTTTTATTGCAATAACAGAAATTTCGTTTATCGCTATCGAATACAGTATTATCTTTCGATTTTTTTCAGTTACACAAATTGAGATTTCTTTTTCTAACCATGTTTATAGTTAAATAATGGCACATAGAAAAGTGTCCTCATACTGTGAATGAACATATTTTTATCAGATGTTAAATTTACTTTAATATGACATCAACTTATCTCATACTAGCTTATGCTTAATTATATCGAAAACTACTGCAATACACGTATTATAATGTTATTAGCATTCTTTGTTACATTTATATTTAGTAATTAATTATTCTTCATTATTGCGACATATTAATAGCAATCGTATTATTTATTATTTTAATCACGTTTTATTGTTATATTATTATGTTACTATAATATGTGTGTGTGTATATGTAGCAAGTCATAACTAGCATAATATATTATCATATAATCATTATCATTATCCCGTTACATACTGCTACATAATTAGCAGATAAAAATTTTGACGTCGTTGTTATCACATATGTGAGTCATATTTCGTATCACAGGTGTCACATGTGTACGTTGTTGCTAATTACTTTTCTATATTAACAGTTAGTATGTTTCATATCATTAATTATATTCGTATAACTTTTACTCCTGATCATAAAAAAAGACTTACTTTTCTAGATGGTTTGTCGCTTTTTCAGAGCGGTCTGCGTTTAGAGGCCGATATATATCTGATTCCTCCAGGTCCCTCTTCGCACCTTTCATAAATAATTCCTTCATCCACCTATGTATCGCAAAAGTAACAGGTCGAGTAACATGATACAACTTTCATTCTCAGATCAAATCTGAGAATCCTTATGATAGATCCGGAGGGAATCGTAAAATCTCTTAATTAATTAGAATTTGTAAATGACATCTATTGAATGATGCTATATAATTTACAGTTACGAAAAGACTGCGTTTTTCTTTATCGATAATGATGAAGCTGTGTAACGAAGAACTTTGAAGGAAGTACTCATTATTATCTTAATTATTCGTGAACATATTTTTCAGATATTTTATATCGCAAATTTATTTTACACATTATCAGTATTACCAATGACACTAGTTACGGATTATCACCTTCGAGGTTGTCGAGGAAATACGAAAAGTAATGTAGTGCATTTTCTCTGATGTGAGCAGTATGACGTGATATATACATAATAGTTCGTGTTTATTTGAAATATGAAAGATTTGTGAAGTATGGATTATCATATCGTTCGAAGGCCAACTGATGAATCATATAGTATCGTTCGAAGGCTAACTTGATTTTGAAAAAGTCTACGTGCAATTCGCTTTCTATTTAGTCATGCCCTTATCTTTTTTTTTACATACGAAAAAAAAGATAAGGGCATGACTAAATTCGCCTTTTATATAGTCATGCCCTTATCTTTTTTCTTTGCATACGATAAATCATATGTAAAAAAATACGATAAATCGTATGTAAAAAAAAAGATAAGAGCATGATTAAATAGAAGGCGAATTGCACGTAGACTTTTTCAAAATCAAGTTTTACTTCTAGAAGTTTTTCGTCAATTATTTGAACCATGTGGAATAAAATATCAGAGACATATATATAAAATACAATAAAAAAATAAATAAAGTAAATAAAATCAAATATAAACAATGTGTGACATAAATGAAAGCTCCGTTCTTCACAAGGAAAAGATTCCTCCTTGAAGAAACGAGAATCTTTTTCCCTCTGAAAAAATTTTTGTTCGATTCAAAAAATATTTTCTCAAAGAAACAAAATTTCTCTTCGCAAAAATGCAAGTATTCCTCCCCATTTTTCCGGGGAAATGAATTATTTTTTCCGGGAAAAAAAAATGTTTTTGTCCTTTTTCTTCATCATAGCGAATCGATAAATTCTGTTTCTCTCTTTTTTCTTCCAAAAAACAAATATAAGATAAATTATACGAAAAACGAACCAGAGGAAAATCTGACTGAAGATATTCGCGGTTTCCTTGGGGTTCCGCTTCATGTTATTTGAATCCTTATTCATTGTATCACTTTTGATCTTAGAATTCTAAAAATCACACAGAAACAATAACGTTTTAAGCTACCAAAAAGAGACTAGAGCAAACAGGGTGGCATCCTTTTCCTCGTTCTATTTCTTTCTTCTATCTTCTTTCCTCCCTTCGAGTCACTCCTTCCAAAGTCAACACTTAACTGACATCGTACGCACTTGATCGCTGCTTTTCATGTCGCCTACGACTACCACTGTTAGCGCTGTACAACGAACGACAACGATAACTGTCTTTCACCTTGAATACAAGCAAGCGTCCTAAAATTCGTTTTATTACTCTTTTACAAATATTGTTTTGGAATATTTTGTACATAATTGATTTCTCTGTCTGACATAGCACATTTTTCAAAAAAACAGAATAGAAATGAAAAGTATGAGACAAATCGCGCGACCATACAGATTTCTCTTTTTTTTCTCCAGGTCGCGCTGTACCCTTGTTAATTATTCATATAATTAATTTATTTTATTCAATGGTTTATTGTATACATTCGATATATTTATCATGAACTTGTATATTTGTGGTGTTTAACATTTTGCATTTCATTGTACAATGATTTACTCATTGAATATAAAATTGATAAAGCATAAAAAATACCTAAATCTTCAAACGCTGAAAATAGACTATATATTGAATATAAAATATATAAAACGTCGAATGGTAATAAAAGGTATTTTTATCATATATATTCGACAAAAATACTCGTAACAATGCGTGATATCATGCTTAATAATAATATTTATTATATAACAATATATTATATATACTATATTATTTTTATTTCTTTTAACAATTAATTATCATTAAAATTGATTTTGGTATCAAGGTTGGAATTGGTATTATAGTAAAGTACATATTTGTATTAGTATATAGTAAAGTACATATTTGTATTAGTATATAGTAAAGTACATATTTGTATTAGTACAAATGTTGTTTACAAAAATATTTCAACTATATATAGTGCAAAAAATTAAATATTTTGTTCTCAAACTAGTGGCTTGGATTATCTTGTATTTGTTTTGAGGCTCTTATTTGTTTATTAGTTGTAAGTTCAGTTAACATGTTATGGTAAGAGATTCAGAAGTATAAGTGAATAATAGAAAAATAGCAAAGTTCATAGCAAAAATATATAAGTACTTGAAAATAAAATAATAAAATAATTATTCACATTAAGAGGCTTTGTACGTGACATTCCAACCAAATTGAAAATAACGTCATAAAGATTATCATTAAACATGATAATGCTAAGATATAAATCTTTGAACGTTCGGCACGTTTCTACTGATTTTTCTTCAGTAGTAATGAGCATAATGATAATCACGCAATATATTATCTAAATTACAGGATTTTCCATTAAGAAGTTTTATTTTAAATTATTATTCTTTTGAGGAAATTTTCCATTACGTTTTCGCATAATTGTGACTCAATTTTGCCAATAACAGTTCGGAGAATTAGTGTAAATCTTATCCTTCACATAATCCCAAAGGAAAAAGTCCAGCGGTGTCGAATCGCACAATCTACACAGCTAATTGAAGTCTCCGTTACACGAAATAATACGTCCAGAAAACTTCTTACGTAATAACACGATCATTTCACAGCTTATGTGGCATGTAGCCCCATCTTGCTAAAAATAAACATCGTCCAGGTCCAGTTCTTCAATTTCAGGCCAAAAAAGATTTGTCAGCATTTTTATCGAAATTTAAAATGAAACCTCTTAATGGAAGATCCTGTATTAGTATCTAGCTATTTGTGTCTTAAATTTTAATATACCTCGACTTGCGAGAAATCTGTCAGGGCTGTCGAATCTACTAACAGCCGTCAGTTTATGTTTGCCTGTATCTTCCGCTTAAATACTCTATATTTTTTTTCTCTCATCTATATAATTTTATATATAGTCTGTGTTACCTATATATCTGTATATAATATATCCTATATTATATATCTAGTATATCTATATGCTTCATAAGCGGTCGATATTAAAAAAGTGGAGAATATTCGAAAGATTTAGTTGACAAAAATGTATTATCTAAATACCTGCTTGCCTACCCAACCGTTTCATTGCGTTTCACCGTACTTATCTATGTAAGACTGTTTCGCCACTTTCACTAATTGATCGTACATGTCAGTCTCCTTCACCAATGAGGTAAATTGACCATGACTATTTTGCAATAATATGTGAGGGTGGTCGTATTCCTGTAAAAAAAAATAAAAAAAGATAGATAAAGTTATGACTTAACAATGTTATTAATTTTTATCAAAGTGCAAGTTACATCTATTAAATCATCGAATTAAAGTTCCAAATTTCGAAAATTCTCCAAGTGTCGAGACTCGAAGAAAATTATACTTACAGTCATACAACCCTTATCCATCACTAGGACTTTGTCACTGTCCATGATGGTATTCAGCCGATGTGCCACTGTGAGCATCGTGCAGGTCGCAAATTTCTTCCTGATCGTGCGCTGAATCAATGCGTCCGTATGCGGGTCCACATTCGCGGTCGCTTCGTCCAACATCAATATACGATTATTCCTTAAGATAGCCCTCGCCAAACACACTAGCTGTTTTTGCCCGACGCTGTAGTTACAGCCTCGATCGAATACGCGACTTTCCAATCCGTTTCCAGCATTACTGATCGCGTCTTTCAACTCAACCTGAAAGAGTACAGCAAAAGATGTCATTTTAGTTCAGAAAAATTTAGATTTCGGAATGTTGAAAATGTGTGAACTTAGAACTCTATGATATTTAGAAACTATATTTCGAACTTTAGATACTCAAAACGGGAATTTTACGGTCTCAGATCTGATTTTGAGATCTTGAAATAATAGCACATTATCATTATTGAATAAAAAGTCTTTTGTCGACAAACCTCTTCGAGCGCGTCCCATAAGTCTTTATCCGGAAATTCGTCGAAGGGGTCCAGATTACGCCTCAGAGTGCCCGAGAATAAAACTGGGTCCTGAGGGATGATGGATATCCTGCGTCGCAGATCCTCCAAGGCTATCGAGCCCGTATTCGTGCCGTCGATATCGATGACACCTTCCACTTTCGCCAATCGGAATAACGCCGATATCAGCGATGATTTTCCCGCGCCCGTTCTTCCCACGATACCGATCTGTGGAGTAAATTACATTTGCAGCATTCTAATCACTTTCCATTCTTTTATAATCGTTACTTTTTCAACAGGACAGGAATCGGAACGAGCGGAACAGAAAATTGGAGAGAATCGGTGAACGATTAAAAAATTTTTGAAGCTACCGATTTCTCTTTCTTCCCATACATCCTGTTCTCCGCAGGACTTCGCCGGAAGGAAGAAATTTCGAGTGTCTCAAATGTCGCAAATCGGTGCTCACGCTTTTCGAAATGAATTCTTCTCGTTCCCTATCTCCGTTTTCCTGTTGCCACGTAGAATTCGTACTTGGAATTCACGTACCTTCTCTCCCGCAGGGATCACGATGTTCAACCCCTTGAGGACAGGCGGGAACTCGTTCGCGTAGCGCATGTAGACGTTATTGAACTCGATGTTGCCCATTAAGGGCCAATTTTTGGGAGTGTTGGCCGGCAACGCCGGTTCTTGCTTGTTCTTCTTCTTCAAAAATAACCCTCTGTCCCTGAGGTTTGGCTCCGGCGGTAGCTGAATGTAATCGATCACGCGTTCCACCGCCATCATCTGGTTTGCCACCTCCGCATTCTGCCGCATCCCAAACTGTATGTAGCCGGTGATCGCCATGATTTGCGTTATTACCAATCCCACCTCTCCACCAGTAAACGCTGGAAGACACGTTTAACTCTGTCATTTAATCCCACCGGCTCGTTTCCTTTCCCGTAAGCGCTCAGTAGGTTCGATAGTTAATGCGAACAATCAATAAAATAAAAATAAAATATAAAATAAAATGTAATTGTTTAGTCTTAGAAGCACAAATCTAAAAGTAAAAATACAAAATGCCAGAGATTGGTGGAGGACACTCGGTCGAGGAGAATCGATTCTTACAGTCCTTCATTAGCAAAAAGGTGAAAATGGCGACGGTGACCAACACAAGGCAAAATACGTCCAGACAAAACGCAAAAGCCGTGCTCGTCAGGATGTACATGTACACGCTGGACGTGTGTAGATCCTGCAGCTTGTCGAATTCTTCCTTAAGTATCGATTGGATGTGGTACGCTCTGATAGTGGGCAAGCCGTTCAACGTAGCGCTTATATGAGTGAACACTGGTGAACGTGCTGTAACATAAAAGAAAACATACTGGCTAAAAAAGTACCAGAAACAGTGCAGTGTATTTAGAAAATCGAGGTAGAAATAGTCGCAATTTTGAAAATTAAAAAAATATCACATAGAATTGAAGTGATCGCAAGAGTGCAGAAGCGAGATATTGCAAATAATCAAAACTGATCAAACAACGTGGTTGATATAAGAGAAAAAGAAAAACATGATAAATTTGACAAACTGAAGATTCTTGCGCACCGATTCTTGCGCACCCTCGTAATTAATAATATAGATATCGCAAATAAAACAAAAGGATACTTTGATAACAATAATAGTAATTATGAGAAAAATGTCGGCAACAATTCTCGACGAGCACTACAAGAGGAAAGCCAGACGTACTCATTCCTTCCAGTCGCTTGACGTTCTTGCTAGTACTGAGATAGACCTTCTTCAACCAGTGGAATATTATAAACATCAGCCCGATAGGCGCGATGAGGAACGGACTGACTACAGAGGTTACCAACAATGAGCCGATCATCATCATGTTCATCTGGCCGGCGTCCAAGATTCCTTTCGGTAGCAGCTCGTCGATCGCGCCCATGTCCTTGGAGAACCTGTTGAGAATCCTGCCGCTCGGATTGGTGTCGAAGAAGCGCATCCCCGTGCGAATCAGCGCGTTAAACATTAGATCGTGCAAACGCTGGTTGCACGTCATGCACATTTTGTAGAAGAAGATCGATCTGGTGATGCCTACGACGAAGACGCCCAGCACGATACCCGTGTAGATATAGACATACGTGGTCACCGGCAGTATGTCCGTGTCGAGACTCGTCGCGTTCGTGGAGACGTTCGTTCGGTTGTCACTCGCGAAGTTAGCTAGATGTCGCTTTTCCTCGGCGTCGAGCCTGGAAGAAAAGAAGCGATTGAAGTTGGGAAAATTCATCGGAACTCGCTCTAAAACAAAATATTAAGAAAAATATCTCTATTAAACGATGTATTCAGATTTATAAGTATAATTTCAAGAAACCGAGAATTATAGTAATTTAAGTTGTTTACATGATTATATATTTTATTATCATATAATATAAAAACTCACAAAATAGGCACAAAGTAGTCATTGAGACTGACAATCACTTGCGTGACGATAAATAGGAACAGGACGAAGCTGGCTTTGTATAAATTGCTACCAATTTGGAAGTATTCGATAAACAGAGAGCCCTTGACCACGCCGCGTGATGTCTCTTCGATACCGGCTTTCTGACTTGTAGCACTTTCATTTTCCTCGTCGTCTTCTATCTCGCTGATTTCCGAAACGCTATTCTGTTAAAATATTTTGGTACAATGTAGGAGCATTAAAAACATAAACTATCTGTGTGGATTTGACAATATTTTGAATTTCTCTATGTTCAGTTTATTTTCGCAGAAAATTGAAACGTTAAAAAGTTCCCTACAGCTTAGTATATCACGTAATTTCTGTTAGAATTTTCATCACTTTATATATTCTCGTTGAAACTTACTCTGCTACTTGAAATAAAGGGCTGTTGTCCTCTATTTCTCTTCTGCATCGACAACTTACAATTCTCCTCGTCCTCCCCCGACAAGTGTACACTATACTCAGGTTGGTAAGCTAACAAGTCCTGATACCGCGAAAAATATTTCATCTTGCCTTGTTCAAGAAGTATAATGCCGTCCACGTCCTTAATGTACTGCAATTGATGCGTCGCCAAGATCGTCGTTCTTCCGGCCAGATATTTCTCAATACATTCATGGAACAAGTATTTGCTCACGTGTGCGTCAACCTAGAAAGATCACTTTTATCAATGACCAGTGGTTCATTAAACAAAATTAATTTGAACAATCGACGTTTCGGCAGATATCAGTTACTCACTGCGCTCAAAGGATCATCCAACAGATAGATATCCGATTGCCTGTACAAGGCTCTAGCCAAGTTGATCCTAGCTTTCTGACCGCCGGACAACGAGCAACCTCGTTCACCTACGACGGTAAGATCGCCTTGTGGAAACTGCTGGAAGTCTTTCAACAAAGCACAAGCCTTGATCACCTTCTGATACCGGTGACGGTCGTAATCCTGTCCAAAGAGGATGTTCTGTCTGATGGTTGAGCCGAACACCCAAGCTTCCTGACTAGCGTAGCTCACGCTACCCTTGACCCTCGTCTCCCCTTTTACCAGGTCGATTTCGCCCAAAATCGTGGACAGTAGAGAACTTTTTCCGCTGCCCACCATGCCGATGACCGCGTACAGCTTGCCTTTTTCTATTTGCAGATTTAAATCCTTCAATGTGTTCTCCAACTGGCCCACTTCCCACTTAGCGGTAACGTCGGTCATTTTAACGGCCCAACTGTGCACTTGGGATTCTTCTTTCCCTGTGAATAATGAATTTTACGTTATATCTGTTCGATCTTAAGTATCAAGGTGAGTTAATTAGTAAGGTGAATAGCAACCCGACCCAATCCTCCCTTCGTAAACTTACTTATAATAGAATGGTCAGAATCGGTCATGATATCGATTATTCCATTTCGTTTCTCCATATCGTCGTTCTCCAGAACCTCGTGGTTCTCCACGTTGGTATCGATATAAGGTATATCTTGCTCGGAAATTTTGTCGGATTCGGAATTAATCTTATGATTGTTATGGTTGCTGGACGACTGTTTGCAGATGATAACATTGCTGCTCTGGTACTCTTCGTAAATGAGGAAATTCTGGAGTCTTCGTACGGCTACCAGGCACTCGGCCAGCTCGGCGATGCCTCGCACGAACATGCTGGACATGCAGAAGGAGAGGGCATTGAAGTAGGATGACACGACGAAGACCTTGTCGGCGGTCAACTCGTGGCCGGACATGAGCAGGAGGACGAGCGTGCCGTAAAGCGCCATTCTCGTAGTGAAAAGGTTGAAGGTCATGTAGATACCGCGAATATATGAGCTCTTGGTGACCACCCGCAGCTCCAGCCTGCGCGCCAGCTCGACCAAGGCGCAGAACGGCTTCTCCCAGGCGTACATCTTGATCACCTGCACACCTGAAATGATCTCGTCCATCAGCCGGACTCGCTCGTCGGTCTTAATGGCGGTCTGCAGCCGAAACTTCGACGTGAGCTTGCCGGTATAAGCTGAAATCAGGCGACCACGTGAATCTTTCGGACTGAAACGGGATGTTTGATTGCGAACAAAGTCAAAGACTTCTTGACATTCAATAATCATGACGAAGGACTCACATTGAATCGGTACAACCGTGAAGATGACGCCGATACCGATGAGGCCAGGATATCCGACTTCCAAGTAGAGAATATACGCCACAATCAAGGAGGATAAAGGCGCCGCCCACATGTATTGAATAGTAACAGAAACCAATTCGAATCTATTAACATCGTTGGCTACCAAATTGACCACCTTGCCCGGCGCCGTCTCTCCTAGCGCCGTTTTGCTCAGTCGTAGGGCCTGCAAAGTATACGTGAAAAGTAATTAGGAGATTCGGATAATTTACTAAGCGATTCATTGCCGGTTCCGCGTGCTATGCAAAGGAAGATGCGACCAACAAGAATAAAATCGTGACGGTATAAGAATCGTTTGATCGATTCTCCTTAAATCCGGCCAATATTGACTTAATTTTGAAAATTAGAAGATTTATCAATACGTCCAAGTTTCGCTTCTTCGCAGATACACCTGTTCCTGAATTATCATATTTTCTTTCATATTATCATAATTTTGGAGATATAGACTCGAAGTAATTCATCAATTCCACAAATTTCGCTTCGGACATGATTTCACATGTAATGTTTAAATATTCGTAAATCAACAATAAGACATAGCGCCGAGTCCATATGCTTCACCTTTCGGTACACAACGGAGCAAACAGCCACGCGAACTTTCGAGCCTATGTGGAAACTGCCGAAAATCGCTTGATTGAAAGCTATCACGTTCATGGCGGTCGCCATGCAGATGCCAACTCCGTACCACAATGCGACCTCGTACGATTCCACGGCATCCTTCCGAAAGTAGCGCAGGAGACCTCCCAGCAGGAGCGGCGTACCCAGTCTGCGAATTGCAAATTGCGTACATTAATCTTCCAAATGAGATGTTCGTGTGATTTTGTTTCGGATAATTTTGATCGTTAGTTCGTTATTCCTCTATCAGCGAGGGAATTACCTTATAACGAACTCTACTATTAACTGCACTAGCGCGATATTGCAATAATCCAGTAGGAATGTGCGGAAGATGGCTTTCAGCAGGCTCGGCCTGCGCTTCCGTTTCTTCGAGTTTTCCAGCTCGATATTCCATTGTCTGTAATTAAAATAAATTTCGCATCTTTTTATTTCCTACCATGAAAAACAGCGTAATTTCCTTTCCACCTTTCCTGAATACGTAATTTCATGAAAAGTCACATCACACGAGAAAATTAAGGTACGATAATAATAATAAATGTCGTATAGCGTATTTATCTTTTTTTCCTAATTATAATAAATGTCGTATAGCGTATTTATCTTTTTTTCCTAATTATAATAAATGTATAGCGTATTTATCTTTTTTTTCCCAATTCCGAAGTAGCGCAAAAGACAGCTCAATTTTCTTTTTATCTTTCTTAGGAAACTTCATGAGAAGTCGAGAATTCGGGGAAATTAATCTGAATTTTACTTTCCTTTTATTTTCCTTTCGCTTTCTCGTCGTAAAATTTCGATACTCACTTTTCCAACTTATCTCCGAGCAAACTCGATCGGTCTTCCTTTAAGGGTTCATACAAATCCTCTATTTCTAGGGCCCTCGTGTAGCCCATTCGAAACAAATCGATCGTCCACCTGATTCAACATGCAGTAATTCATGTAAATTTAGACGTCAGATTTGAACGTGATTAATTTTCCGAAAGCTTAATCTGACCCTCGAACGATCAGACACGGCCTGGAGAATTCTCAAAATCTCAAACTGAGACAAGAATGGAAGAGCGGCGGAGTTTTGTGAAAAATCGTCTTAATCGGATCCGCGATTTGGAGGGTCATGGGACTCACCACCATAGCAACACCGACACGATGTTCGCCTTTTCCCTCGGGTTCGGCTTTGTCTTCGTTGTCGTTGACTCCATTCTTCTTTTTGCGCGGCGTTAACGCACCGCGAACTGCTACTTCGACGAGGCAATTCAATCACGTTCGAATAGTCGATCCACATGCGGAAGACAAGCGACAGCAATTAACGCGCATGCGTCACTTGCTACTTGGCGTTAACTTTTCTTCGTAATAATCACAGTTAATCACTTTGTTATTTTCACAGTTTATAATATCGTGGTATCTTCTCAATTATCTGGAAAAGCTACACAACGACGATAATTAGTAGTAAACAAAAGAGAGATTATCGGGCAGACAGAACAATTCGCTTTTCACGCGCGAGCGAAATCAAATCGAGACGACTATTTGGCGCACTTTAAATAAGCGTAGTTCTTTTTCCTCAGATATCAACCAACTCCCACAATGACTCACCGTTGCATGTTTGCCGAATCTGCAAATATTTTTTTGCGATAGAACCAAGATATCAGTTACCGAACCGATGCTCCATTGTGAATCTTAAATCACCAAAATTCGCTTCCAGTTTTTTGTAACGTTAAAAATCAAATCCAAAAAGTCAAGTTCGTGATTTTCCAACAAAGTTTAATCGTTACTTACGACTTATTGCGTGTTGTTAATTGATGTGTGTACCAATATCATGATAGTTACGAACGTTATCGTAGGAAAGAGACGCGCGACAATGACGTTTAAGTGCTCGAGATCTAAGAGAGTCTGAAGATAATTACATCATCGGCTCAACATTCAAATGAGTTTTTGTAATATCTCCGCTTGCCTTTAAGAGAAAACTTCATATTATTTCTCTCTCTCTCTCTCTCTCTCTCTCTCTCTCTCTCTCTCTCTCTCTTTATATCTCTATGTATCTCATTAATCTCATCTCAGCAGCCTTATTCATCTTCAGTACATCTTTTATCTAATAAAAGTCGAGAATATTATATTCTCTGTATTCACCATATAAATGATACTTGACTGCCTGTCTCTTGATAAGGAGTAGTTGCGCCGCTAGTTTTATGAGTTTCAAATCTTTGATATCATTCTTTTAGAATTTTAGGTGACTATAACGATGATTTAAGACGATAATTTACGACGATAATTTATGATGCGAAATTAAGTTCCTGATATTTTTTATTATTCTATGCGAAGAATAAAACGCAATGGAGAAATTGTTTGCCGTTAATTTGATGAAATCGTTTATGGTATAACAATATAATCAATGCCTGAGAAATATGTTTGAAAAGCTATAATTTTTAACTACAAAAACCGAAGAACACTACACTACACCGAAAAACACTACTTTTAAAAAACCGAAGAAAACCGAGAACTCATTAGACGCAACGCAACGCGTACGAGAATCCGCGTGAATCTGATAATCAAAATGTTGTCAATGCATTATATATATCGAGAGGATGAGTCATTTGATAAGCGATTATGTCGAATACCACTGGCAAATTTTATATTGTGAGTCAGAAATTGGAGAGTAATTAGAAGTTGGTTAAAATAAACGAGGAGATAACGGTTGCATGTCGCTGCGAAATAAACAAACGCAAAGACGCTGGATGTTAAAAGTCGAAATAAAGAATAAATTATATAAAGAAATATACACTGTAAAATATAAAATATAAGTTATAATTAAGAGCGAGATATTGAATATATCGCTTAGTGGCACCCGAAAGCTTATTTGAATCTAAAATTTTAAGCTTCTGCGATGGATAAATATTTGATGTGGCTTTCGAGTTGGCGTCGCGTCTTTCGAGGATTTGTACCCAACGTTTTGTGAACTTATTTAGGGTGAAGATCGACCTGAAACTAACACCGACCTGAACAGTTTCAGATTGATCCTCACTCTGAGGAAGTGAAATGAGGAAGTGAACTATAAAATGTTCACGAAACATCCTCAAACAAATCCTCGAAAGATGCGGCGCTTCCAACTCGGAAGTCACATCGAAAACTTGTTGAATCAAGTGATAATTTAATTTATGGCGATATCCTAAGATACATACAAAAAATTACACATTTGATAACGAGCTGATAAGACACAGACGCGACTTGATGTTAATTTATAATAAACGTGTCGCGTGACTTACGAAATCATTGGTGAATATCAAATAAACCCTTTCTATCCGTATCGTTCTTTATCACGTTGGCATTGTCTTTTTTAAGTTATTTATTATGTATTTCTATTAATTTTAATCTATAATCTACCTTTACCGCTTTCAATTTATACTGCTTTTAATAATATAATTTTTTATTTATAATACCGCTTTATTATTGTTGAAATTATTTGTAGTATTATTTGCGGAACTTATCAGTGAAAATGTTACTATATATATATATATAGAAAAAAAATATTACGCCATATTTTCACTGATAAGTTCCGCAAATAATTCTATAAATAATTTCAACAATAATAAAGCGGTATTATAAATAAAAAATTATATTATCAAAAGCAGTATAAATTGAAAGCAGTGAAAGTAGAAGATTATAGAGGTAGATCATAGGTAGATTAAAATTAATAGAAATACATAATCAATAATTAGAAGAAGACAATGTCAACGCGATAAAGAACGTTAATAATAGAATAGGCTTATTTAATATTCGCAAATGATAAGCCACGCGACATGTTTAGAATAAATTAACGTTAAGTCGCGTCTGTGTCTTACATAATATATATATATAATTATCTACACACACACAATTATATATATTTATATTTAATTATCGCTTATGTATTTACATATTTGATATTTCTTTTAATAGTCGGAAATTTAAATTTTCCGACATTAATCACGAAGTTATATCGAATTTTGTTGATGTTGGTCAGTCTTTACCAGTCTTTACCAACACCAACAACCAACTAGTTGACTGAACTTTATCTCATAAATTGAGGCAAACTGAAATTAACTGATGAAAAAAAGAAACCAAGGAAACCAAGGCTGAGTCTTTAAGGCTGAGCAATAACAGCGCAACATTTGATTATAAAATTCAGAATATGGATTACGAAATATATAATGTAGAATCGTGAAATGTAGAGTGTGCACTCGATACGAAATATAGATCGTCTCAAAACTATTGGTCGTTGACCACAAAGTGATCAAGTCAATCGACACTCGTTAAATGAATACGAAGCGCCGCCTCGATCGATCAGTCGATTGTACTTCAATCAATATCAATCTAAATATCGGATGATGCAAGATACAAATGATATACACTTTACCTTATCGAAATAATCATGCGGCTTCCACGGTTTAAGATAACGGTTTACCAGACATTCCGGAAGTAGAAAAGCAATCAAGAGTCCATTATTATTCGTGTTGACGCCAGAATATTTCGAGACCCGAACTTTCAAACCGGTCGACTCGTTCGCGACGAACTTCTTCGGTGCGTTAAAAGTTGACGGTCGTTCGTTCGCTCGCTCGTCGGAGGATATAATAGAAGTGAACATTCGCGCTCTTGCCGGATTTGGTAATAGGAACTATACGCAAGACTTGTGTGTTCATTAAATTTTAATTAGTTTGCTTTACATAAAAAGCGTAATCACTTTGCGTTATAACTAGCGAAGGAATGAGTCAGCAATGTGCGCATTTTACTCACTTTCGAAATCACGTAGCTGCTGATATCTGCTCGTAGATAAGAAGCTCCGTTAAACAAGAGTAAACGCAAATTAATATACAGCTCTAATTGCTGAAATTGCTGTATAAACAGTGAGTTAAATTATCGTCGTGCGTTTCCGTAAATACCTCCACTTTTCTTATGTATTTCATTATAACACTTGACAGTTAATTTGTCCAATTTTCTTTCTTTTTTAATTATCAAAGAAATTTCGAGACGCTTGTGTATGCTCGTGTATGTAAGACTAAAAATCTTCTAAAAAGATTTTAATATTTTTGCTTATACGTGAAAATATCCATTCTTGATTTAAGATTAATTTAATTAATTTAAGATTTAATTTTTTTCTGTAAAAGTTGCCTGAACCCGCTTATCGTTTATTGACCGTGGTATAATTTTTATAATTTCAGAAATTTCGATATTTCGGAGCTTCGACTATGACAAAGTTTAATTGAAATGCACTTTGCTACGTTTATTTCCGCATACAGATGTTTTTTTTTTCATTATTTTATAATAATATAATCAAGTTTTCTTCTATTTTCAGTTTCCATTTGAGAGACAAGGATAGAACAATAGCAACCGCGAATGATCTTCTCACTCGCAGACATGGGCGCGTTGTCTGGCGCCATTGTCTGGCACACGTTCAAATTGGACGATGAGCTCATCAGATCGGTTTTAGTGAGAAAAAATATTATGAACAGGTAACTGAGGTCTTTTCCTAAATGTTGTTTCAAGTAAATATAATAAAAAATTTTACTTACGCGGGGCGTTTGAAAGAAAGCGGCTTCTCGATGAATCACGCCGGGATGACTTAAATCAACACGAAAATGTACCGTAGGGACGACCAGTTATAAAAAGGACGCTTTCGAACTTAACCTCACACCGCTATTACTCCGTGAAACATTGTCCGACAATTGCAAGATAAGTAAATTTTTATTATCGCCACCATACCAGCAAGTACGCACTTTTCACGTGGCAAAGTCGGCAAACTGCTACCGAGAGCACTGAAGCGAAAAATCTGTCACGACAGCACAAGGCACCACTTCTCATGGTTGCGATTTCTCTTCGAAGTCAAGGTAAGAACGAGAAAACATCGCGCGTCGGAATATATTTCCATTCACAATCGTCAGATATAGTCGATTTAGTTAGATTTTTTTTTATTTACACGTTCATACGATTACGCTTCAACTAGTTGTTTACATTCTCTCATGATTAAATCGTCAAATATACCGTCACGTCAAACTTATAGATTAAGATATTTCAAGAAAACTGTACTAATTTGTCGGTGGATGAGCAGTTTTAAGTAATAACGCGCCTATTATTTCAAAATTTCTAAACCTGGGAAAGAGACCCTCCGTCGGCACTTTGTCATACGCTTGTACCAGTTTGCATGTAACCTTCATCATTACACAGCTGTTAGTGACGTAGTTGAGTCGGGTATTTTCGACTCAACTCGGTATCCTTCGACTTGCGCGTCCTTGGTTTACGACCGATATTACATTGGTCAATTTGAATTACACAAAAAAAATTTACTGTCGGTCTTCAATTTATGGGACTAAGCTGACAACGCTTTTTTTACTGTTTTCACAATTTTCTTATGATGAATTATCACGTTTATCATTTAAATATTCAGTTATCAGCTGAAGTTATTATTGATCGCTCCGGTTTCGTAACACATAAACATTGTCGCGTTGATCGTGCGCGTTGCTTTTCGTTAAATGAAAGAAGCACTAAGCGTTTCAGTCTTCATTAGATCTTCTTTAGTGAAGATCGAAATGTGTACGGCTTTTTTTTAATTTAATACGGAATGATTATACGTATTTGGGGTTATCATTAACATGTTCGTTGTCAACTACGAGTATACACGTACGTGGCAGCGAACGTGTTGAAAATGAAAAGAAATAGCGAATAAGAATCGTAACTTAGTTATCAGCACGCAAATTTCGTATATTAAGATATAGTACCAAACGTATTGGTTATTAAATGACCTTACAACGATTTTGATTTTATAGTGAATTTTAATGATTCAATAGTAAGATAATATTCGCAGAAACTGAATTGGATCATATAAATGACACTATAATATTAGACGAAGAATTTTTTTCATTACAACAGATCGATATCTGAAATGATATGTATTAAATATAAAATAATATTAATACGCCAAATGGCACTGAATTATTATTTGATCACTGTGGCTCATTGTTAGAGCAACAAACATTTTGCACGAAATATAAAATGTAAATTTCGATTGTGTTTGTAAAAATTCACTCGGCTTTTTAAAATTCAGCGCGTTGATTACTGCGACCTGTTTTCCCTCGTGTGAGTTTATCACATACAACGGCTTACAAGTATCGTTTATAGTCCAAATCCGTTTCTAGAAGTTGCTCCACCGCTATGTCATCATAATTCACAGATTGCTTTTAGACGAAGGTCACACAGCTCATGACCTCGAGAAACCCGTCGAAAAGCGTAATTATCATTTTTATCGCCTGTCGCTCGATAAGAGACTGAGAGATTCAAACACCATCAATGGCGACTTAAGGGGTTTATGCAAAAATTAATTATTATATGCGTGTTTTGTTGGGTTCAGATAAAATTTGTTATATTTTTTGATTTTGTTCTCTCTTAGTTATTTGACATTTTCTGAGGAAGGGTATTCAGTGTCCAAAACATTTGATACTATTGATTAATGAATGAAATTTGCACACTAATAACTGCAGTAAAGCCCTTATTTGTTATCTGGAATTTCTCTTCATCCTGAATGTCGTTTTCATAAAATTGGCTTTAAATTATTTAGGAATTCTTGTCATGCCGGCTGAGAAATGCGCAATTGTCGCATTTTATTTCTATCGGATGTCATTGAGAGATTAACCCTTTCGCTTCGGATGTCCAGTCCGCCGAAGTACTGTCTCTGTACGGGCGCGCGCGCCGCGAATACGCACAATATGCGTTGTTGCTTTATATACGTTTTCCTAGGTCTTAAGTAACAATTTTGCTAAATAAAACAATCTTTGTTACTATATAATGATTATTATTTACATTTTTGGTATGAAAATATTTACAACTTAAAAGTTACTAGTAAGATTTAAATTTTAATTAATTATTGTCCGCAAACAAGTTAATATATTAATATAAAGTGATTAGTAGTATAAGTTAGTATGATAAATTCTGAAGCACGGATCTACGCATAAACCAACATCACACTCTTTACACTCGTATCGTGAGTCGGATCTTTTGTCATTCTTACTGCAGACGACACATCGCGCGGCCGCCGCTTATAAGCGGCGCTCGTACGCACAAGACATATTATGCGCGCCGCTTATAAGCGGCACTCGTACCCACAGGACATACTGTGCGCGCCGCTTATAAGCGGCGCTCGAAGCAAAAGGGTTAATAATATACGTAATGTGTTTTACACATTGTGATATTTTTCTGTATAAAATAATATATTGTATTTTTATACATATATATACCATTAACAATACTTAACACGTACATTACATACATCGCTTAATCATATACTTTCTTCGATATTTGTTTCGATATTTTTATTGTGCTAATATAGTTGCATCAATAAATGCTAGTAAAAGGTATTGAGCTCCGTTTCTCTCCGTTTCTCGCGTCTGTATATAATAGCAAAAATTAAGTGTTGTTTCGTTAAGTATGCTGCTTTCGAACTGACTTGGAGTATTTGTTCGTACGTTCGATCGATCATCGCTATACAAAATAAGCTACATAAGTAGCTTGTAGGAATTTCGGCATCTTCGTTAAAAAGGAAGAAACAATGGAGAAATGATGAATCGCAATCGCTGCAGTTATTAAAAATAATAAATTCCATTTAATTATTATATCATGATTATTATCGACAATTATTATCGATAATTATTGCTGAATAATGTAATTGGCAGAGTTTGCGAGATTATGCTCACGTGTCTTTGGAATTTTAATCTCTATAAAGAGACGGACTTGTGCGGCTTTGCGAAGTAACAGATTTCTTCATACAAATAACAAATCATTTTATTTATAGCGCCGATACGCTAATATGCTGTTACGAGATGCAGATGAGAACTCGCAGCAAATCTGCAGCTTGGCAACAAGGCGCTGAATCGTAACGTTCAAAGTAAAAACTATAAACCTTCCTTCGCAATCGACGAGATGACTCGTTGAAAAATTAATTTTACATATCATCGTATTCAGCTCACGATTCTCGCTTGGAACGGCTCAGACGGTATATGCCCGTCCTATCACAAGGGATTATTATAAGTACACCTGTGACTTCCGGAAGTGCGCAAAGTACGGAGTAGAAAAATATAAGTACTCGGCTACTCGGCGTGCGCAAGCAGCGTTGTACTTTTGACAAGTTCCGATGCAAGACTGCAAGTGATATCGCAACGCGTTGGCGCTCCGTTGAACACGATACAAAAATATAGTTCCTCTTATACATTAGGTACGCTTAAACGTCACACGGTACATAATACTTAACAAAGCTATCGGGTCTTTCGATCTTCGAAATGTCTCCAAAGGAAGGCGCGCAACCCACTTTCGAATTTACGAAAATGCGAGAAATACATTTCGCGCCGTTTTCATAACGCTATAACGATCTAGGCTTAATTATTTTTAATTTAAGGTTCCTTCGGATAACGAACTTTCGCGCATCGATAATAATTTATTATCAAGATCATCGTTTGTCGCTCGATTCTCGTCGGCGTTCGCGCGATCATACATCTTTCTGTTGAACACACCATGTGTGTATTCATCATTTATTACAAATGTATATTCAGTACATATCGAACCGTCCACTTGTGCCTCAGCTATATCCGAGAGATCAAAGCGGAAAATCGCAGAGCTTAGCTGGTAGAAATTCGGTGCATAATTTCAGCCACTCTTCGTTATGTTTCTCCGTATTTGTCGAAATAAGACTGCCTCGCTATCTTAACCAGTTGATCAAACATGGCTCGGCCGGTCTCCTTTACCAATGAAGTGAATTGACTATGGCTGTTTTGTAGTAGTATGTGAGGGTGATCGTATTCCTGTAAAGAATTCAACGCGAAAAATTCTAATTTAGCGACTATATCATATTACCTTATCTTATCGGAATTTTTACAATGTTAACTGTGCAATTTGAATAACGAACTAGGTCCACATTAATTATTTAAAACTTGCCTCATGCGAAACTAATAATTAAACTAACTTCTAATTTGAATTTAGAGTCAGAACTGAATTTTTCGGTTGAATTATACGATATGCATTACGTTTATCTTCACGATACAATTGAAAGGCTCATTTAACTCTATACTGAAAATATTAAGTCATGATTAGACGTTCAAGTAATATCGCAATTATTAGAAGGTGAACGACAGTCAAGGTTTCAAGGTTCGAAGGAAATTGTACTTACAGTTAGTCGACCCTTATCCATCACTAAGACCTTGTCGCTGTCCATGATGGTGTTCAATCGGTGCGCCACTGTGAGCATCGTGCAGGTCGAGAATCTCTTCCTGATCGTGCGTTGAATCAACGCGTCCGTGTGCGGGTCTACATTCGCGGTCGCTTCGTCTAACATCAGTATACGATTGTTCCTGAGGATAGCTCTCGCTAAACAGACCAGCTGCCTTTGGCCGACGCTATAATTGCTACCACGGTCGAACACACGGCTCTCCAAACCGTTTCCAACGGTGACAACTGCATCCTTCAGCTCAACCTGAAACGCCAGAGATATCAGTACTCCGTGACGTCGAGTATTCTCAGTCGTTCGATCAGAAGACATTGAAACCTCGAGATTTTCGGGCATCATGATCGTGCAAAATCTTGCTTTGGAAGCTCGGAATCTGGAACTTTCGGAAGTTTGAAATCGGAAGACTGGAGATCTTGGGACTTTTAGGATGATAGTTCTTGAAATTTCAGGACTTCGGGACTTCCGCACATCGTCACTTCGCAATAAGAGTTTTATATAGATGGCGATCGATAGACTATAATTTAAAAAATTTTTAATTAGAAGTTTCTCGTCGACAAACCTCTTCGAGCACTGCCCACAAGTCATAGTCGGGGTATTCGTCGAAAGGATCCAGGTTGCGTCTCAGAGTACCCGAGAAAAGAACTGGATCCTGTGGGATGATGGATATTTTGCGTCGCAGATCATCCAAGGCAATCGTACCAGTGTTAACGTTATCAATCTCGATGACGCCTTCTACTTGCGCCAACCGGAACAGCGCTGATATCAGCGACGATTTTCCTGCGCCCGTTCTTCCCACGATGCCGATCTGTAGGATAATTTCATGACAAATCAAACATCTCCCAATTATGCTTCCATTCCTCTATATATTTGGGTTGTATCTTTCGTTGTAATGATAAAAAAAATCAAGATCCGCCTGAGAATTCGAAAATTATCAAAGCTACATTTGATTTCAAAAATTACGACTCTTTCCAATGAACTTTCCTCTCACTTCGTTCAACTTTTTACTTGCGAACTTTTGTAGAAAGATTAAAAATGAAAAATTTTCCCATATCGGACTTTTTTTTATACAAAGTCGTCGTACCTTTTGTCCAGGACAAATCACTAGGTTCAATCCTTTGAGGACAGGTGGATGGTCGTCCGCGTAACGCATGTAGACGTCTTTGAACTTGATGCAGCCTTTGTCAGGCCAGTTTGATGGAATAGGAGCTGGCAATGCTATGTACTCTTTTTCCTTCGACTTCAGGCATATTCCGCGATCCTTCAGATTTGGTTCCGGCTTAAGCTGAATGTATTCGAGTACACGCTCCACCGCCATCATCTGGTTCGTCACTTCTGCGCTTTGTCGCATGCCCCATTGAATGATTTGGGTCACGGCCATTACCTGCGTGATGGCCAGTCCCACCGCGCCGCCGGAAAATGCTGGGAAGCACGCACAACGTTTTATTCGGCCGATGGGAAAATCGAAAATCAGTCAGAAAGAGACTCGGGAATTGTTGAAGCTACATTCGATTTCAAATATTATAATTTTTCCCAACAATGTCTCAGTGAGTAGCGTGTATGTCTTATGAAATATTTATTTAGAAAGTGAAGACTTCTAAGACTCACATTCGTTCAGTAGTAGGAAGCTGAAGGTGACGAGTGAGGTGAAAACGAAGCAAAATACGTCGAGGGAAAATCCAAAGGCCGTGCTCGTCACGACGTACATATAAGCGGTGGATGTGTGTTGGTCTTGCAACTTGTCGAATTCTCGTTTTAGTATATCTTGGGCACAGTATGCTCTGATAGTCGTCAGCCCGTTCAAAGTGGCGTTCAAATGAGTGAATACTGGTGACCGTGCTGTAATATAAAAATTACACCGGTAACGAAAACTATCGTGCTTGTAGAAAAGAAATCCGCATGCTGGAAATAATTACTTCGAGCACCTGAGGAAAACGTGAAATAAAGATTGCGAAAATGTAAAAATAACGCAAGAAGAAATACTCTAAGCGCAACAGATCGCAATAATAATTGGGTATTTATTGAAGTTGAAAAATTGGTAGGGAAATTAAATGGGCAAGTAACAGGTAATGGGAAAACTTCTGTAAATTCTCGACGGGAATCGAGAATTCGGCTGAGCGAAAAGGCGGACGTACTGATTCCTTCCAGTCGCTTGATATTTTTGCTGGTCTTGAGGTAGATCTTCCTGATCCAGTAGAATATAAAGCTGATGATCGCGACGGGTACCAGAAACACCGGATTGACCACGCAGGTCACTATTAACGCGCCGAGCATCAACATGTTCAACTGGCCGGCGTCCAAAATCGCCTTAGGTAATAACTCATCGATCGCACCCATGTCTTTGGAGAACCTATTGAGAATTCTGCCACTCGGGTTGGTGTCGAAGAAGCGCATCCCTGTACGTATCAGTGCGCTGAACATCAGATCGTGCAGCCGCTGGCTGCATGTCATGCATGTCTTGTAGAAGAACAAGGACCTGGTGATGCCGATGACGAAGATGCCCAGCACGATACCCGTGTAGATGAAGATGTACGTGTGCATGGACCACTCGTTCGTCTCGAGAGTCGTCACATTTGCTCTGTCGTTATCGGTATCGTTGTAGGTTTGATACTTGGCTAAATATTGACGATTCTCCTCGACGGTGATCCTGTGAGAGACGAACGGGAGAAAAATCGTTGAGCGATCGAATGCTTAACGTGCAGATGAGAATATTTATGTTGGGTGAAAACGCATCTTGTGCCAACTTGCCACTTGTAATTTCCACGGAAGATTAATTAAGAGATAGAATTAAAACGAGGAGAAATCAGAACGCAAAAATAATCGTTTTTTCGAACGATTATTCTTTCGAGTAAATTACGATTTCTATTTTCGTACTTTTTGTTATTACAATTATTAATTCCTGTCTCCTAATTTTTACGAAACAAAATGTGCTCTCTTCATTGAATTCTATATCAGCAATTTGGGGAATTAATTTATCTTCCGTTTGTCGATACATTAATACTCACAGGATAGGCACGAAGTAATCGTTGAAGCTGACGACGAATTGCGTTATGATGAACATCATCAAAACGATGAAAGCCATACACAGATTGGCACCAGTTTGAAAGAACTTGATAAATATGGAACCCTTCACCATGCCGCGTGACGTTTCTTCGAGGCCGCTCTCCAGCCTCTTAGCATCTTCATCTTCGTCTTCATCATCTGTGCCGCCACTGCTGGCTTCCGGGGTGCGACTCTGTCGAGAAGAAACCTCATTTGAGCGCTACCTTATGTTCCTCATATTTTTAAATGCTACCACGCGAGATAATTACATGAAAGATTAACAGCGACGAGAACGTTGAATCGTCAACGTTCAGTTTTCACCCGAGTTTTCATCAGAATGATCTTCACTTACTCTGTTACTCGTGCTGGAAAATTGCCGCTTCATACTTTTTTCTATGGACGAATCGTCGCTTATCTCGGTGCTGCTCTTCCCAGTCGATACAAGTTCTCCGTATTCGGGTCGATAGTCCAACAGATCTTCATAGCGCGAGAAGTACTTCACTTTTCCTTGCTCGAGCAATATTATGCCGTCCACATTCTTGATGTACTGCAGCTGGTGCGTGGCCAAGATTCTTGTCTTCCTGGCCAAGTATTTCTGTATGCATTCTTGGAACAAATGTTTGCTCACGTGTGTGTCGACCTGGAAATCACCGATCAGTCTCACTCGTCGAGTCACGAGATGAAGTCAATTACGAGTCTCCTTATTCAGATAAATCCGAAACTTCAGAAAATGAGACAAATTACTCGCGTTCCCATTATTAACTTTAGCACATTCCTGCTTCTCTTCAGGTTGAGAAGAAAAATAGCAAAAGAGTCTTGAGAAGTCTTTCAAGGAGAAATTACGTAACGTTGACGATAATTGCGGATCATACACGCGATGTTCCACGTTCGAGAAGCTTCAATTAGTGACTCAACCCTTGTCACGTCACTCACCGCGCTCAAGGGATCGTCCAGCAGGTAGATATCCGCTTCTCTGTACATAGCCCTGGCCAAATTGATCCTTGCTTTCTGACCGCCGGACAACGAGCTACCTCGTTCACCTACGATGGTCATATCGCCCTTCGGAAACTGTTGGAAATCCTTCCACAGGGCGCAAGCCTTAACCACTTTCTGGTATTTATATTTGTCGTATTCTTGCCCAAAGAGGATGTTCTGCTTGACGGTGGAACCGAATACCCAGGCTTCCTGACTAGCGTAGCTCATGTTACCGTTTACCTTCACCTTGCCCTCCACGAGCGTGATCTCACCCAAAATTGCGGACAGTAATGAACTTTTGCCGCTACCCACCATACCGATCACTCCGTACAATTTGCCTTTTTCCAGCTGCAGCCTCACATCTAACGTGTTCTCCGACTGGCTGACCTCCCATTTGGCAATGACGTTGGTCATTTTCACGGCCCAGTTTTCCTCGTGCATGGAGGACCGCCTGTTCTCTGCAGAGACAGCAAAGTTCGCGAAAATAATCAATATCGCGGAATGTCGAAGAACGTTCGATTTTTCAAAAGAGGAAAACTTATTTCGAGAAAACCTTCTCTCAATTAGCGCCTCGATCCTCACGGTCTGCTAATTGAGATGAAGCTAGAATTTTAGAAATTTAAGAAAACCACTTCCATCATCAGTATTGTCCCTGAGATTTCCAGAAAGCGGTAAACGAAGTGATCAAAATCTCTCACCAAACGAAACGTTCGCGTTATCATGCGACGAGATGATCTTCAACCGTCCGGCTATAATTATATTATGCAATATTCAAGTATCCAACGAGAGCACTCGTCTCAGGGAAGCTCACCCTCTATAATGCTGGCGGTGTTCTTCAGCAAGTCGCTAGCGACCATCACCAGCCCATTCTGCTTCCTCGAGTCGGCGTCGTCGCGGACCTCATGGCTGCTCACCTCGTCGTCGATGTAAGGCAGATCCTGTCTGGATGCTTTGTTCGAAATCGACCTGTACTCATTGATTCCGCCGTTGTAGCTGCTGGACAACATCTTCGAGACCACGACATTGCTGCCTTGGAACTCGTCGTACATGAGGAAGTGCTGGAGCCTGCGAATCGCCACCATGCACTCAGCCAGCTCGGCGAAGCCCCGCACGAACATGCCACACATAGTGTGCGCGAGGACGTTGAAGTAAGACGAGATGACGAAGACCTTCTCGGCAGAGAGCCCGTGGCCAAACAGTAACATGGAGATGAGAGTGCAGTAAAGCGCCATTCGGGTGTTGAAGAGGTTGAAGGTCATGTAGATACCGCGGATATACGAGCTCTTGGTGACCACACGCAGCTCCAGCTTGCGCGCCAGCGCGACCAAAGCGCAGAACGGCTTCTCCCAGGCGTACATCTTGATCACCTGCACCCCCGAGATGATCTCGTCCATCAGCCGGACCCTCTCGTCGGTCTTGATGGCGGTCTGCAGCCGGAACTTCGACGAGAGCTTGCCGGTGTAAGCTGAAATCGCGAAAGCACGTGAATCATTCGCGCTAAAACATCTCATCGTAAAAGAGAAAACGATAACTTGTTGTCATCGTCGATAATCTAGATGGGGGAACTCACATTGAATCGGCACGACTACAAAAATCGCGGCGATACCGATGAGACCGGCGTATCCGACTTCCGTGTAGAGGATGTACGCCACGACTAGGGCGGATAAAGGAGCCGACCACATGTGATGAATGAAGATGCTGACGAGATCAAATCTATTGACATCGTTGGCCACGAGATTGACTATTTTTCCTGGCGCCGTCTCTCCCAACGCAGTTTTGCTCAGACGTAGCGCCTGAAGGACGTAACGCGGAATTAAACAGTCATATAAAGGAATTAATATACCGGCCATTAGTCACAGCGCGAATAATACGCGTGTCGTGAGAGTAAAATTCGAGATCTTTGGCTGTCACATTTTCGTGAATTAAAACTGGTCGACATCGAGTCGACCGCTTGATGGTTCAAGTATCTAGAAGAACGATCAGGAAGTCCTTTCTTTTTTCTTCGCTCGGTCAAAAAGTTCTACTCAATTTTTGCGCGAAATTAATTTTTTTTATTTATTTATTTTACACTGGTTAATAAATAAATAAATAATAAAGTAAATAAATAAATAAATAAATAAATGTTTATATACTTTGACGTATAAAAGAAAGCGAAATATAATTGGTCACCAAGAGGATTCATTAATTAGGATATATTCTATTCGCTGATGCAATTGTATCTTCTATAGTTAGTTCAAATACCCCCGTAATTAAACTATGTTGCACTTATCAATCAAATAATCGTTTATAATCATTCCATCAACATTCTGTTACTAGAGGAGGTGTAGCCTCCTCCTATTTACCGTTAAATAACAAAACCAATCGAAACCGGACTTCTCGAGTGACTCAGTGGATCCTAGAAATTGCCTCGGAAATAACAGTACTAGTTTTTCCGCCTCATTTTTCGCTCCTCACTTACTAGTTGAAGAATGCAGCGAACATATCATTCGCAGATCTCGTTTTATCGTTCTCGCGCGCGACTTCGGAGTCCCCGGGATACTCGGAATGAGTTTGCGACCGCATTTCTCAAATTAGCCAATTGAAACATGGCGCTTGCTCACGAGCACTCGCTCATACCAACCTTTCTGTAGACCAAGGAGCAGACGGCGACACGAACTTTCGCGCCTACATGGAATGCACCGAAGATCGTCTGATTGCCGCTTAACACGTTTACGGCGGTCGCCACGCAAATCCCAGCCGCGTAACACAAGGCAATTTCGTACGGCAGCGCGTCATCCTTGCGGAAGTAGCGCAGGAGACCTCCCAACAGCAACGGTGTGCCTAATCTGCGAATGAAATGCCGCTTGATAAATCCCAAACGTTGATCCCGTACGTCGTACACATCTCGGATATCGTTTTACAACTCCGATACTCACGTAATAAGATAACAAATCAAATTATCGACTATAATAACGCTTTATTATCGCATCACACTCGATATCGTAAGAACATTCGAAGGCAAATACTATAGACTTTCGAGACGCCACTTGAAAGGTTCTCTGATTCAACATTTTATCACTCCATAGACAGATAGCAATTGATAATCACTCAATAATATTTGCCGTTCGGAAACGTGATTTGTAAAACAGCGAAAGATCAAACGTCCCAAATCTTACTCGTCCCTCCTCCACTTGAAGTTCCAAATCAGTTCCAAGGCTACTGAGAGATTCAAGAACTTAATTTGAGACGACTTAAAACTTCGATCGCAAGTTCTCGCATTTACCCGCAGCATGACCTTCGACTGATCCCCGTTTCTACCAGCGTCGATTTAACCGTAACCTGAGTTTAAACTCTCTTTAGATGAAGACTTAAACTCAAGTTAAGGTTTAATCGGCGTTGATAAAAGCGGGCACCGAAGGCGCCGATGCTCGTCGCGTCTCGTTGCACGTGTTCTATTCTTAGTTTAACTTTCCGATAGGATAAAAATCGTTCTTTTGTTCGACGAAGTCAAATGGGAAAGTCGAGGTAAGCTATAAATACCTTAGAATGAATTCGTTAAGAATCTGCACCAACCCCAGCATGGAGTATTCCCATCGGAATGTGCGGAAGATGGTTCTCAGCAAGCTCGGCCGACGATTCCGTCTCTTCGAATTTTCCAGCTCGATCCTCCATCGTCTACCAAAGTCACACCGAATTTATATTTTACGTACATTATTTTATTTTATATCTTATATATTACCGATTATTCTATGAATTATCTTGTTATCATTAATTATAATATTATTAATTATTTCATTCTTGTGCGAGATATCACGAGGAGGGCATAAACGCTATATCTCTTTGAAAATATTTATGTGATCATTTTATTGTACGGTAATTTTTAAATTTTAAAACGAAAGATTTAACAGTCGACCAGAGAAGATGCAATTAGCAGATATTGCCCCAGCGAAAAATGAAATCTGGTCGACGACAAATCGACTGTAAAACAATCTAAATAATATCGAATCGACGATCGATTTGATGTTGAGTTGACGTGAATTCGATATATTCATTTCTCACTGGGATTCGTATGAAAGAATGCCGAAGATTAATTCTCTTTAAATTTTCTCTATCCGTTCCTCTTTCTTTCTTTCGTTCGAATAACCCTTAATACTCACTTTTCTAATCGGTCACCGAGAAAACTCGATCGGTCGACCTTCAGGGGATCGTACAAGTCATCTGTTTCGAGATGCTTCTGGTATCCTGTCTTGAATAGACTGATAGTCCACCTGCGGCTCGGCAGAAGGCGTTTTGCGCAAATTAGACATCGAATAGCGTCGAGTTGTGAATAATGTAATGCTAAATATACGATACGACGGAGCGAAGAGATGAAGGATGTGAAAACGATTCGATATGTGTATATGTGCCTTGGCAGCGTGACGATGCATTTCGTTCTGGCTTTGCTTCTTTATAGATACGCACAGTCATCTTCAAAGATGGAATTTACACAAAGATAAAGATTGGTTTGGCGAAAAGAGTACGTCGCGTGTCACGCAGCGCAGTATCTCGCTTCATCGAAATTATATACCGACTCGACTGTTTTCGGGCTCTTCTCGCTTATTTAAATGTCCACTATAATCATCGGAGATTAAATATTAAAACAAATATCAACGCCGGCGCGAGAATGTATAAACGTTCAAAAACTGAAACGATCGAAAGTCCGAATCTTCAAACGAATCTTCAAGTGGTCGTTCCGATCTCTTACAGCTTCAATCTCAGCTCTCGCAGATTTAGCGCTTATTATGGGGATGTTAGAATCGACGATGAACTTGTAAGTGTCGATAACTTAGAGGTGACGCCCGAAATATTATGTTACGTAACACTGATACGATCACGTTATCTCTCTATATTCTCTCTCTATACACTCTATATTCCTTGTACATATAGGTCTTTCGCAAATATTAATGCGGTATAAATGTGAATAAGATAAATATACGTTACTCTGTTTTACTATGTCTAACAGAAAACCTAACCAAGATGTATAAAATTTGTTTTGCAAACTTTTCGTATCTTTTTATGTAAAAGTACAGAAATGTTCTTCGAAATTTTCCTCGTTGAAGCTAACATAAACTCAATATATATAAATTGCAAAATTTTTGTTTTAGGTAAATGTTTATTCTACACGGAAGAAAAGGTTGAATTTACCAATGAATAAACCAAATGCGTTTGTTTGATAAATATTTTGCCTGCGTACTTGACAGATCGACATTTCAGTTTTGAAATTGTTTCCGTTATATACAAATGAATGTTTCATTTTATTTTCGCACATATTTTTATTGTACAAAAGCATGTGTAATTCTGTGCAATCAATAAGACGTAAACTTTGCAGAAAAAAAATCAATATTCTGTCGGTAAAATCTTTAAAGTAGAGCATCTCCTTAATTAGGCCTGTTGCGCATGTTAATTAATTGTGTATAGTTCCTAATGCATTAGTAATGAGATCGGAGGAGGACTTAATATGAAAAATCAGACTGTTGGCGACCTACTCACCACCATAGTAACACCGACACGATGTTCGCATCCTCCCTCGGGTTCGGCTTCGATTTCGTTTTCGTTGCGTCCATCGGTCCTTACGCGCGGCATTAACTCGTCACAAACTATCACTCTAGTACGATTGAGCGATCGATTAACGGATCGGATGCACGATAATTAAATATCAAGTGGTGTACGTCGCTGCACCTCCGTCCGCCGCACGATCGATTCTTCCTCGTGAATAAGAAATCTCACTGCTTTGATCTCACGATTTCGATTTGCTTCCTTGCTTCATTCATCAGAGGCACACACACGGAAGCTAACGTAGTCACGAACGACGACGAAGATTGCTCCTTTTTATGTCCTTTTAATGCTTCTTTAAATTTCCACGATCGAGCTACGCTCTCCGTTAGATTCGGATTCCGGTCGCGCGTTCGCGATTAATTCGAAACAGGCACTTCACACTCTTATCACTGTTCTGTACAACTTTTTCCGATATCACTGATCGTCACGATCGATCCCCCGTTGATTCTTACAGAAAGAAATCCTAGATACCGAGGCTACTGCATCGATATTCGCACGACCATCTGCCGCCTCTTGAGTCTTATCTTCGAGTACTTCCTTGGCACTTTTGCATTGACCACTCGTACTGTTGACAATTTGCAAACATAACGATTATATAATGTTTATTGATTATTATTATTATTATTATTATTATTATGTATAACAACTATAACATCGAATTAATTTAATACACTTTAAATATATGACAATGATAAATTAAATAGTGGATAAAGTAAATAATTTCTTCTCTACCGAGTAAATCTCGCACATGCGTGTGAAAACATTAAGATCACGAGTTATTGTCTGACTATCGAAAATTATAGATTATCGCACGTGATAGTACAAAAAATAATATGAAAACAGAGTAGCGCACCACGTTGACATGTATTAAAATCAAGAGATCCCAGTTACTTCCGAGGTGATAGTTTTATCAATCTAACGTACGACTGGCTCTTCGAGCGTGTCTCCTGCGTTTAAAGGAAAAATTCGCACCACTCGCCTCGCACCCTCGGTTCTCCTTATCTGAATAACACGTGACTTATTTGCCTGCTGTGTCATTACGCTAAAACGGCAACATGAAAAGTCGCACAACTGCTATACACAACTTGTATTTATTGTACTGAAGCAGCTGGCATGCATAGTCGCCAGTAATTCAATAATCTTAATGGAAAAATTAATAATTTTGCATGTTAAAGTTAACACGGGAGACTTGACAAAATTAAGATGGAAATTATAATAATAAAAGATTCGCAAATTTTAAAACCGAAAAGAATGAATTAGGGGCAAGGAACGAAAAAAAAATCGAAATTAGAAATTTAGAAATATTTGGTATTAGAAATTTGATACCAGAAAAGACATGAAAGTTTGCAAGAGAGAAGAATTTATGCGATTGAAAAATCTCGGAAATCAGAATCGGAATTGATAAATCGAACATTAAACGATCGACACTGAACTATCGAGATTAATCTTTTTGTGGGGAAGCACAATTTAATGTGGAAAACCCCTAGTTTAATGCTTCGATGCTTTGAGGAAAAACACGCGAGCGAGTTCGTCGATCACTGAGCTTCATGATGATTGACGATGTTCGTGCCGCGAACGCGTGAAAAAAACGATATAAATAAAATCTCAACTACTATTATCTCCCCTTAATGCATCCTAGATCATATGCAATTCTCGTACTTCAAGTAACAGATCAGAATTAATTTATTGGGCTACGCTAGTCACGTTATATTTTTTGGAGGCTCGCAGAAAAACGTATTTCATTGTCGCGCTTTCCCAATAAAACGAAATATTTTTCATGCACTAAAAAAAAGATTGAATAAACAACAGACATAGTTACACGTGTCACACTTGAATGTCAGAAATTAGCGTGAATATTTTATATCTCGTGTCTTCTTCGGGTTCCGCAATCACTTCTACTTTTCCGGAGATATTATACTTCAATTCTCAAATTGGTGAATTCTCAAACCGACTTATATCTTATTTGCAACTGTTATCTCAATTTCAAAACTCTATCTTAGTCAATACCGCACGATAACGAACATCGAAATACCCAAAGACGATCATCTACAACTATCGCAATCGTGATGGTCAAACATTGAATCTATATATTACTCATTCTGTATTCAACCATAGCAACCATGATAAGAGATTCTCTGAAACTCTCGATAAGAAAATTTACAAAGGGTCTAAATAAAAACATTTCTTTAGTTTTAGTGAGTATAGATAGATTATTTTTATTTCGTTTTCTTTTCTGTCGGCATAAAGCAAAACAAATTGAAGTCAAGGAGAAAGAAAATACAGTTGTACAAACAACGCGATGTCGCAAAGTCACAATGTCAATCGAAGATAGAACGACAGTATAAGTATGAAATAAAACGCTTAAAACACTTGCGACACATAACTCTATTAGGAATAAAATATGACAATTAATAATAAAATGTGACACTATATGATACAATTTTTGTTCGCGGGTAGTATTATATTCTGGTTGCTTATATCTAAAAACTATAGAAAATTGTTATTATTTCCTGAAAATTTTGTTTTTGTGACCAGGACAATATTTTAAAATTTACATATTCAATTATGAAATGGACAAGTTTGCGTATTTTCGCATACAGTAAAAAAAAAATATCATGTATAAAAATTATCATATATATATATATATATATATATATATATATGTTTATTACTAGAAAACCCCATAACGTTCTCGACAGTTTTATAAAGTTTTCGAAAGTTCTAAAAGGTTCCGGAAGTTACTCCAGATTTACTCTTAATTAATGCACTTTATTAATCTAAAATGTTCTGGAAAATAGGGAAGTATTAAAAGTATTAGAATAAATAAATACACGTTAATTTTGATTCATATGTTATTTTGTTCCGAGTGTATGTGAATGAAAATACGCAAATTCGTCCGTTTTTCTGCTAGAAGTAGAGAAATATCACAATATCATTGTCCTAATCACAAAAGCAAAGTTTGTAGGAAATAACAATCATTATTTGTACTATTGAGACAAAGCACAATTAGGAAATAACAGTATCAACTGGGAACAAAAGATTTACAAAAATCTGTTACAATGTTATCAGTGCGTCGGACAAATTGAGCACCGATTACACATGGTTGTTTTAACGGTCATCTCTTAATCGTTTTAAAAAACAGTCATTTTAAAAAACAGTCATCTCTTAATCATTTTAAAAAACAGTCCTCATTACACTCTTCGTCTTTGCGAAAAATATATCTATTTCATTGACGGTGCAAATAATTATTTTTTTCGTGCAATTTCCCCGAAATCTCTTCGCGGGGTCCGAAGAAAATTAAATTCGTTACTAAAAATTATCTCGAATCGCGTCACGAGTTAACTTTAGACAGTGTTTTCGATAGCTTTGTGGGGTGATAGCGTCGACTAACAAAACCGATGACTCGGCGTTATTGAACAGCGCAAGCGTTCATAAAGCTCCGAAAAAACCGCAATATAAATATTAACGCCGTAACTTGGCCGGTATTTGTGTTAAACGTGTTGGACGTGGACATTATGAAATAGCATAGTCATTATCGACATAACTCTAAGGTAGATTGTCCCGGTGATGCAATATTTATACAACTATCTCGCTACATCGATCATTAATTTTTTTCTCCTTCGCTGAATACTAAATCAAATGAAAACGACACTTGTGTCCAATTACGCAATCGAATTTACGCATATTCTTCTATCTTGTGTCTTTACATCCTTGTTATTCAAAAATTCTTACAATCCGCTTATATTCATACGATATGTTGCTTCGTTTAATGTGCACTGAAAATAACTCAATGACAAACACGCTGAAAATAACTCGGCGACGTTAAAAATGCGATTTCCGTAAGGACAATAAAATCGGAACAAGTGCAAGGCTGTGACCGAGGTTTCGTTCGTTCGCTGGTACTTCTTTGCATTAGCTGTCGCGACGCTTACACGTTTCGATATTACGACACAACGAATAAAGACGTTTGTAACACAACGAATGAAGACGCAGCTCTTTCGTGATAAGAATTCATTTTTACTTTCGGCGGAGAATTGTATAAAAGTGTCATCACCCTGTTTATTACAATCTTGAATTGTAATAATGTACGTAGATATTATGTAAATAAATTGCGAAAGGTGACACGACAATCAACGTCGACCAATTGATTGACGCACAGAGGCGTTATAGTAACGTATAAACAGATAGAGGCAGATGCTCTTCATATTTAACATCACTTTATCACTTTCGAAAACCACATGACGAATGCCAATATTTATTCTACGTTAGCACTCGTTTCCTTTAGTGAGAAATCTTACAGACAGCTTCTCGCCAGTTGTGTTAGTTATTTACAGAGAATGTTCTGTAATATTTCTTTCTTTCTTTTAGGACACATATGAATGCGATTAAATCATCAATGGGAATAAGCACGAACAGTCGATATAGCTTCGTTCAGTGAGCGGATGTACTACATGCAACATCGGCTCGGGTTGCGACTAAAATAAAATTACAAAAGTCTCCGCATAGAAGACGTTGCAGTTCTGACGCGTCTTTCACTCGATTCTTACGTCTTTCACGCGATAGATTGTGGTTAATTTTCACGTATCCACAGGTTAATTTTTAATAACGAAATGCTACCGGGAATTCGCCTATAATATAGCTTATGACGTAAGCGATTTAATCTTAATATGTTATTATTATGATTTCTACGAACATACGATAGAAATCGTGCACAGACCATAGCCGATGATGAACTTTGCATTACGATGGTTAATCACAGGTTAATTAGGTTAATGTAGGTTAACGTAGGTAATGTAGGTTAATTGTAACCTAAATAGATGCTGAGATTCTAATACAACCAATTCTTGCATGCTACCTATACAAGACTTAGCGCGGACTTCGACAGGCCAGGAGAGTCTAGAGTGTGTGGAGAACAGCGTTGACAACATATAATTATAAGATAATATAATAATTATTATTACAATTTATCATTATTTTAATTATCTTAATTTTATTATGTTAATATACATTGGGGGATGCAGCTCGAAATATTATGTGAAATTATGTAACATCCATGTGAACTTTATACCTGGAGATACTTAATCCTTTGGGAGACTAGATTCCTAGCCATTAGTTTGACAATGGAAAGATGTAATTTTTTTCATATTAGCAATGTTCATTTTTTATTATGCCATTAAATGTCATTCTGATAGTTGAACGCCGATAACTGTAAATTATACACTTTTTTTTTCGCTATAGCTCGGTACATGCTGTGTAATACCACGTTCTAAGATTGATCCGAAGACAAAAGGAATCGGTGCAGTTCAACTTCAAATAGAGTCCACAGTACAATGATGACAACAAGAAGAACGTGACAACGATGTATGTTTATTTAACGAGTTATGCACTGCGCGCGATCAATGGTTGGAATAATCGTCGTGGCCGCGTTCTCAGAGTAGTTCACAACATTACATAATGCGCTCGTTTTCTTAACAGAAATGCGCGACTCATTATATCCTTATAGCCGAGAGCGAATCGTTTACAGAGAAGACGGAGCCGTAGTCAGTAATAATGTCTTCCAACACGAACGAGCGCTCCCTCTTTTTCTTGCTTCTCTCATTGATGCTATAAATAAAGCATTTTCAAGTAGAAATGTGCCGACAAATGAAATGTGTTTTCTCTGAAGAAATTCTACATTAATATTTACTTAATTTAATTCATATAACGCGTAATTGTGCGGTTCCAAACGAGTGACAACGAACATACGATAGAAATCGTAGCTCTAAATGAAAAAAAGAGCACATTAAGTAAATTGACAGCTAAAAACACACAGAAAAACACATACCGTATTTAAGTAAATGTTAAAAATATTTCCTAAGTTCATATATCTGTAAATATATTATAAATTCATCATGAGCAACAAATTTCAATTCAAAATATATTCTGAATCCTAATAATTTTAATACTTCAATCAAGAGTATCAAATTAAAACAAAAACTTCGATTTGCTTATTCAAATTAACCGAATTTAACTTTTCCTCGATAAAGTTTACAAGTTTCTTGAAAAAAAAAAAATAAATTTTTCTTTTGAGTACTTGATAACGAACTTTTCTAAAATTTGTGACGAATATATTTTAAGATTATCGTCAAAAAAATATTCTTAGTTGCAGAGAACTATTAATTAAAAGAAATAACTGCTTTTCTTAGCATAATATTCACAATTTCTTAGAATAATATTTTTCTCTGTGAAGAAGCGATTGTTGATAGATTCAATCTCGCCGGATTCAAAGTGGCGACTTAGACTCATATTAATAATCGTTATTCGAAACTTGTCTCAAATGAGATACGTAAATTTGAGTTTAGAGTTACATGTTAGTTTTTCAGCTAAACCGCGATTACAAATCTTACATACACATCATACATTCAACGAAGAAACTCAGATCTAATTTCGGATTCAGGTCCGAATATCTCACGTGAAGTATGTTGCAGGTCTCACATGAGGCAAAACTATTATATATCGCTCTATGGGACCCTTGGAAGTCGAATCAAAATTGAATTCGCTTCTCGTACGTGAGTCACAGCGGTCTCGTTCGCGCGTGAGCGTACACAAGCTATAAAGCCTATTAAGTTAATTTGCGGCTGATTAATGTTGTATGACGCGAAGGAATATTGCAAGTTACGTCGATTGACGGCGACTCAGCTAGTGAAAAACGCGACAGGTCAATCGCGCGCGCTATCATACGCATAATCATCGCAGCAGTTCAGCATTATATATATGTCATGTGACTCACGATTAAAGTGTAAGCGAACGAATGATACCGTGCAGTAACAAAAAAACAAGCGTTTTTATCTCGCATTGTCTAGCGTCTCTTTTCTAAACGCTGGACCGATTCGACTTCGAAGCGTAAAATCGTTGGTTCGAAATGGATCCTTCCTGATTTTTCAAATATTTTAGGTCCTCTTTTCGTTTTAAAATATTTCATTCAAAATTTTTAACATCAAATCTTGCACACGTTATGAAATAATAGAAACAAAACAATATTGCACACTCGTTCGATAAAAAAAAAAACCGATTGACTAGTGCAAATAGTCGGGAATTAAAATTTTAATTTTTTGCACTTCTTTTGTGTGTGTGTGTGTGTGTGTGTGTGTTTAGTCAAACATTACAAAAAATTATTACTGGTTATTATCGCTGGTAAAAATTAATATGATAAGAAAATTAGAAAACAATGAAATTACAACAACGTTACAGTTCATTAAATAAAATTAGTTTTAACTTTTACGGAACAGGAACAAATAAACATTGAAATGCAACATATTTTGAAGCCTCTAAGTGACACTAATAATCAGTCGGGGCAATATTAGTTTAACACAAGTATATGGATTAATAATAATTATAAGGTTTATTAATTTATAAGGGATCGGGAATATTTGGCAGCCTAAACTTGTTCTGCATCTTTTCACTTCGCGTCAAGAAGCTTACCTCTATGTTTTCGTTATTATCAACAATAAAAAATGAAAAATATTTACTTAAAATCCGTTCATAATACCAATTATTATCAAGGTATTATGAGATAATTTGAGTTATGTCCCGTAGTGCCTCAGAATATATGCTTTTACGTCGAATTTTCATAATTTAATCTCATTCTGAACGATCACCATATGAGGTCAACAATAAAGTTTCCTCCAACATACAAACTATTTGACACCTAAGAATGCAACTAGATGACTAAAATAGAAAAAATTATTAAAAAAAAAATGTTTTCCTGATTTTTTAATATTCCTAAATTTCCAGAACTTACGATATGACGGGAACGAGATAGAGCACCTTCTCGAAAATAATTGAAAGGATCGTGGGCTTTCGTATTTTCATATTTACAGTAATTGTGAGACTCTATCAAACAGACAAATTCAAAAATTCTCCGCAATGTCGCGTAGCCTAAAGTACCTCAGTTTCTCTTACAGTTAGCGGAAGAAATATATGGTTAGCGGAAAAATACATTTTTGTTTTGACAAAATTTAGACTAAAAATACGTCTGGGAATTGCAAGAAGTGGTTAACAACAGCTCTCGCACAACAACGTCTCGTTCGGAAATAATATCAAGACTGGAAATAATATCAAGACCGTAGCTTATCGGTATTCCCCGTGTGAGTTAATCAAACCCCGCGCGAAGACTGTTCTCGTACTTTTCAGAGTCAGTTCGAAAAATGTTCGTGTATTAGAAACACAAATAGTAGCTTATCGACGTCGCCTGATAAAATGTCAAATACACTCGAGATAAAATCAACTTAATTGAGAGATAAAATGAATTAATCTGTAAATTTATCGATTAATCATCGCGAGAAACGCACGACAATTAATGATATTCAAGAAAATCTCTATGGTTACGGGAGTGATCGTTGTTCTTGTTTATCTCTTTATTCTTTTTTTCTTAGAAATTCGTTGACACATTCCATTTTTCTTTTTGCACTTCTCTCGATCCGCCGATGTCAATGGTTGCCGAGCATAAGTGCTCTTTGTATTGTGAAGGAAATTTAAAACATCACGATCCTGGAAGAAGTGTCAGTTACTCTAATAAATTTACATATGAAGCGAGTAAATTTCCGTGTTGAACGTATAAGCAGTGCTCAGCATACATGTTTCACATGGTAGTTTCCATTTTTTAGTATCCACTTCGCTGTTTGTCGATTCGTCAGATTTCTAAAGTCCTCTCTCTCTTTTTCTCTCTCGCTGTTTTCCATTTTCCTTTTCTTTGAATTTATAACGCACTTTTCCATGCTATACGCCAATGATATAATAATAACTGCCATATATTAAATATTTATATCGTGTATTTCACATTTCATAATTTCATTCAATTGTAATATATCATATTTCTTCCAACAGTAACAGCTGGGACGGATTTATATTAATGATATCAATATAACGCGCTGTGTTTCTAATACACGAACATTCTTCGAACTGACTCTGAAAAGTACGAGAACAGCCTTCGCGCGGGATTTAATTAACTCACCAACTCATGGGGAATACCGATAAGCTACGGTCTTGATATTATTTCCGGTTTTGATATTATTTCCGAACGAGACGTTGTTATGCGAGAGCTGTTGCTCTCCACCTCTTGCAATTTCCAGACGTATTTTTAATCTGAATTTTGTCAAAACAAAAACGTATTTTTCCGCGCTTTGCGATTTCATCAATTCTGCCACATTTAATGAGAGTAATAATTTATCCCTTTCGCGGAAGATAACTCTAATTACGCATTTATTTCTCCGCATGTCTAGCTTATTATTTTTCAATCATTTTGTCAAGCGACTAGTTAATTACGCGACTCATCGAAAGCTTTGCACGGCCCAGATCTTCCGAATCAAGAGCGTGATAAAAATTAAGACATCGGTACCAACAGCTGAGACTTGATGACGGAAGGATAACGCCGATATGAAGTCTTGGCTTTTGACACAAATATTTTTATCTTGAGCTTTATCTGACCCCATTGATTCGGAATCGATTGGGAAACCAAAATATGCAATTCGAGAGCACAGACCTCCTTACTTCGATAAAATAACGAGCGATTCCTCCGGCGACGTTGCGTGCGATATTTCGAGACACTCGGTACGAGATGACGTAGTCGCGTCACATCATGACAAGCACATGGCTACTTGTACGAACCGCACGACTTCACTCGCGTAATCTTTTCGTGACGCGCGATGCACAGAAATGGATGCATTCAGCGGAGACGACTTGCATGAGAATAGCAATTGATAGCAATTATGACTACCGGCTGCTTCAAACACCGCACCCTTGTCCATTGTTTTAATGGAAAGGCGCGGCAATAATATAGTAGAAATAAAATTAATAACATTATGTAATAAATATAGTTTAAGAAAAACGCTTTTTTCAATTTTTGTTCGGAGAGAAACCGAAAAATCCGTGGAAAATTTGAAAAAAAAGAAAACCGGATTTTTTTCCAACTTTTTAAAACTATAACAAATTTTTCTTAATTGCTTCTGGACTGAAATTGTTATTTTCTAATTGCTCATGCCTTAAACATATAGAAAATAGTTATCATTCCCCACAAACTTTGCTTTTACCAGGACAATGGTATTAAGATATTTACTTATTTCTAATGGAAAAACGAGTGAATTTGCGTTTTTTCGTTTACATAAAACTAATATGAACTAAAGTTAATATATATTTGCATGTTCTAATACGTATAATATTTTCCTATTTTCCAAAACATTCCAGATTTATAAAGTGCTAAGTAAATTTGGGGTAATTTTCGGAACCTTCTAAAATTCTCGAAAACTTTATAGAACTTCTCAGTAATAAACGAGTAGCATAAATGCTATAACCTTAACACGTTCATTGCCAAGCTGAAAATTGGAATTTCGTATTAAAAAAATTTTTTATTTAGTTTTTATTATGCTCAAAATAAGTTAACATATTATTTATATGCTTTTATTATTATGTACATAGGATTTATGTACTCTAAATATTTATTACGCGATATCGCGTGATTGGCAATGAACGTGTTAAACCAACTAGTTCAGTTTTGTTCCAGCTGCTCAAGTAGATATGTATCTGCATATTTCAGAATAGCATCAAGATACTGCAAGCATGCGGCAAACGCATTTTGCTATGACTGCGACCAATCCAAGTAACAAGATAGCATCAAATGACATTTTAAACACGTTTTAATTCGTCTCTAACGTTTGACGTCACCTTGCTAATTGAGAATTTATTCAACATAAGAGCAAAAAGTTATTCCGTGAATACTATAATGAGAAATATAGAAATACCATAATAGAGACATATAAATAGAAATATCGTAATAGAGAAATTATATTTGATTACATTCATCGGAGATTATATTTGAGAATTGATTCGTGAAAGTGATTTATAGTATAGTTGTAAATCTCGAAAAACTATTCATTTCTAAATATCTTTCGTAAATAATTTTTTAAATATAATTTTGACATAAATATACATGATAAATTTGATAAGTATGTTGTTTCTTCCTGATTTTATATGGTTTTATAAACAAAAATATGCAAATTCGTCCATTTCATTGGAAACAGATAAATAGATTATTTAAAATATCATTATCTTGGTCACAAAAGCCAAGTTTTTAGGGAATAATAATAATTTTTTATAGTTTTTAGATGTAAGCAATCGGGATATGACACTTATTACCCAGGAATAAACATTGTGTTACATAATATAATTAAATAGTAGTAGTAATATAGTTACGAATAATAGTAGAGAAATAATAATAATAATAATAATAATAATAATAATAATAATAATAATAGTAGTAGTAGTAGTAGTAGTAGTAGTAGTAGTAGTAGTAGTAGTAATTAAATAGTAGTAGTAACATAGTTAAGAATAATAATAGAGAAATTTAACATATAGTAGTAAAATATGATAATAAAATTAGAAGCGAGGCCTCGACTTAACGAAAGAAGAGATAATATTGTTTTTTCTCTCATTATATATATATATATATATATACTGCTCACAGTGACACGCATACACACATATTATTTGTGATCTGATCATGGTTAAACAAAATTGCGCAAATACAAACATCGCAGTATTCCGAATATAGCGCGTGCTGTTACGTATTGCGATTCCCAAATTTAAATTTCAAATATTACCTCAGACAACACAAGCTTCTAAAAGACGCCCAAATGATGTCTTATTTTTTTCTTTTAATTTTTAGACAGGATATTTTCCTAAATAATAAACAAAGCATCATGCGTTTTCGTGCATGCAAAGTTGCGAAACACGACTTTGGCGAATTTGACGTTCGATAAAAAGATAATTTGAATTTTTCGATTAAAAAAAATTTGTCAATTTTTATCTTTATTTTTAATTTTATCGCTCAGTTTCTTATCATTCATCTTTAGTTGTTCCGATGACCTAGTCTGACAAACCTTTAACTAACGATAACGATTATCGCGCCCTTCTCAATTTGTCTTTACGATACTTCGTAATACGATACTACTAATTATGAATAATGATTCACTCAGAACTTTGATCACAACAGATAAAAAATGTATCGAAAGGCGCTTGGAGAGTATCAGAAACGTGGGAACTATTTTAACTTTCACTTTCGGCGCTGTGTAACGCGCGGGCGATTAAAATCGCATCACAAAAGTTACATAATGAAGAGATTTAATAAGGAGAAAAACATCGCAGCTAGAAATATGTCGGGCGGTCAAATTTCATCTCGATGAAGTGGAACTTCCTCGCGATTTTAAAACTCAGATTCTTCCACCGAGACTCGAGGCTGCCGCTATTCCAAGAATAATGCGTTGTACAAAGTCGTATTGAATTATTCCGTTATCGTTATCTCGCGCGTGTGTCCAATGCATGCAAAACAGTAGCTAAATCAGAATTTATACATCGTGACAGATTTATGTGGCAAAGAGAAGAGGCATCGTTTATCATTGCGCGACACTGTAAATCACTTTACGATTAGACATTTGCAGATCCGCGAATTACCCGGACTGCGACAGGTGACACGACTATTTTCGGCCGAAAAGACCTCGCAAAGGTCGAGGCGGAAGGAAACGGAAAGCAATACGCCGGGTCGATTCGCTCGCGAGAAACGAGCTTCCCGCCTGAATAAGGCTTGATTTTCACCTGATCGGCGCCTTCGACTCGCCGCCCGCAGTCACTTCACGCCGCTTACAACTCTCGTCACACACGTTCCGTTTGCGCTCGCTCGTACTCACGGCTCCTCTCGCACACATGCACAAACACACGTCGCGAACGGGAATGAAAGAGGAAACAAGACCGGCCGCGACGACGTCTGCGCGGATACTGAGCGTCCGCATCGAACGGCCGCCCCGAACGCGTCTCGTTACTGGCCTCGGATCACGTGTTATCACCAACGGACACTTGGCCCATTACGCTTTAGACCTGTTCTTTTCCTCTGCACTAGTGCGCGCTTGTGGAACTTAGAAAGAGGTGGATATACAGTTGAGACATACAGTTGGTGGGAGAAAGAGAACTAGTGCAAGCTAGTGCAGCGAAAAGGAGCAGACCGTTTGCCTTGGGGGAGAAGAGGCGTCTAGCTTAAAAATCGAGGCATTCAGGGGGAAGCAAGGGTCCTTCGCAAGGGCCTGAAGGGATCACGTTAATTCGATACCGGTTCCTAATGGTCAGTTCCTGAGGATCGCATTCATTTGGATTTGCGTGTGTGGTCGCACACGATGTAAAATTAAAAACAACAGATTCGGCTTAGGGGGGGGGGGGGNGGGGGACTGTGAAGGTTCCTAGAAACACCATGATCCTTCAACCCGTTATTATCGAATCTCGATTTGGGTCGGGGACGTTGAAGGCCGAGTACAACTTGTGCATTCACGTTATGCGAATTTCGCACGCACCCTGTAGATTATATTTAAATAGATAACTAGGGATCGGTTAAACATAGATATTTTTATTGCTGGTCTTATCGCGTTAAAAATAGCAGCTTTGCACGGGGACATTCGCGGACGCGAGCCAATTCCATATCGACCGCTAATTATTTCCTCGGGTAATTTATGCCGTTCGGCCTAACTCTCAAGTAAGTACATTTCGTAGAGTCTTTGGTCCTGCTCGTCCGAGAACTTCGGAACGAAATTGACTTCCACTATTTCCTTGTATCCCTCCTCCAGTGATGGGGGCACGTAATTTTTCCTACGAAAGGGCATAAAACAAGTTTTTCTTCGCGTAACTAGTAATTAAATGATATCATTGGCTGTTTTTAAGCAATAACTGATATGAGATAAGTGTAATCATATTCAAGGAGAAAATATTCAAGGAGCGCGCAAATATTCGGAATTTCCACTGTACGGGAATTTCACTTACGCGTAGGAATTTATAATAATCTCGTTAACTGGAACGTGGCTTGGATCAGTCAATTCTCGAAACTGCGGGAAAAAGATTAAATGAAGAATAAGAAAATGTAATATTCCAACCAGAAAACTCCTAAGATTTCTCTTCGTATCACATTGAAATGTTTTGCATTCAATAGAGAGAGAGAGAGAGAGAAAGGGAGAGATAGAGAGAGAGCGATAACAGTTAACACTATTAATACTCTGATTACCTTATTATTGTGCTTAGCATGCTGCATGCTCGTCGTCATGACGAAACATCGTACTGGAACTTTATACTTCTTGGCTACTTCCGTGTACCTCTGTCTTGAGGCTGGATCGGGATTAGTATTATCTATAACCACGCTCTTTTCCTGATTTAAATACTGTTCGACCATAGCGGCACACTTCTGCCAGCTACGCAGAGCGTCTCTATTCACGTATTCATATTCCTTCAAATAGTGCTTTGCGAAGTATGATTTTCCAGAGCCTGGACTGCCAACCATAAGAATTACCTGTTAACAAAAATATTGAGCACGTTGAGAAATACAATCGATACTTGGAACATGATCTTACAATTATAAAACTATTTATTTAACGACTTTGGTGGTAAATTTAAGAAGAACAATTATATAATCATGTAGTCTCGTTTAATTCTGTATAACATTAAATAGAAAATCTCTTTATAAGTTTGAATTTAAAGAGAAGGATATTCGATTTTACGTTACGTGACAGATAAGCATTTTCAGGTGTCTCTCAATAATTCTGTAAAAAATGATCACGTATTACCAACCTCTTGTTGCTTTGGCGTCAGATTTGCGTCTGCAGGTTTGCACACGGTAATATCTTTTGGCAAGTTTTTGGGGTTAAACTGAGGTAATACATAAAGGGCAGCTTTGTGCTTCAGAAAGTGTTCTTCGGGTGTCTCGAATTTGATATCCAAGTTTAGCGCCATTAATCGATCCACGGTGGAGTGGTCCTTCTTCTTGCCAACGGCCCAGGTTTTTGGTCGGCCGGCCGCATCGCCGACGTAAAATGAATTCGCTTTGTCGATCGCTATACCTCCGTTTTTCTAAAATCATCGATGCCATGAGATTTCTGAGAAGCCGTAGCTTCTCCAAGTACAAAGTATTAGAATACCGCATACATTAGCGTACACACCTCTTTCTCTAATGCTTCCCACATACCGAGGGCCGGTTTTCTGTAGATGCTTCTTCCTACAGCGATGAAAACCTATGAAGAAACGAAGCGTCAACAAACACGATGTGTCTGACGAATTCATAATTCGAAATTATATAATTATCGTTTAGTGATTAGTCTTAGTTATAATGCGCACTTGAATAGGGATGCCGATCTTCTGTACGATGTTCTCGATCTTAAGCTTAAAATCGTTGATCTTGACTTTGCCCGAAGCAAGGCCCGCTTGGTTTGTGAAGATTACTATCTTGTATCCATTTGTGTGCAACTGCTTCAGTTTACCGGGCACATCGGGATACAATAGTTGCCAATCGTTGCAGGATTTTGGAAACACCAGGCCAGACTTAGTTTTAATTAAAGTTCCATCCATGTCGTAAGCTGCCACCTACAATTAAGATCAATTATTAACTGTAAACAAATATTGTAAATTAACACTTAAAAATAGTTGTACAATTATTAAATATATATTCAAGTATACATTATTTATATGTATATATATATACGATAAAACTGTGTATATCATAATTTTATTGATGTATTTAAATATAAAGTGTACTTGTGAAAATTAAAATTACTTTCGATCGATTTTGAACAGAGGATGCTGTATAAATCATTAATTTCCCACTGTCAATACTCTCCCATTTGGCAGATACACTTGAATTGCTATTATTTTCCTCAGAAGATGCGCTATATGCAGCATGCAATGTCTTCTGATCAGAATGAACATCGTTTGAAGACGATCTTTCTTCCTCTTTTCTGCACTCCAGCTCTTCGTTCGAACACTTTTCCAGCTTCAACATTTTAGCTCTGTCTTCAGTTTCATCTGTCTCCATCTCATAAAATCTCTTTCTCGGCATGAAACTCCTTGCAGGTGGCGGTGGGTTGAATTCAAACTCATACGTGTATTTGCCATACAGCAGCTCCAAACGATCGCTGTGTCTTGCTACAAACCTCACATCCTTCTGAGTTTTGAAGCCGTTAAAACCACAGGAGTGCGTACCCACTTGCTGAACTGTGACGATAGCCTCCGTATAGTTTGCGCACAAACGCACTGTTGGCAAGAAGATAAGCAATCAATATGATAAATAATGATTGCAAATTGAAATAGAAATATATTTTATACATTTGGCACAAAGTGTCATGCGCACGTTATCATGCAAATTATATGAATTTTACTGAATTATCCTTTATTTTACATAAATAAAAGCTAAAGTTAACAGCTGACATTGAACAAATTTATATTTTCAGATTCATTAATTTTGCAAGGAATTCGTACGTTTCAGGAAATACACACCTTGTTGCCGCGAACATTTTGTGTCTGTGATGCCAGTTTCCGGCGAACGACCTACGAAAATCGGCTCGTTGTCCGGCAGAAAAATATTTGACAGGGCCTTATCTAACCTAAGTATATAACAACTTTTGACAGTTGCGTTCGTCACGCTCATCACGGCAAATGATCACACCAATACGTTATGATTGCTCCTTTTAACTACACTTCCATGCACTAATGCAAGGAAAGTACGCCAAAGCGCCCTCTACAATTATCAATTACATAGATCGTAGCGGGAAAATTGAAAGCTGCTTAAAATCTCCTAACATTTCCATCACTGTTTAGCTTCAATGTAGTTTAAATCACTTGCAAATGATCTGTCTTTTCTTGTCCTATACAGGATGATGTATTTTGCAAACAAAAAGTTTTTTACGATTCAGATTATGTGAATAAGTCTGATGATTTAAATTGTGTGAATGATTTTTACACGTAACACTCACACGGGAAGATACAGGGCAACATTTGCAAGTAACTTTTCCTTTATAGTTTTATGAAAAAATTGTTAGTTTCGGAGTTATTCGCGAAGAAAGAGCTTTCTCGCATGCACTCGTGATTCTATCTTTTAGTATATAAGAACAGTTGGTTACTCCACCTACCGTGTAGTATGAAAGGAGAGACGTTTAGCACTCCCCTAGACAAGGACGGACACATATAAAACCTGGTAAGGCACATGTCGTCTATTGACGATACTTACCACATTTTTTTTTTATGTGTGTAACTCTTTTGGTAATATTTCAATGATTTAATTATTGGAACTTTGTCAACACGTTGTTAGGTCCGTGGATTTCGCGTGTACAGGAAGGCTAACCTAGACATGTAATATTTTTTTATAGTTTCTGCAACATTTGTAGTACAATTAAACGCCAGCTTTTAAAAGGATTTTTATTTCTCGTTAATGAAAAGCAATTTTCGAATATCGCCTTGGCAGAATTCGGGTTTTGGCCTTCGGATGACCCGTTACGTTTAGACTCGTTATTTTTATTAGTTCCGAAATTCTTGCTACGAGTCGCCACCGGTTTCTGCTACAAATTCGAAGTCGTAGTATGACTCAGTGGCAAATCGGGGAAGAATTTATTTTTATCTTGTTCGATTTAGTCGATTTTTTAGACGAACTTCTGCTGTTTAATATAGTCTTCAAACAACTGCTAACGAGCAACTTTATTCTTATTAGTTTTTTCTTGATACATTTTATACGTACCACTTCCAACGCTTTATTTATTGAAAATGCAGCATCCACAAATATTTTGATATTTATTTTCTGGTTCGCGTTGCCGACAGAACGAGCAGATTTTTTTTTAATTTTCTGTTTTAATCATTTACAATCATCGAAATTTTGAATACGTATATCGATGGCGGATAAAATAGACCAGATGCATATTTCACTCGTAACTGCGCGCATCGCGGCACTGTGTGCGCCACTGCAGCTTAAAAGCAGCTGAGCTTTTAAAACTACAAGAATGTTTCCGGGAAGACTTAGCAATCCTTCTTTCGAGTGCTCGAACGCTGAGATAAGAAGCTTTTTTTGTCTGTCAATTTCGTTTTCATTCCAAGGCGATGACCACCACCGATTCGCGGTGTACTCGGTACGCCACGCGCGTAGTTATGTAAGTAAAGGTGCAATATACATGAATTTCTACATTTTAAGAACAGTCAATGTTATTTTACAACTTGGAAATAACTAATTAATATTCTCTTTGAGTAAAGAAAAAATGAGACGTTTGTCTTTTGTGTTTCTAAACTAGAAATATAACATCGTTGTAGCTCTATTGTTGTAGGAATATTGATCCGCAGCTACAATGATCATCGCAGCTCTGTGCTATCATTAATTAGGACAAGAATAACTAATATCCATAAGTCTAGGGCTTATTTTTCAATTATAACTTATGTAGCACTACATTATTGCGCATTTATTTCTAGTAAACTTACAATTTCCTTAGAATTGATCAAGCAACAGAGTTGACAACACTTCAGTCTAGCGTAGAATTCATATTTAAGTAATGCGCGCAGAAATAATGTAACAAAATATGATGTACATATTTATTTGTATGTTTATAACATTAAAAATTTTTCCATTCTTACATATTCTTAATATTTACACAAAGAAATGCCTTAGCACGATAAAAAGATCAGAAACAATTCGCTTCTAATTTTCGACTTAATCTCCAGCTCTCCTGATGGCATCGTTAACGATGAAATATCCAACATCCTATCGGAGTTATCAGAGTCGGACGTCGAAGGCATCGAAGAAATCTCTTCTGAGGGGGAGCACATCGTCTCCGACGCGAAACAGAAACACGACGTCGAGCAGGATCCGTCTCTGTCGGATAATTCGAGTGACCGAGCGATCGACGATGCGAACGAGGATGTCTACGTCGGCAGAGACAAGATCACCCTCTGGAGGAAGACTCCGTGTGCGAGCGGAACTGCCGATACGTTCAAGGAAGCCATCAAGAAAGAAAGCGTTCGTCACGAAGGCAAAAAGTGCGGGATCGTGGACGAGGCGTCCGCCCTTTTCGAGATCATCGACAACGGGATGCTGGAGGAGATCGTAGCCTGCACTAATCTACTGATCGAGCACAAGCGTCTGTCCCGCACGTATTCCAGGGAGAGGGACGTAAAGTGGATGACGAGGGCCGAGTTGTTGGCGCTGATCGGTCTGTTGTATCTCACCGGTGTGAAAAGAGCCAACCACACGAATCTGCTGGAGCTGTGGACAGACGACGGCACCGGCTTGGAGATATGTCGCTCCACCATGAGTTACAGGCAAGGAATGCGCGAGACAAAGTATGAGAATCCAGCAGGTATCTTGTCTGCAACAGCAGAAAAAGAATTACTCGTCACAGCTACGTGTGAATTATAGTTTTAAAGTTTCGGGATAAGTTTCGTTTTTTTCCCCCCAATTTTCCCGTGGGTTGGTTTCTTACCCTCTTTACGGGAAAAAGTAAACGTGGCATGTGAAACCGTACGCGTGAATTTTTCTAAACGGATTTCTATATTCTCGGGACAGAAACTGAAGAAATCCGCGAAAAAGTCGGGGAAAAATGATTTCTCCCGGAGCTTCAAGACTATAGTGTCAATGTAAAAGACTGATCCTCAGCACAAGTAGAAACAGAAATAGTACAGACATATTCTTACATATTATTTATTTAAATTATTTTATACCTCATTCAGCAAAGTGTAACTTCTCCGAATTCGTGAAAATTTATACATGCTTCGAGACGAACGAAGCTTCCTTAGCCAGTAGTAAATTTTTCTTGTCAGATTTTAGTCATCATCGAGTCCGATTCAACCTTTCACGTTTACAGGAGATTCCTGTTCCTCCTGGACTGCCTGCGCTTCGACGACAGGAGCACGAGGACCATGAGGCTGAGGACGGACAAGCTGGCGCTCGTGAGAAACGTCTGGGAGAAGTTCGTGCAAAACTGCAGGGACTCGTACTCGCCGAGCGAGCAGCTCGCCGTTGGCGACCGACTGCAGGCGTTCAGAGGCAGCAAGTGTAACTTCGTGCAGTATATGGCTAACAGGTCGTGTACAACAGCGAAGTACGGACTGAGGATCGTCGTGCTGGTGGACATCAAGACGTCTTTCACCTGTAACATGGAACTCTGCTGCGGCCAACAACCCGACGGCCCCTACAGGTAGCGATGGGCGTCCGGATCTCTGTCTCAAAAGTTTTCAGACCATTCGATCCTACGAAAGGTACAAGGATAAACAAGCACGCAAGTGCGACACGCTCGGCGATTGCCGATATCTCAAAGTAATCGAAGGAGGATATTGAACTTCGCCGAATATAATCGTTTCAGTCTGTTTCAAGGCTGCCGACTAGAAGTTGCAGACTACGTGCTGCAACTATCTTTGTTTGATGACATCAGAAGCGGGAAGACGCATGGCAGAAATTCTTGCGTTCATACGTTCGAATAAAAACACATAACTTGTAATGACATTTGTCGATTTAGCATACTTGCAAAGCTGTCCGAACAGTTTTGTTTTATCCGTGCAATCAATAAATAAGTCGCGAACCTGACATAGAACCTTCCTTTCCCATCTCTTTTCTCATGATCTTGTCGATGTCAATTTTAATTCCACGGCTATTTATCGATTGTTCGAGTAAAAGTGTTCGAACAATTTTACAAGTATGCCGAATCGATCACAAATATCATTTTATGTGTGGACGTACCTTTTTATTTGAACGTTAACGCGAGAATACTACGCGTTTTCTCGCCATCAAACCAGTAGTCTCTATTTTTCACAGCTGAACTGGCTGCGCTAGTTCGAGAAAATAACGTACACCGAAGCACGATAATCTTATACTCGTATATACGCTTCCTACGCTTCAATGTGTGTGTAAATTTCTTGAACCAGTGCAGCCAATTCAGCTACAAAGAACAGACCGAAGGACGATCATAGCGACTAGTCGAGAGCCTTGAGACCGTCTTCAGTCCGAACTGCATTCTTATCCTACACAGTATCCGACTCTAGTTGATACTTGATTCATTACTTTGCGGTCTTATGAAAGCCTGAATTGTTTTAACAACAATTCTTGAGAGCTCGCCGCTGTCTACAGGCTCAGCGACGACCCCGCGGCCGTCGTGCACCGGCTGATCGATCACGTGAAGGGTTCCTTCGCCAACGTGGTCACCTGCGACGGTCGTTACGCGAGTTACCCGCTCGTCGTCTCGTTCCTGGACGACGGAGTGACGTTCCTGGGCGCGGTGGGAACGGCTCGGCCGGAGGTGCCGTTGTGCTTCTTACCGCGCAAGTCGCGGCCCGCCGGCAGCTCGCTCTTCGGCTTCCGCGACGACGTCACGCTGGTGTCGCACGTGTCCCACGAGAAGAACAAGAAGACCCTGATCATGTTATCAAGCAGGCATCATAGCGTAGAACTCGACCCGCGGACCAACAGGCCGGTGATCGTGGAGGAGTACAGCGCGGCGAAGGACGCGATGGACGCGGTCGAACGAACGCGCGCGACGCACTCCGTGTCGAGGAGGACCACCAGGTGGCCGTTGGCGGTGTTCTTCGCGTTGCTCGACGTGGCCGGGATGAACGCTCAGGTTCTTTACAATGTGTCTCGCCGGGAGTCGCCGCAGAAGTACCGCAGGGTCTTCCTGAAGAACCTCGCGCTAGCGTTGCTGAAGCCGCAATTGCAGGCAAGTCTCGAGCGAGAAAGCGTCAAGGTTTCCCGGTTAGCCTCGCGAATAATTCTCGTCTGTAAGAAGCTGACGAGTACAAGTTGGGAAAACGCGCCGTTGGCTTCTCGCGAAATTCGCTCGCGCGGTGAAGACGATAATCGGATCGAAACCTTGGCCGCAGGAGAGAGCGAAGATCAAGACGCTGCCTGTCAACATCCGGGCGGTGATTCTGCATCAAGTGGGCGGCTGCGAAGGCAACCCGCAGCAGGATGAGCAGGGTTCCTCGAGGAAGCGCAGTCACGAAGTGATGAGCGAGGACGGTGCGGTCAGGAAGAAGGGTCGATGCTTCATGTGCGGCCGGGCGAAGAACACCAGCACGACGCTCAAGTGCCACACCTGCTCGAGGTTCACGTGCAAGAGGCACATGGCTTGTATTAAGTACACCTGCGAGAAATGCGAGACCAAAACGGACGAAGGTGACATAAGTAATCCCGTTAGCATTAAGGAACGTCTACATTGGAAGTAGGAAATGATTCATTTCGCTTATTCCCGCTGTTACGCTTTATTCCACTGAAAAAAAAAAAAACTCTTATTCGGCAGTGTTACTACTTTTGATGCAGACGGTCCTTTGAGGTTTTAGCAGAATGACTGACTTATTGGTTCAAGACGATGTTTTATGTCCTTAAGTTTTAAGGACCGTCCTACAATTGACCAACCGCAATCGATTTATTTTTGGAATGTACGATTCCAATTGGTCAATTAGCTTACCGCTTACTTCTTACCACATACTTTGCGGCTATTGTGGACGGTCTTTTAGGCCCGTATTCTAAACTCTCTTTTATTGATGAAAGTGCCTCTAAAAGTGGTTTAGAAATTATCCGGCTTATTTAAGGCACTTTTATCGATAAAAGAAAGTTCAGAATTCAAAACGAACGTTATCCGTCATGTGTATCCTAAAAGATTCATTTATTCGCCAGGCTCCGATTCGTCAGGCGAGACGTCTCGTGCGTAACCTCGCGCGCATCTCTTGAATCTGCAAGATATCACTGTACAGAACATGTAAATAGTAAGTAGTCCCCATTCTTATTCATCACAAATACAAATTTCTGAAACTCTATATGTAATCGATGGAATCAACTTGAAAATTTGTTACAGCAAACGCCAGAACTGTTAGACCGTCACTGTATATTGCTTCGATATTTATATCAGACATGCGAATAAATACTTAATAAAAATATATTTAAGATTAAGCTGTGACATTTATTTTAGATTACAAACGATCTCACCTACGTATTGTTGAAATTAAAGTATCTTGAAAGTATTCCTGAAGTATCCCCTCCCAGTTACAGAGCATCTCAAGATCTTGGGATAGTTTTCAAGATTCTGAGCTGCGCAGAAATGAGGGTTTTGGTCGTTTCGCAAGTAATTCCGCAACGCGTGATAGACGTCAAACGATTGTTTATTAATAGCTATGTATACGTTACAATGACACTTGCTATATTAATCTATCATACGAAATTTACTTACACAAATATAGATAAAAGTATTTGATAAGAAAAATATTACGTTATCTTTTAACTCGATAATCTTTGTAATAATTTTCAGAAATATTATACAAGTATTAATTTGGCAACGTGGATCATCAGTCGGTGATCCACGCGCTTACATGAGGAACTTCGTTGGCGGCGTTGAAAGAAACGCGATATCCGTGACCTAAGTGCATGGACAGTTCAAGGATACGGCATAGAGTTTCTTTGGTCCTCGAGTCGATGTAGTCACGGTGCTTCCCTTCCGATTTCACTGTGATCTCGCGACTTTTCGGGGCGACGATGATGTCACCGGTGATGCGTATACCAGTCATGCGGCGATTCCCACGACGTTGATGATCACGTACCGTGCTTATAGTTGTTGTGAGAGCCTAGAGAAAGCAACAACAGCAAATCAAATGAAGAGGTCGAGCGATCGGGACCGTTATATTCCGTGAAATCAATCTGGACTCATCGTTCAGTTTTAATGCTAGTATCTTATTTAAAGTTTCGTGGTCTTTAAGAGTCGTCATTTACGACTATTATTATTAGTATTACTACTACTTGCTCACTCGAATGACTTGTCTGCTGTAGATCAGCGATCGAATCAATAGTATTGAATTGTATTCTTGTCAGTCCTTCTAGTCGTGCCTATCCTTCTCTATCGAAAGTCTCGGAAAGCGGACAAGTCGAGTGATTATTACCGCTCTTAGGTTCCTTTTCTATTTTTTTTTATAGAACAATCTAACGCCTAACGAATTATGTTGTTAACTGTGCTGCAGCTATCGTGCGTACAAAGCGGTAAAATGATTCGTCTACGAGAACTCTTCTCGCGAAAAACTGTATATTCTACGGATAACTCGTGAACTACAACGGTGACAATGATAACGCGGCAATAACGTCACCACCGCAAATTCTTTTTTCGTGAAAAGTGCGAATCTCTACGAAATCACCTCCGCTCTTGTCCTAACGCACGCTTTTACTTGGTTGTTGCGAATATCTTTTTTTCTTTTGTCTTTTATCTCTTAATTCGTGTGCTTACACGGGAGACATAAATATAAAGAAACGCAACTCTGCCTATCAGTTAGTTAAATGGACTTTCGTTCCGCAAATGCCTCGATCCGATACACGTATCGCCTATAACACGTATCTTTTTTTCAATCTCATCTACAGATTGTAAGTATTCTACTGAATGTATGTATTTTATGCTCGACAAGTGCAGTAGTTGAAGTACTCGTTCGTTTCAATTAATTTTTGTATATATCTACAAGTATATTGAACAATGAGCTGAGTCAGAGAGAGGAGTAAGCTTCCAGATCTCTTCAAAACGAACACTTCGGCTCAATCTTGAGTTCTGTTTAGCGCAGGAAAAGTAAGACAGGAAGAAAAGAAAACAAATGAAAAATTCATTGTTTTTAACAGTTTTCATTCGACCTTACGATTTATGTCTTAACGGGTCTGTCAAGATTATTATTACAGCGCGGGGATTCTATCAGCAATAATTCTGAATTTCTCAAAGTTGCTTATGCTCGAAAGCAAAGTTATATTTATGCAATCGACGATTCTTTTGATATTTTTTGTATCACATTCGTGATGAATTTTTGTTTGTCGCCGGTTCGCCTTTTGACTCAGAACAGAATGTCCACTCAAATCCGAAAAAAAGCCTTGAAAATTCTCTGATTTCCCAAGCAATTTGTTAAAAATTTCAGATAAAATGAAAGTATTTTTAAATGTATATGTATGCAAACATATACATACACATATTTTCTATTTATAAAAGTTTATCATAAAATAAAATAAAAAATCATTCGAGTTTAAATGATTAAATTGGAAAATTTTTGAAAGAAACGGTAAAAACTTTAAAAAATAAACATTTTATGTTGTGCTCATAAAATTTTCAACTTTATTTTCAAAAAATTATGTAATGCATAACCGATATAAAATGCAATTTTTACAAATCTATTAAAATAAGTATCGGTCTTAATTAAACAAAAATTCATCTCGTTCTTCCCCAGCCGCGAATGATGTTCTTCGAAGTCCGGCAAAAAAAATTTTTTTATAACGAAAACGTGAAAAACTTGACTTCGCTTAATTGCGGTTTCCTTTGTTAGGTTTTGCTTTTCCCGCATGAAGAAAATTTAAAATTGGACCCAATCGTTCGCTTTGAAGTCTGAGAATGTGATCATCCTCTTTCTGACTTCAATCTCTCAATTTATTTACGCACGTTAACATTTGCGTTCCAGCCTCAAGTTTCTTTTGCGATTGTGAACACATCTAAGAGCCTTTCTATTCTTATAAATATACACACATTCTCTCTTCGTTTCTCTCTGTCCCCCTCTCTCTCTCTTTCTCGAAATTGATAGCTTTTCACAAAGAACGGATAGATATTTATTTGTATTTTTACTCACCTGAACTTTTGGGTTGAGGTCTACTCGAGCATTTGATTTCATTTAACATTTAGTGTTTTGCTCTTTATGCGCGTTTGGGAGGAGTCTCATAAATGAGAATCTCGTTACTTTTCTTGCTTGCTTTCCCCTGCATTTTCTCACGTCGCAGAACTTTACGAATTTCTGCACTTCTTGGCAATACTCGTGTATTCGTCGAACGTACATCTATCTTTACTCGGTAGATCGGAAGAAACGCGATTAAAAAAAGTCGTGTATATGAAAAAAATACTATATATGGTAAACTCTATATGCCGAGTAAACATATTATACAGGGGTTATAAGCGTGAATCAAAGGACACTAATTTGTATGTATTACTCGAGCTTGTAATGACTATCAACGAAGCAACCGTGCAATCAAGGACAATAACTCTATCACTATATTACTTTTTTTCGATTTTCCCTTTTTTTGAGGGTTTTTTTTTCTGTGGTTTAGAGATTTTTTGGCATGTTCTTGCTGGAGGGACGATATTCTTTTCTCTGTCTTTGTCTCGCTTTCGTCTTTCTCTCTCTTTCATTCATTGTTTCCTAAGTATATCAGCTTGTCGTTACGCCTGTGAAATAAACTCAGTTTTCGTCAAATTTTCCATTAAATTAGTATTCTGAGTACCCGAGCACATCGCTTATAAACTTTGTGTGTTACGTTCTAGTGGTACTTACATCGTTTCTTAATTTAGTATATAAGACTCTTGATTAGTATTATAATGCTAAACAAGATATATCGTGATCGAGCTTAGATGGAATTAATATATCGTAATTTGAATTTAAATTCAGTTCGAGTTTCTCGCTTATGATTATACAGGAAAACGCGGACGAGAGATATATGTGGAGATTCATTTACTTCGGGCTATAGTTACGTCCATTGATTGTTTGCAACACTACGACGGAGGGATGAAATATTATAGAATTACTTTTTTGGAATAGTGACATCATCGTGAAACTATAGAATTTGCAAACTTCTTAAAGTTTTCCTCTTAAATTTGTACGATACTGTTTAATCTAAGATATTTCATTTTATCAAACTTTGGATATAGTATTATAGAAAAGTAAACTTTATACTTTCTTAAATCTGTATATAATATTCTTCATAATTATTTATCCTTTATCTTTATTATATATTTTAAATATTGGATTCTATGGTTTCCCAAATCCTGATTTTTATCCTTCGTTCACGGGTCTTTCGATAAATTTGGAGTCGATTTACCTTTAGCGAAAATACCGAGGGAGAACTAAATTTCGAATTACAAAAGAATTCACACTTCTCAAACTCGCTTTTTAAGATTTTCTTCGATGGTGGCATGTCAAGACCACCGTTTTCGCCTCTTGGGGTTTTCGTTAACGAAAAATCGGTTACAACTCGATCGAAGAATCCGTGAACGAAGGGTGGTGGTGGTGGTGGTGGTAGTGGCGGCTCGGTAGATCTACGAGAGCCTAGCAGATCGCCCGAGCGGATAGTAATCTCTAATCTACTAGGATTTCGTAAAAAAGCTTCATACCTACTTCATCGCTACACTATCGAGACGATCTTTCGCTCATTTTTTCACTTATTCGCCCATTCGCTTTATGCGAGATTAGCCTGTCTCTTCCTAGGGCAGTTGCTGGTTTTGCGTCCGTACTTTTTTTCTGTGTCTCTCTCGTGCCGCAGGTGAGGTGACAATAACAGCAAATCTTCGGTGTGATGCTTTTGTACAGTTTTTTTTTCTTTTTTTCAGCGTGCCTTTCATTTAAATCGAGCAATCGCTTACAATATATCGAAACATGACAACATGTGATTCTCATGTATACGCTTTATATATAGAATTTCCTATGTATATATATGTATATATATATATGTATATGTATAGTTATTCATAAAATGAAAAACCATCGTATACAAGAAACGCAATATAAATTATTTAAGCAATGAATTCGTTAACTATTATAAGATAACGTGAGATAATTCAACGGCATAGAATTAAACGTTCATCGTCCGTTCTCTCGGGTTTTCTCTTCAGTCGTTTCATTTCGACTGCTACAATTGTTCGTCGGACGAAAGACCGTTACAAAGACTCGAATCCTATTTCGATCGTCGTCGTTTCTCGATAAACCAGCCAATTGCTTCTCAAAAATTCCCAAACGACAACTGTTCGATATAACTCAATCGTTATATCAGATAATAATCGACGATGATGTTGACCGCCCACCGAATTACACAGAATTACAAATATCGAAAAGAAAAGTCGACGGTGTCTTTGGCGAATGCGCGAAATTCAGGCGTGTATAATAAAAAGATCTCGGCGATTTCAGTAAATTAAAAGATATACCCTCGCCACTTTGGAGGCGTCAAGTACGCAGTTCTACAATTCGCGCGTCCTTCTCTTGTTTCCATCAATGGGTTTATTTGCGAGTTTCTATTTACAAAACAGGAAATCGGCCATACATTTGCAACGTGTCGTTAATAATCATCGTTATCATTCTATCGTCTATTACTGTGTATGTGTGTATATATGCGTGGGTTCAAATAACTGTTAATATTAAATTACGCTATTTCTCGCTTAAATCGTGGATGAAACAAGATCGACGAGAGCGTAACGCTCCGCCAGGGCTGTACTTAATCCTAAAGATCATCGTATAAGCGACATAATGACGTAATAGTAATAACTGCTGAGTGCGTGTCAAGTATAAAATATCATTCCCTACATCGTCGAGTGTATGGATCGATCGGTCGAAAGTCGTTCCGCGCGCGCAACGAATGGGACCAGCCAAAGGAGAACGGAAAAATCCCTCGAAAGCAAAGCGACGCGGGGAACGCTCGCGGAAAGCTGGAAATCAGCGGGAAAGCGAGTAAATCACTTTCGGACGGATGCGAAGTCGATATTTTTTTCCGATGGAAATCTCTCTCAATTAGAGCCTCAACGAGAATTATATTTTGTTAAAAATTATAATATAATATTATATATCGTAGTTCTAACACATTGAATGCCGCGCGGCACTCAACGTGTTAAACTCGATTAATATTAATAATAATAATAATAATAAAAATAATATATTATATATTATATATATTACTATGTGTATATATAAATTTTTTTAATGCAAAGTAAGGCGGATGCCCCACACTTGTGGGATTTTAATTTTAAACGGAGGCATATTCCGAATTTAGAAATGAAATTAAAGATTGCCAATTGTGTTACACCTATATTCACGTTTCTATACCATTTTTCATCTTGTAAAGCATATATATTTTTTAATTGAATATATAAACAACGAGACTTAATGTTTAAAAATAAAATTGAAAATAAATTGAAAATAAATTATTCAATACGTTGATTGCCACGGTGATGAATACGGATTATCTTAAAACTTAAATGAAATTCGAATAATCCAATTCACGGTGAATATATGTTTTCTCACGCATATGTCAGCTAATGTTTCTCAGTTTTTTATTCACTTGCTATCGACGAATCATTTATCTTATCGTTTTATTGACGACACTTAATTCGTTTGGCCGTAAATTAATGAGATGCCATAAAATCATCAATGTTTGTCACCGGAGATCCCCTCCCTTCCCTTTCTGTGGCAATCAATGTGTTAATGCCATTTCTATATCAAAGTATTTTTTAGGTATTATAATATAAATTTATATATTATGTTTGTAAATTGCGAAAGTTTTATTTTATACTTAACTTACAAAAAAATAATTTTTAATAAATCTCGACATTTTTTCTCCAAATTTCGCACGCATAGATCCCAGAAACCTAAATTTGCGCTTCTCACTCATTCGAATTGTTCGAATATATCTTGGTAGAGTGAAATACGATTCCGGCTAAATACTTGAGAAGTAAAACATTTGAGAAGTGAGATTTCGACGATTTTTCGACTAGAAGATTATAAAATGTTATAATGGCTGAAACGGGCGGAAATTTCGCACCAAAAAAACTCCACTTCGCATCCGCCAAGAAGCGTCAATTAACATGTCCATGTGTGAATACCGATTTCCACCTTTCTCAAGACTCTACGGAATCTGAGAATAGAAACTAAAATAAACGCATACGATATACGGTGTTCGCGATGATGGGCTCTTACGTGCGAGGGACTTTGCTTTCAGGATTCTTCGATTAATATTATTATTATTATCATTATCATTATCATCATCGTCGTCATCGCTATTATCGTCGCGTTCGATTCTCTTATCTCACAATTTCAAAGAGAGAGATATATAACATATCTCCTCTCCTTTCCTATCCCTTTACTCGTACGGCGATCGAATCCTCCTCCTATTTTACCTCCATGTTTTTTTTTACTTCATTTTTTTTGTTCTTTTCGTTTTTTACGTTTAGGAAAAATGTCGTCTACCTACATATAAAATTAACGAGCGGTTTTACTGTGTCGGATCTTTAATAACGTCGCTGAGACTGGGCGTTTTGGTAACCAGCACTGCCACCTGCAAACAACCATAGCTCCTCCGTTCAATTACTCGGGAAATAGAATTCGTATTCTGCCTCTCTACATACATTACGAAATATCAAGGTTTTTTTCTTTAATATCCCTTATTAACTCTCGTCAAATTATTATTCCTTATCTCTCGCCCTACGCATACTACATGTTATCGATCCTTCTACTAGCAACACCTGCATCTCTACGAGACTTCTTTGCCGAGACCTGCCTATGTTGCTTTTTGCGTGTAGAAGTGTGCGTGTGTGAGTTCGTGTGTGAGACGATACGTCCGAAAAGAGAGAGAGTTCTCTTTGCCTGATTTATGATACACGTAAGAAAAAAATGGGTTTCCCTCGATCGTGTAAGTATGTCTCGTAACGATAATATTCCTTAGAAATATCTTTTCCAAGATTTCGGATAGATTAGTCCCTAACTTCGTAAAAATATTGATATCGTTAGCGCTCTCTCGTGTTATCGATATTATGAAATCGTATCTTTTCGCTCTTTTTCTTTGTAGAATTATGAATGGACTTGTGATATATATATAGATATATATATATATATAGAGTGCTCTATAATACTGTAAATATATATTTATACATATTCGTCACGGATATCCGAACATCGGGCGTGGATAGACAGACTTTCTGTGATATCGTGTAAAAATTTCTCGGTTCGTTCCTTAGTTTTCATGATATTGCAAACGTCCCGTTAATTTGTACTGCAAATACTCGTCGCAATGTCGTAAACGTTTTCCTCTATGTGATATTGCTCCTGCTATTTCTACTACGACCTAAACACGCATATATACGTTATAGACCAAAATCACACTGCCTCGTATCACCCTAAAGTTTATATATGTACGTATGTCTCTTGTTTCTTTTTTTTTTTTCAACGCCACGAGTCGTTACAAACAGTGCAAAATTGACTATAATTTTCTCATTCGGATCAATTCGAAGAATTCGCAATTCTTGAATCCACAATCCATTATCTCTCGATTGCATATCCAAATATTATATGATACGACGACACTGATACTTAAATACACTACACTCACTGATACCTATACTAAAATTCTCCGGAAAATATTATAGAAAGTATGTATATTCCTAACTCTCCTGTGTGTGTCATTTTGCGATATATAGATTCTACCTATATCCTGGCGCCTTCTACCTTCTAACGCCTTTCCTGTCGTCTTAAGCTGAATTTTTGTGATTCTTATTTTTTTTTCTTTTTCTTTTTAATATTAATTTTTTCCGGCTCTCTACGGTGAATACTCGTCACCTCGCATCCTTGGAAAAAGATGCAACTTTTCTCAACCATCTTCTCTCGGTTTTAAATTAAATTGCACATCTATTATGTAATTACACGCGAATGTAAATTACAAATAAATTGCGTATTGGCCAAAAACAATATGCTTTCATAATTTCCCTTGAGATTTACTGTACACTTTCGTTTATGTGCTTCAATTGTCAAGTTTTAATAAAATACAGCCGTTTAATCGATGGCGATCTTAATCCGAGGATACGATAGGCTACGATGGGAGCTGTTTAGAATCTGAATGGTGCAAATGATGGAAACCTGTGAGTTCTTGAAACTTGTAGTATTTTTTTTTCTGGTTACAAATGAACAATTTCTCGAAAATTGTGCGAAGATTATGGCTGCGTTCAGGAAATACAACGTTGAAGTAATATGAGTCAACATAAATGGTGACATGGCACTGCAAATCGATAAATTTTCACTGCAAAAATCTGTTAATAGCAACAAATGTTTCCATCTAACTGCAGAAACAGTAGGAAAAGATATAATTTATTATTTCCTTTTTATTATCTTAATCACACTTTTAAATAAAGTATTGTCAATGATTCTGCCTAAAATATTTCTTCAATTACGTTTAATTGATTTAATTTATATCGTATTTGAAAAACTCACTTATCTTGATAGGACTAGAAATCTATGGTTTCTGAGTCTGCTGTCATATGAAATATGCTAAATACGATATAAGACTGAAAGCATACACGATATGCATACGTGTATGTGTTTCTGCTGTGAAACGATTGACAATAAATCTTTCACTAGCCAAAATCAGTGAATTATTAGACAGAAAAGAGGTAAGGATATGTTTTCACTCAAAACTAGCGAATACTCACTGATTATTGATACTGTCAGTAGAATACTATTTCACTGATTCGATTAGTGATATTTTCACTGATTCGTGTTAAGCGAGCAGTAAAGATCCGCTTTGTTCCGCTGAACGCAGCCGTTTCGCTGTCTTACAATCGTGAAAAGAAAAGTACCAAATTTATAATTAATATAATATTTTGTAAACTATACAAAGTATCTTACAATGAAATAATGTGAAACAATGAGCGAAAAGTACCAAAATGAAACAATGAGCGAAAAGTACCAAAATTTTTCATCACATGATACTTATTCGTAGTCAATGGAGCCAGGCAGAGAGCAATAAAATTTGAACTTTTATGTGAATATAATTATAATATAAATCCATAATACTTATAATTATACATACAAAATAACACGAAAGACATAGCGGCAAATAAAAGAAGCGGAATATATTCGTCTGCACCACTCATGTTCCAAGTTACTCCCTACTTCAGTAGTATTATAGTGACATAAGCATATGTCCGCGTTAGGACGAATGTCAATGGGCTTTGCTGTACTGGGAGTTGTACTTACCATAGTCTTGTTTCCCATAAACCCCGTCTTGACTGGGATAATCTACAATTACACATGAGAAAAACGCAACTTTAGACGAACGTTTCACGGCCATGAGAAAACACCGGGAATACGTGGTTGAGAGGAGGGGACGAGTCATAGCGAGATACAACAGAGTCTCCATAGAAAGAAAGAGAAACGACGGTTTGTTGGATCGATTAAAATCAATTTTCAAATTTAATTTTTTGACTTAGATTGACAAAGGAGAATATTTATATAACTACAAAATTATAAGAACATTATAACGGGAATAATAAAATTATACTAACAAAATAATTAATAAAATAATTGTAACAACAGACGTGATAAAACAGTAATTTGATATAGTTTTTTAGCCCTCAGATAAATTGTATCTCATGGACACCCTATAGTGTTCTGCAGTGAAGGATGGCAGGAGGCAGTGCTGACAGTGCTGGTGTCCCGACGTAAGGCTCCGCATCCGATTATTTTCACGATTTTTAGCCACGTTAGGGAAATAAGGGTAGTCTCCGTATGAAATCCTATGCAACTCTTTCGACGATCGCCGGAAAACAATCACGATATATTACGAAAACTCGACGGAAAATCACTCGAACGCCATTTGGAGAACGAAATAGGAGAGAGAAAAAAATAAACGGTTGCCGGAAACTTTACACTTGACGTTGAAACGAGACATTAGATTATCTCGTGGAAAGCTTTTGATCAAAAATCCAATTTGTCCGATATTTTACGGTTGCGTCATAAATTCTCTGCAACAAGACGAACTTACAAAGTTCGATCGCAAATTTTCATCTCCGATAATTCAACGTCTCGTTGAAGATGCAATGAAGACGCGACCCTCTGGGATCATTCTAACGATCATGGAGTTAATGAGCAATATATATATATGAACGAAGTGACATGAGCGGGCCAGATAACTAACCGTAAGGATGTGTCGAGTAACCACCCCGGTCGATTACGTTGGCATTAGAAAATCGGTCATCATATGGGTTAACAGGGGCATAACCCCCGCCCCCGTCACCCGTCCCCACAGCTGGCACTGCCTCCTGCTGGTAATTGGCTGGACATGCATCACCACGTGGTATTAATTAACTAACTGTATGTCATGACCAACATCGATTCCGCTCGTGACGCGGCTTTGAAATGTTTCCGACGAGGGCGCGCGAGAATTAATCGGGGTGTCGAGAGAGAAGCAAGAGAATCACGACGAGCGTTGCGTGCACGCTTGTTCTCTCGCTCTCATTTCCTCGGTCAACGACTTACCTGATGGCGGTGCTTTGCCGTAATTGTAGGGATCGTTAAAGCCTCCAGTGGCCGGGACCGACGACGCTCCACCGCCGTATCTGTTGTCCGGCGGAGCAGACGACGGATAGCCCTGGAATCGAGAGTGAAAATCGATACCTTACATTTCCGAGGTGGAAACAAGCGCGGGGGATGTCTATTCATGAGTCCATGTCAGGGTTGGCACGGAAAATGAATTTTGAAATTCCCCCGGCTTTTCCACGTTTTCCAAACGACAGTGGAGGATTTTCGAGCAACGTGCAATCCAAAACTTGAACGTTTAGAAGCAAAGATTGCAGGAAAGGTAGCTTATATTATTAGGAACGACGTAAATTTAAAAGTTTAGTAACATAATATAATCCTGAATCCAAATTCAGACAAACAAAAATTTGAATACTGGAAAAAAGAATGCAAGTAAAGGCATCTAAGGGAATTGTGAGCAAGTCCAAAATTCCAGGTTTTTTTTTTTTCTATCTTCCCCAGAACATTTTTAATTTCTACAACTTTTCCAGGTCTATGACAACCCTGAATGCCAATCAAATTGTACGAAGAGCAAAATTCCTCTCCTCGAGCTCAGCTCACCGTTGTCTGCGCGTAATCTGGAGGCTGTTGGTAGCTCTCGTAACCGGGGTAAGACTGCGTGTACCCCTGCTGCGAACCGTAACCTCCACCACCACCGCTGTATCCCACCGATTGTTGTTGAGGTTGCTGCTGACCACCGTACGCGTTACTCGAACCTCCATAACCTCCTTGGCTGTAAAGATCATTTTTACACCGGTTAACATCTCTTCACATCTAAGACTCAGTTTTTCATTTTCTGGTTAACTCGAGGTTTAGACTTAAACTGATGATGATGCAAAGATTGTGTTTTTCTTATTTATGATTAAACTGACAGTTGTGATTAAGCTGATAATTTTGTAATGGTAACTTTTAAAGTTTAATGACTAACTACAAATAAAAAAATATAATTTTTACATTATCACGAAATTGATCCTAAATCACAAGTTAACCAGAAAATGAAAAACGGGACCCAAGTCCACTGTATATCATCCGCTGCACCAATTATCACTTACACTTGAATGTTCATTCCTTGAGGCTCAATCGGCATGGAAACTTTTTTGAAAACTTACTTGGATTGTTGGGTGGCATAGCCATTTGACGGTTGCGAAGATGGTTGGTCGAAACGAGGTCTCTTCGAAGGCCCGTTGGAACTCGGCGGACCTCCGCCTCGCTTGGTCGGACCACCACGACCACCGCCAATTCCTCTGCCACGATCGTTAAAACCGCCCCTGCCACCTGGGCCACCTCTGCCACCTCCACCCCTGTACATATAAAATTATTGTGTAATCGTGCTACACAGCGCAAACTGCCAAGTAAATTCACAGCGAAGACGAGTTATCCCTACCTGGATCCTCCTCGGCCGCCTCTGTCCATGCCGCCGCGACCACCACGAAAGTTATTGTTGTTTCCGCGGCTGTCGCCTCTGCTAAAGTCTCCTCTGCCTCTGCCGCGGAAACTGTTGTTTCCGCCACCCCTATTGCCGCCTCGCGGGGGACCTCCCATTCCTAGAGGTGGCGGCCCACCGCCAGGTCCGCTGGACATACCAGGTTCTGGTGGCCCGCTACAAAAATATAATTATTATTATTTAGTATATTTATTTGAGATGATGATTATTGATTTTGCTTGAAGTCATGCAGCAAATGTTTATGCTAATGAAATGTATTTACCCCGGTGGGAAATGTCCACCACGTCCACCACGGCCTGGAGGTCCACCTCTACCTCTCATTCCAGGAGGACCTCCTCTCATGCCTCCACCAGGTCCACTGCCTCGACCACCACGCATCATACCACCACCTCGGGGAGGGCCACCCCTGTCATACAATATAAACTTTTAATATGACCTTATAAACAATCAATAAAATGATTGCTGGAAATCGTTATGAAGCAAAATATCGGCGGACAAATGTTCAGTAGCTAACAAGTACATTATTTCTTTCATAGGCTATGTTCGAAAATTTACAATCAGTACTAAAAATCTGTATAGTTTATGTCACATATACTATGTTCCTTGTTCTCAACTCACTTTTATTAAATAAAGTGGCTCTAAAAGTAGCTTAGGAACTACTTGATTGACAGAAAAGCCATATTTAAAGCATTTTTATCGATAAAAATAAATTCAGGATATGAATCAATAGATTTTCAATACTGGCAGTGAATATTGTAATGCAGCTATAGCTTGTTATATAGGATATCTTACCTCCCTCTATCTCCGAAACCTCGTCCTCTCATTAATCCTCCAGGGCCTCCACGGCCCCTGTATCCTCCTCTACCAACAGGTGCACCGTCCATTACTGGAGGTTTCTGTAATCATTTTAAACATATATATCTGTAAATCAGAAAGTGATAAATTATTTCTAGGATCCATGGATCAGGTTAAAACATTGAGAAACAAAGAACTTGAAAATCTAAAAATCAAGAGAAAAACCTTTGGTTCGTATCTATTTGGTAAATCTATGAGATAAATGCGATCATTAGAGCCATAAATTGCTAGATTTTCACCAAAACGACGAGAAAAAAAACAGTGATGTTCGTTCTTCGTTCCATTGCAACAATGGATACTACATATGATGCTAGTTGTTTACCGCTTTATAAATGGCGAGACGCTCGAACACGATTAATATCACGCAGACACAGCGGAATCTTATTGAATCGCACAAACATTCGATATAACTAACATTGGCCAATTAATGTTACCAGAACTCACGACGAAAACGCGCGAGGCAAAAGTGGCCGTAATGTACGATCACTATACCGACGCTATCCTTGAATCCTCCGCGCGGATCGTTCTGCCAAGAATCTATTAAAAGGTATGATAGGGAGCGACAAGTGGTGCAAACTTCCATGTGATTTACGTAACACAATTAACTTATACAGTTGAATTCGCTCACTCACCAAAATACGTTGCAACAGCACCTCCGAGAAAGACGCTCTGAACGCGGGCAAGTCAGCCAGGAAAATGGACGCCGGTTGGAAAATACACCGGAAGGTGACCTCGGACCGGATGCAATAGCGATTCGTGACGATGAAGGAGTGAGAGTCGCCAGTGCTGCTCTCTATCTGTACTCGAGACAACGATATTGACCAATCGCATTCGCCAGCTACGCTGGCAAATTAGTTTAATGGCCAATGCGATACGCTACGGATAGGCTGCGTTTGGAAATACCACACGAAGGGTAAAGTGGCATTTAATTGCCCAATCAACACAAAAAGAATTAAAGACGCAAATATATATATACATATGGCCCGTGATAAGATTTACCTGACAATAGGGATGGGCAAAATCATCGATGTTTGAAAAACATCGATGTTCGCTCATTAAAGATGGTATTACATCTAGAGAAAATGTTAGGGACCCTAGAAAGTCTCTATCTGACAACCAATTGGCATATCCGACAAACTCGTCGCACGACGCATCCTCAACAAGTAAAGCGGGAAGCATATACTTTGGCATAACGCAATTATACATGTATTAGCATGACGCATAAGATAAACCAATCAGTTTTATGTTTCTATTCTCATGATAGAAACGAAGGTCCTGATTGGCTCGCCTTCTTATGCGTCATGCATTATGTGCTGTGCCCAAGTGTGTGCTTCCCGCTTAAACATTGATGTTTCAAACATCGATGATTTTGCCCATCTCTACCCGGCAGGTATCTATTAGGTTAATATCAACGACTATTGTTGATTGGTCTGTCAACAGGTATCTGTCAGATAAATCTTACCAAGAAGTTAAAAACAATAGATCCTAAGAACCATTGTTATCAACTCCGGTTAACTTAACCGAGTAGTTTATTCAACGGTTATTGACCAACCGCATTCACCAGCTTCGCTGGCTAATTAGTTAAATGGCCAATGCGATACTCTGCTAAGGTCTTTGCACGTAACAAATTTTTAATCGTAACCGTAATGAACACGTATCCAACATCGCGGTGTAAGTCGTCCTTAAAACGACCGGACCGACTGCTCGCAGCGCCCTATCGTGTTGCGCGCGAACGTCTGTCGTTCACGTGACCTTGCGACGACGTGACGATTGGCCGGTCGGACGGGATTTAAACGATCGAGCCGTTGCCTAACTTCAGCGACAGAAAACAGCGGTTTGAACAGAAGTTCGGCTGTACGGCATATGTGGCGGATCGTGCCCACGGCTGTTCGTTCTTTTTTTTCGATACAACACAGCTCGAGCTAGCGAGACGGCGGTAACGACCACGGCTTGCACCTTGTGTACTTCTCACGCGCGTAAACACGCAGCCGGGCAGGCTAAAGCAAAGCGGCGTATTGTGGCCACGAGACGAGTCGCAGGCTCACCGGCTTGAACGGCAAACGCGGTACGATGTCGAAGGACGAGCACGAGTGCGCGATACCCAACATCATACACGATGTGAATAGCGGCAAGAGCTATACGAGGGGTCGCTTTTTCGGCAAGGTAAGCGACTCTCTCGCATCCGGGGCTTTGGCCTCGACGACCTTGTCGGTTTTTTCACGATTTTTCGATACACTGACGTGGGTCGGGTTCCCTCTCGGTGCCCGGTACTTGTTGCGTACGCTCCGAAGGCGTGACCCCTGTCATAAGTAAAGAAGACGGGTCACTCGAGCGGAATCGTATATTTACGACTCTTGTTCGGCATCGAGGAGCACTCGGTGTGCTGAAGATAAAATAATTATGAAATGTGAGGGGTATTCTAATGGAGCATGTAGTTGACAAGATGGTCACACACTGGAGTATTCTTTGTGTTACTGATGAAATATATATCTTCTTCAGTTATCCTTTTTATATTGTGGATCTTGTGCTTTGGCACCTGTTGCATTTGAGTAGAGCATGTGTCATAGGTAGATGTTACAATTGAGTAAATTTAGAAATGCTGTGTTGTTCATTCACGTTACTCGTACGTCTTGATATACTTTTTAGCATTCAAGATCAATTGTATATATATTTGATTATTGAAGGAGAAAGAGAGCCAGGACAGAAACTGAATACTAAAAGTACAAATAAAGTCAGTATTTGTGTTTTATTAATATTTTAATATCAATATTTCAGTTTATTAACTTTTATCATATTGAAAGGCATTCGTCATTTTATTATGTTTAGTATATTAAATATGTGTAATTACAACGAATCTTTGTTATTTTGAGAAATATATATTGTAATATTATCATAATAATGTTTTCCATTATAATATCATAAATATATAAAATATATATGTATGATAATATATATCATCATCATCAATATTTCAGTCTATTTATTACTATTGTCTAAATACTTTTTGATTATATCTTAACATATTAATTTCTGTATTAAAAAGTATTGTATACCTGCTGAAACCTTTTACATATACAATTGCTACTTAGTTTATAATTTTATAATCGCTGTTATTATCAACTTCTTTCTTTCATTACTGAGGTCATTTTGTCTCTTACGATAAAATATTTCTTGCATAAAATGTTGCATTAAATGTTGTACACTTATTACAATTGCATTATACAAATATTCTGATTTCTTATTTTGCAGGGTGGCTTTGCAAAATGTTACGAGATCACAGAATCAAGGTCACATCATGTGTTTGCCGGCAAGATTGTGCCGAAATCGTTAATCACTAAGAGCAATCATAAGGAGAAAATGACTCAAGAAATTGCTATTCATCGTACTTTGAGTCACAGAAATATCGTTGGCTTTCATGGTTTCTTTGATGACAGTGACTACATCTATATCATCTTGGAGCTCTGTCGTAAGAGAGTGGGTATTCTTGACGCTATCTATTGTGACAAGTATTATGGCACTGAGAATATATTCGACTAAATATTTTACATTTCAGTCGATGATGGAGTTGCACAAGCGCAGGAAAGCATTGTCGGAGTGCGAAACTCGATATTACATGAAGCAAATCTTGGACGGAGTCTTCTATTTACACCAACATAAAATTATTCACAGAGACTTGAAGTTAGGAAATCTGTTCTTGAACGACGATTTGCAAGTAAAGATAGGTGACTTTGGGTTGGCGACCAGATTGGAGCACGACGGCGAACGGAAAAAGTAATTGTTATTTGAATACGATGAACATGTCCTACAGATCCGCACTTTGATACCGAATTCCTTGTCCTTGATTTTTCCATTGTTATTTATCACATCCGGAAATTTCATGCACGAATTCTCTTTAAATTACACATTATTTCACTTTGAAATTTCTCAGTTTTCTTTAGAGTTAAGTAATCATGCAAATTAAATTTCAACGTATCTTTTGAGTCGATATATTATTATCAATATTACTATCTACCGAGTTAATTGGCTTTATCGGTCATTTCTTTGAAAAAAATCTAGTATATTATAAGATGACTTATTTGTCACGGGCGATGTTTCTACTCTTCTTCGACAGAACTGTCTGCGGCACTCCGAATTATATAGCGCCGGAAGTGCTAACAAAAGTTGGACACTCGTACGAGGCTGACGTGTGGAGTATCGGTTGTATAATGTATACTTTGCTCGTGGGCAAGCCACCGTTCGAGACATCGAGCTTGAGGGAAACATATTCCAGGATCAAGCAAGTGCAGTACAAAACGCCAACGAACATAAGCAAGCCCGCCATAAACATGGTGGCCAGAATGCTACAACTGAATCCGTCCAAACGTCCTTCTATTGCCAAGCTGATGAAAGACGTTTTCTTCACTTCCGGTGAGAAAAGAACCAGCATTTTTTCACGGGTGTCGAAACGGGTTCCTTCAGTTAGCCTTCTCATCGTATAACATTAATTTATTTATTAATCGAGCATTCAAAGTTAATTCGTCAATTTAAGCTAAAATAATAGCACTAAATAGATTTTCGACAAAGTATAAGTTGTCTAAAACAAACGTCACACTGGCATATTTTCTAACTGTTGAACATTTCATCATTAATTTCTTAAAAGGGATTTTTCTTAGTTATCAATCTATTAGGAAGATTTGTTTCTTCGCCTCGTTTATTATTTATTTCTCTTATTAACAAATACATATTGAAATCTATATTGTTATTATATAATAATAATATCATAAATAAATATCGAGTAATTCGCATGAAGCGTGAAGTGTGAAGCTTTTGTCTTCTTCCTCTTTTGTAATGTCTATTAACAATCTCCAGGATATTTGCCAACGAGTTTGCCGCTTTCCTGCCTGACAATGGCACCTCGCTTAGACGTGCTGGAGTCACATTGCACTCGCAAACCACTCGGCGAGATGAACTTCAATGGATGCACGGAGACGGACATCATTACTTTCCGGATGCCGAGCAGCCCATCCAGTAAGCCTGCGAAGCCCATTGACGTCAATGAAGTGCAGAAAATTAATCACAATATCAAGAAGATGCTCTATACATTGAAAGAACAGTTGGCTGCTGTGCTGAAGGCTAAGCCTGCTAGAGAAACAGTATTATCAACAGGTATATATTCTTTGCTACTGTGTATATGCCTTTAATATTCTGCCCACTTTAATTTTTCACATTCTTTAATTTTTCTAATTTTTAATTAGACCACAGAATTTATAGGTGTTTTGATATAGTAATCTTTTGAATGATTTTTATCCAAAGAATCTCTGCTTCTAAATGTTAAAGTTTAAGATTACATATTGCTCATGGAAAATTCTCCACTGTCGTCTGGAAAACATGGAGAAGTCAGGGAATTATAAAATTAATTTTTCGCGGCAACTCTGTAAATAGATGTTTCAAATTCGTTTCTCAGACGAAATGACTGATCCAGCGGCGCAACCTGTAGTTTGGATAAGCAAGTGGGTAGATTATTCGGACAAATATGGCTTTGGGTACCAATTGTCCGACGACGGAGTTGGCGTAATGTACAACGATGGTACGCGGCTAATAATGTTACCGAACTGTTTCAACGTACACTACATCGACCGCGATGGCGAGGAATTGTACTACACAGTGAGAGAGTATCCGACTGATGTCGAGAAGAAGATGAAACTGATGAACTTCTTCGTGAAATATATGAACGAGCATCTGATGAAGGCAGGCGACTCCATCGCGATAAAACAGAGCGACTCTATCTCGAGAATACCTTATATGCATCAATGGTTCAGGACTCCGACAGCAGTCGTGATGCAGCTTACTAACGGCACTGTACAGGTCTGTCTTATTGATCTACATTTCTATAGATTTATAATTATAGTAGATTGGGCACCTTGTCTGTACAATCCTTTCAATCAGCACTGTACATCTCCTAAAATTTTGCCTCCTCTTCTAACATCTTGCAATTGCAACATTCTTTTTAACTTTTTATAATAATACATCATTATCATAACTTTTCTAATATATTTTTTTTTTATTTCCTTATATTTGATTTTGAGGATTTTTTATAATAATTTTTCTCCTTCGTGTTTTAAATGTTTTTCAAATGAAAATAAAAAGACGTAACGTGATGTATCGTGTAAAACTTATCGTCATATCGTTAAAATTATCATTGTGATAGTTGCACGTATCTATGTTGTATTTGAAAGTTTTTTTTATTAATTTCTACTGTAGCGCACTTTACATAAGAATAGGTAAATAATAACGGAATGAAATTTGCGCATTCTTTTTTTGCAGATTAACTTCTTAGATCACACGAAAATCATCATGTGCCCCTTGATGGCGGCAGTCACTTACATCGACGAGGAGAAGAACTTTAGGACTTACAGATTCCAGACTATTCAGGAGAGTGGTTGTTGCAGTGGACTCGCGAAGAATCTTGTATACGCCTACGAAAAGCTCGGGCTAATGCTGAAGAGTCCCCAGGTCCGATAAAATTGTCCGCCCTGAGGGAAAACTACAGAAAGAGAGAGAGAAAGATATGGAAAATATGTGTGTATGTGTGTAAGAGAGAGAGAGAGAGAGAGAAAGAGAAAGAGTGGAATGAGAAAGAGCGTGAGAGGGGTGAGAGAAGAAATAACAGATGCCGCGCACTTATCCGGCACCAAAAAAAATTTAGGAACACCATATATATATTTATTTTTTTAGTAGCGCTATCTTCGTAAACGAAAGGAACGAATCGCGGTATTTGTACAGACGTGTAGACTTTTGCTAGACAATTTTTTTTCTTTCGTCTTTTTCCTTTTTTCTCTTTATTTTTTCTCCCCCCTTTTTTTTTTAATCACTGAGCGAGATGAAAGGGCGGAGCGAGCGACAAAGGCGCGGCGCTCCACCGCGATCGCGAAAAGGCACTTCAGGTGTCATTAAGTACCATTTCTACAAACGTTATTCGTAGTTAATTGATTAGACTTCATCGATCTTCCGTCTATAAGATAGAACCGAGAAAAACTGCGAGAGAAAGAGATAGAGAGAGAGAGAGAGAGAGAAAGAAAGAGAGAGAGAAAAAGCGCGACACTGAAGTCTCAGTTGTTCGATGATACGTATACATATATACATGTTATGGGCGGGATCCCGAAGAGAACTTGTTACAGCTCGTTAGTAGCCCACCATCACCCTCATCTTGCGATTTCTTATCATCCCCGAGATTGCCAATCCCGACGGGGGCTTCCCACATCCCGCTCGCCCGCAACAAGGACTGCCCACGGTATTTTGCTCTGACTTTACGAGTGAATCATGCGCGACTCCGGTTTATTCACTGCGAAGGAGAAGAAAGAGAGGAGGAGAGGGAGGAGGAGGAAAACGGGGCGAAGACCTCGACGCCGGAGTTAATCATGATTCGACGGAGTAGTGCAATTTGATGTCTGGATCTGTTTGATGTCTGTCCTATTTTAGCCGAAGTGAAGAATAATGAAGAATAGAGAAAGAAAGAAACGCGAGCCAAGGAGAGAGAGAGGGAGAAAGGTAGCTAGTCGACTAGCGAAGAGGTGACTGACATGTAAATGTTAATCGCTTTTTTGATGGTTCGCCCGATAACTTCTTTTTCGTATTTACTCGAGTAATTCAGGTGCTACACTTGGACCACGAGTGCGTTAAACGTCGTTAATCTCCGGACGAGAATTCTTTAATGTTGGCGTAACAGCGGCGCGCGTATGAACACGAAAACACGTTTAGCGCAGAGAAGATTATCCGAGCTGAGTTTGTCGCGCGGTTCCGTTGCTTTTTTGTAATGACTTGTAGTCGACTCAACTCTTACGCTTGCGTGACGTATGGGTAATTGCAAAAGTGCCTTACGAATGAATGACTCTTTACGCTTAAATAAATTGTACTCCTTCCTCCCGTTTTCTTCTCGCTATTTCATTTACGAACACTTTTCATTGTCCGACGAGCATTACTTTCCATACATATATATTTACACATATATTCATATTTTTTTCTTTATAAGCGCTCAGATTTTGTTTTGGAATATTGTCTTTTACGAAGTAGCTAGAAGTATGTAGCCCGTTCTCGGCAATGATATGCAAAGATAGCTTAGATCAAGAGATTCAAGAGAGAAATGGAGGGTGAGAGACGCTCTTAGTATTTTTCGATAAATTTATTTCGTCGGGAGCGAATAATGAATGGCGGACGGTTGAATTAACTGACAAATATTTTCCAGGACCGAAATACGAACGATAATCATGTCGAATTGTGCGCGACACTCGATGAAAGCGGTTCTCTTTTCGCGTACTCCCGACCGACTCGAGCGAGAAGATCGATATATCCGCTGTAGGGAACTTGAATATTTGATGAGAGAGAGAGAGAGAGAGAGAGAGAGAGAGAGAGAGAGAGAGAGAGAGAGAATCAGTATCGGAACTCCGCTCTGTGTGTATGGGGATTATTCCGCCTAGAGAGATGACTATTCCGAGAACTTTTTTTTTTTTTTTTTTTTTTTTTTTTTTTTTTTTTTTTTTTTTTTTTTTTTTTTTTTTTTTTTTTTTTTTTTTTTTTTTTTTTTTTTTTTTTTTTTTTTTTTTTTTTTTTTTTTTTTTTTTTTTTTTTTTTTTTTTTTTTTTTTTTTTTTTTTTTTTTTTTTTTTTTTTTTTTTTTTTTTTTTTTTTTTTTTTTTTTTTTTTTTTTTTTTTTTTTTTTTTTTTTTTTTTTTTTTTTTTTTTTTTTTTTTTTTTTTTTTTTTTTTTTTTTTTTTTTTTTTTTTTTTTTTTTTTTTTTTTTTTTTTTTTTTTTTTTTTTTTTTTTTTTTTTTTTTTTTTTTTTTTTTTTTTTTTTTTTTTTTTTTTTTTTTTTTTTTTTTTTTTTTTTTTTTTTTTTTTTTTTTTTTTTTTTTTTTTTTTTTTTTTTTTTTTTTTTTTTTTTTTTTTTTTTTTTTTTTTTTTTTTTTTTTTTTTTTTTTTTTTTTTTTTTTTTTTTTTTTTTTTTTTTTTTTTTTTTTTTTTTTTTTTTTTTTTTTTTTTTTTTTTTTTTTTTTTTTTTTTTTTTTTTTTTTTTTTTTTTTTTTTTTTTTTTTTTTTTTTTTTTTTTTTTTTTTTTTTTTTTTTTTTTTTTTTTTTTTTTTTTTTTTTTTTTTTTTTTTTTTTTTTTTTTTTTTTTTTTTTTTTTTTTTTTTTTTTTTTTTTTTTTTTAGAGATTGATTGACTAGTACACATACGATGTTAGTGCAGATTATAGTGCTGCGAGTGTTGACTATATATACCGACGTCCATATACACGCGGTGCGTTATATTCCGCCGACATTGTGTGGTCCTCGTGAAATAATCGGGCTGTAACGAAACTTAACACTGACTTTTGTAGGATTATTGTAATGCCAGATGCGTCCGAGAGTTTCTCCGCATTGTCAGCGTTTCTTGTCGCTTGTTCTCCGTGGACGAGATCCTGAGCTCCAAGGATTCAGTTAAGATTCGGAGATCGGGGGATCTTGAACGTGCCGATTTGTGGAATCTGAAGAGACCGAGGGAGGGGGAGGGGGGATGATTAGACTTGCCGAAGTTAGGTGTGATGTAAGTGTACACACGAATGTCGAAGCACTCGTAGATCTGCGATCCGAAAGGTCCAAGTCAGGTGATCCACAAGTTCGTTGATCGAATTTGAAGGTCGCGCTGAACTTCAGTTCGCGTCAGCGTCGGGGAACTTCAGATTTCCACTTTGTCAGACGCTGGATCCTTCGACGCAAATTACGTTAAACGGGCCGATTATCAGGTGAATTATTGTGAAGTAGATCACCAGTCGGTTGACCTATCATTAAAAAGATCAGCCATTGGTTGACTCGTCCTAACGCGATTTGCGAGTCGAAGAAGTTGAGAAGATCTATGGGTCTTCCAACCAGGTCCTTGGAGTCAGGATACGCGCGGAAATGCGCTCAGCAGAATCGAAATCTGAAGTGTCGCGTGTATCGCTCACGACACGATTCGTTCATCATATAATGGTGGATTCGAAACCTAAAGATCGCAGGATCGTGAAGATGCGCGCAAGGTTCTGAACGATTCGGGGGCCGAAGAATCAGCGACGAAACTCTCGTGAAGATCCGCCAAGGATCGTTTTGTATCACTCGAAGAGACTGCACGACGAGGAAATTTATAAGTGTCTTAGCTAGCGTAGTGAAATTTGATTTAAGTGTATCACCGCACGACGATAATATACGAGCATAGGTGGTAATTAATCTTTAGAAAAATTACTCAAAGAAAATGGTATTTTATACATATATATATATATATAGGCTCGACGCAAGTGACGTTACATCTGCGTTAAGGTGGATAGATATATGCGTATAGATATATATATATATATATATACAAATTTATATTTATATAAATTATATATATATATACATATACATATATAAATGTCTCTAAGTCGAGGAACAATTGTAATATGCTAACGAATTAAGATAACTAAGTGTACATACGTAAAGTTGTTAACTAACAATAAGATTATAAATAATGTCAATTTACGAGGGGAGCATGCGTCGAGATGGGACCACGTATCGCGGATTTACCTTTATGCAAATTATTAGGATACCATTTTTACACTAATGTCATTGTACAACGCTGTTTTGAAAAGAGTTCGGTATAGAATAAACTGTTTTCTTTTGTATAAATCTACGTGTCGAGGAGAGGAACTCGTCTGAAATTTCGCCGATTACGTTTTTATACGCCAGCCTGTAGAACCGATTAAGTAATATCCGTAGACACAACACATGACTATATTTACATGATCAGCGTAAGATCGATTCAATCATTACTGGTGTTATTAAATCAGTTTCTCGTGCGCAAACATAGTCTTGATTAAATCGTAAAAGAAATCAATCTTCTTTGAAGATTCTCTCGCCAAACTTTTCTGAATTAACCGCGCCAAGTTCTGCGGCCAACTGGCGCCTCCTTCGGTTGCGCATGCGCACGTGTATTTCTCTTTGGCACAATGCTGATCAACTATCAGTAAAGGCCTTAGCAGAATGGTTTACTCATCGGTTCATGAAAATGAGAAAAATTTAAATAAAGATTTAGAGCATAAAACATTAGCCAGTATTCATAGTCAGAAATATAAGATTTGACTATGAATACTATTGCCTTAAAGTTATAAATCGGCGTTGACGGCAGATCGTCAATAGTTCCATTGTCTTTATATCCTGTCACCCATTTTTCTATGAACTCGAACTTTTCACATGTCTGGCAGCAGTTACAAAGACATTTTGGGATCTTTGGGGTGAGAACGTAAGAACGCGATTATAATAGATATTCGATAATATTGATGATAAATATTACGAAATATTTATGATAAATACTTGTTATAAATATTTTTGAATATTTATCATAATTTTTCTCATACCAGACTTCCCTGGACTGGAATATTCATGAAATATTTAATATGTACATTTTTTAAATATAAATCTCGTGTATTTTGTGTCTCTGCCAATTTGCTGAGGTCGCCCTGATGCGACGGCGCGTCGCCGGGCGAGCTCGTCGGGATTGTGGCGCGCTCTCGTCGTGAGCTCCAAATCCGCCGGCAGCGAGCTTTCCTTCACCCGGCAAGCGGGTCACGTGCCGCGTCGGGGTTAGCCAATAGCACATGGCGCGTAATCGAGCAGTCGAGTGACGACCTTCCGCCTGATTAGACGTCTGTTTCTTGTCACGGTCCGTCGTAGTTCGTCATCGAGTCCGGGGGTGTTGCAGCACGTGTCCCGGCTTGATGGAATCCTGATAGCGCTCCTTTTTTTCGTTCGACAGCAACAACCAGCAGCAACGAACTGACCGGCCGTCCGATCGATTAAGGTCAGTGCCTAAATGGAATTCGATTCGGCCAAGTGTTGTTCAGTAGCGACGGTCGCTGTGCAAGCGTCGCTCCGATTCGTGTATTGAAGGGATACAGCGCGAATATCGCTTGCGTAAAAACGTACTTGTATTCTGTCAACCCGAAAAAGAGAGAAGGACGGAGAGAGGGGCATCTGTCTTTCTCTCTCGCCTTCCCTCCCTCTTGCTCTCCGCCGGTTGAACGGGCTGAATGACGAAAGCGGGACCGTACGATTTTGGAGGAGTGACAGTGATGCGGAGTTCTTTCTGTTTCTTCTATCCGCGAGAGAGAGAGAGAAAGAGAGGGACGCGTGCGTCGAAAATGGTCTTCTGATTCTTTGTCAAGTAATTCAGTGAATAGCTATCGCCTGACATAACTGGATATCTGGAAGACCTTGTATTTTCTTTAAATGTTTTCAAGTATCTCTAATATTTTTTTAAGCGTTTTTGAGTATCTAAGATATATTTTAGACACTTATGTTATCAAAGTGTTCTCCTAATTTGATATCGTAATGTTATCCGCGATATTTGTCGATCTATTTACCCGTTTAAACAGGGAATATATGAATGGAGGTGTGAACGGACGAACGAGGAAAAGTAATCCGCAAAAGTGTGCTTGGCATGTCGTTGAGAACGGAGTCGCTTGTTTATTTAAATACGCGTAGTCGCTAAATACGGCGAAGTCGCATTGCAATGACGACGCAGTGACGATCGGGCCGGGGGTTTTGAAGTTTTCCTTTCAGCGAAAGATAAGGTGCGGTAAACCGAGGACGGCTTGAACACATGCAAATTTCCGATCGCGATACGCACGCGCGAAAAATCGCCAAGCGACACTCGCGTGATAACAAAAGCGAAAATCAAGATATCTCTTCGCCATAACTGACCTGTAGCAATATGTAGCAGTTTTCATATAAGAGAGAGAGAGAGAGAGAAAAAAAGAGAGGTTTATTATGCAAGACACGTTGTGTGTTCCGTTATCAGCTTTTTAAATCCGTTGCCAATATCGCGTGTAAGCCTTTGTGCTCATTGTTTTCATGTTTCGGCGAGTCACCGGAGACACTCGCATTGTCACCGCGGTAAATTACAAAGAAATAGTTTAATAATGAATTAGCAATGGACGTTTATGTTTGTTTCTGCGTCTGTATACTCAGACGCATGTGTGTGCGCGTTCGCGCGTGTGTGTGCGAAATGTACAAGGTTTTGGAATTACTACCTTCCGTGAATTCTATGACCATGTAGATCCCGCTACGACAAAGACGCCGACAGATTTCAACAATTTGCACGAGTTACGTGCGGTACTAATTGCGTCGCGGCAACTTAAACGATTTGAACAACATGAACGAGGAAACTTTTGCGCGACGAAGCAAGTGAACGCGCTAATTATATTTAACGGATGTTGGAGATTTTTCGAGGAAAACCGCGAAAAGAAATATTTCGCGGAAGTTTTGGGAAATCAATTAGGGGTTAATCAGTTATTTCAACTGTTTATTTTGTATCCGTATTAATTGGATTAAAGGGCCGATTAAATTAAATATTAATAGGTGCTTGTGGTTATTCAAGAAAATCTTAGTTATTAAATCACGTTTTGCCCAAAATTGTAGATAATGTTAGTTGTATTGAAGAGATTATTCGTACA